GGTGACATTGAATTTGCGTCTGCTCCATTCCAAACACTTGGCATGTGGCAAGGCTTGCCAACACGGACAGGGAACAATCTCAGGCCATATAAAAAGAGCACTCAGAAAACAACGCCAAGCACTGTGCCAGATCATGCTTTACAGAGTGCACTAAATCCACGGTCCTAACCCTACCTAGATCATTACCCCCCTGACACAAACCTGCTAAGGGCAACGCACTGCGGGTAAAACTGCTTCCATGACAACCCTGAATACCCCTCCAGCAAACCCTCGCTAACCTGGCCATAGGAGCATGACTATACAAAATACAACAAATGAGGCCAGACCTACAGCTGATATCTCCTGGATGACCACCTACCTAAACGCTGCACCACCGAACCCGCAAAACCCAAGACGCTATCTTGCATTGCAGCCTCAATTAGAAAAGAATGAGGAAAGAAACCTTTAGGGTCTCGACCACAAGCCACCAACGCTTTCCTGAGCACCGATGCGAACTGAAACCGCATAAGCAGGGACCCATCTGCGTGTACCAATAGCGAGACTGCTGATGGCTGAACCACCAGAAAACGATGAAACACCTGAACCGGGCAAAATTTACCCCCAGTACTACCCACCCAGAGCCATAGACCAGTCAGTCTTAGACCTACGAATATGTAAAAGCAAAATATAAAAGAAGGGCTGCGCCAAGATAAAATAGATAATATCCAGTCCAAATAATGGTAAAAGTCCAACCTAAAAGTGTCCTCTCTGTTGTCCTTGGATACAGGAACAGAGTCTTCAGGTATTGAATATAAAAGATAAAAAGAGAGAACAACCGATAGTGCAATATGTATGGTTCAAGTGAAGTAAAATAAAAGTAGCGCACTAACAATTTGTAAGAGCTTCTGTCCAGCTCTAGGGTAAAGCGCACACAGCGGTATAATCCCCGCTTATGGGATATGTGGCATGCCAAACCAAGCTGCCACTGAGCGGAACGACAACAATAACTGGGCACACCCCTCACACTCCCGAGGACCCACAAACAAAAAGTCATCGAGATGATGAGTTACCGAATCAATGCCTGAAAACTGAACCACTACTCACTCCAAAAATGAAGAAAACTTTTTAAAACATGAACACGAAATGGAGCAGCCCATGGGGAGGCACATGTCATAGAAATACGACCCCTGAAAGTGACAACCCAGAAGGTGAAAACATTTGGTGAAACAACCGAAACGCCGATTTTGCCAGGCGTGCCCCCACTCCTGCTCTCCTAACCAGCGACAAAGCCCGATCGAAAGAGGCATACTGAACCCTGCAGAACAACTTGTCAATGTTATCATTCACCGAACTCCCCGCCGGATAGGACAGGTGATGAATCATATAAAAGGAACCAAACTCCTTTTTCGGCACCAACCCCAAGGGCAATACCCGCAGGTTAGGAAAGGGGAGAACATCAAAAGACACAACCATGCGCCCCAGTGATGTCTCCTTAGACAACTTGTCGCTCAACATATACTCCTTACCCCGAACTGACCGCAGATTTTCAGCAAAACGCGGCTCAGATGAAAAAACAAAGGGGATCCAAAAACCAAATGAAAATCCTTCCCCCAACACCGCAGCGATGTTTAGGGTAGAGCTCGAGACACGGCAACATCCTTGCCACGCTCACTGGCGTACCCTCCCTTAGACCCGTTTTCACGGGTCTCCGACTTAGGCAATATCTGTTTTCCCTTCTTAAAGCATTGACTTGCGGGCTGAGCCCCCCCCGCAATGCGAGCACTCATGCTTAAACCTGCAGGAGGCCGAAATAAATCTATGCCAGCCCCGCAGCATGGCGTGGGGGAAAAAAAAGGTGAGTTAAAAAACTATTTTTAAACATACACAGACACACACATACACCATGACAGATGACAGACACACACATACCATGACAGACACATACAATGACAGGCACACACACACACACCTTGACATACACACACACACACCTTGACAGACACACACATACCATGACAGGCACATACATCCCCTCCTGATCTAGACGCAGCGGTCCCTGGAAACCTGTCCACTACAGCCCTAAGCAAGCGCAGCAATTCCCCCTGCGCAGCCTAATCCAGGTCTTGGGAGCCCCCTAATGCGCCCTTCCCCCCCTGCTATGCTACCCCAAGCACTAGCGCAGACCAACTCACCACTCACTGGAGCTGCCACGGTAGCCCTCTCAACAGGATAAGTGCCATGAACTCCCATCTGGTCCTGTCCTCCAACTCCTCCTGGGATCCCGAATCCAATTCTTCTGGCAGCTGCCCGGTCCATCGGCTGCCGTGTCTCCTAGATGCTGGGCTCCTCACAGGCACCGGACCCCAACTCCATCCTGCTGCTACCTCTCCTTGCTGCTGTGCAGTAGCCTCCGATCCCCTCCTGCGCTAGAATGGCCTCCGGACTGTATCTTCAGCCCTTTCCCCTTCCTTGCTTACAGTCCAGGGGATCCCTTTATTAATGTCACAAGTCTTATCTTACCCTGTAGTGGCTTGAGTCCACCTCTAGGGGCATCATACATACTCTATAGTTGGGGAATATGATTTTGAAGTAATACGTCAAAAGAGACAAATTACAGACTTAACAAAACAACTCAACGAGAAGTCTTTGCAAGGCAGATGCTCTGGGCAATTGCTGCCTCTTAAGTTTTGCTCCACCGAGCTAAACAAAGCAGGAAGTAACAGAATCTATTGTCTGATTGATAGCCATGGGGGTGTAACCAGGTTAATTTATAAAAGTGTCAATTTCTTTTGAAATCTGCACTTTTTTGCAACACGAAAAACAAGGTCACATTCTTCACAGATAAAACACTTCAACAAGCTAATGTGCTTTGGGAGTCTGGAGTGTCCCTTTAAGTTAGTTTAAACTAAGTTTTTATGTAAGGCTATTAAGAAATCACTTTATGCGTATAGGACCATGTGTATACAGAATATAAAATAATATGTACACACACTGCAACTGTTTAACATGGGTACCAGTCACAAAAGGTTACTTTAAACTGAGTTCACATAAGTATTTTCTTACTGCAACGAGTATTTTAATCTGACAATTACATACATAGAGGAGAGAGCCGTGCTGGTAAGTGCTGCCATCCAGTGTTCACAATGCTAAATTAAATCAGTATTAATCGAGCGTGTGCCTGAAGTATGACTATTTGTTATTATTAGAATTATTTATAAAGCGCCAACAAATTTAGCAGAGCTGTACAACAGGTTCTGTTTCATATTAGCATATTTTATGAGAAGCATTCTAAAGAGATTAAAGGGTTACTCCAAGGATCATAACCAGTACAGCTTGCTGTAGTAGATATGATGCCAATAGCACTCTGGCCTGGTTCCCTAGTAATGGGGCAAACTGTTTAGCAACAGTTTTAACACTAATCGAGAGTACTCTGTGTGTTGCTTGGGATTATGAGGAAGCATTAGCCTGAGCAACATTGGGCAGCTGTGATTGGCGAAAAGTGTCAGCTGACCACTTTCAGCCTATCAAAGCAAGCATTGCTAGTATGAATTGATATGACTAGAAGGAAGTGTGTAATCTCTGCCTTAGCCATGCCTCCAGTGGAGGCGGGCCTGTGGGTGGTCAGGGACCCTCAAACTGCTTGAAAATGATTTAACTCTTAATGAAAGGACAGTGGCAGTGGACTCCAGGCAGTATAACTAATTCAATTATAGTCACTCCTAAACCCAGTCCTATAACATACCCGAAGTACTAGGCTACAGCGGCCTTATCCCAGTTTCCAAGGTGTCCAATCCAGGGCTGCTTCTTGGAGGATAGAGTGCCCACTGCAGAAGCTGCAAATCCAAAAGAATTGCTGAAAACTCAAGAACTTCACACTGGTATATATTTCTTTAATCTCCTTTTAAAATACCCCAGCCCCTAGGGTTCCATTAACTGAGGAGATGCTGGTAATTATGTATAACTTTTTTTTATAATATGTCTTCTATTTTCGGAAGATTTACAGCCAAAATTCCAGCATTTTCAGCAGGTAACTGATTAGACTGGTGGCAATACACAAACCATTTATACGGCAAACATTCAGGTCCAGAAGGTGAATGTTTTGTGACAGTCACAGTCAGGCGTTAAAAGGGCTTTTCACTTTGTATGGAACCATGATCCAGCCAATTCACTAGAAAATAAATCTAACGTAGAGGGTCACCCGTGATATTGATTTTCTGCTGAAACTGATTATAAACAGGCCATGGATTCTCCGTGATTGGCAGATAATCAATAATCTACTCTATAGCAATGTGGGAATTGAATTACTTAAAAAATAAGAATGAAATAGACACCGCTCTGAGGATTCTGAGGCAATGTTTTATATATATTTATATCCCGACCGTACTGCGCTGTAGAATATGCTGTTGCTTTATAAATACCAGTAATAACAAAAATTATAATATACATTTTTATTGAGAAATAAATCTTACACGATAACTAAATGATGGGAAACATAGATAAAATAAAAATCTGTTCTAGAAAAAGCACAGATAAGTGGATTAATTAAAAACAGAAACATTACTATCAATTCACCTATGTACTGCTTGTAATTATAATTGTAAATAATCAGATACAGAGTGAGCCTGACAGCATTGTGGATCTGTCCTGTAGCCCATGGAGCAGCACAGCTTAGTGGAATAGGGCCTGGACAGAGCTAGGAGGTGAGCATTCAGAGTTAGTGTGTTTGGATTGGCTAGCTATCTGGGATGGGCAGGGCTGATACATTTAGGCAGCCATCTTAAAATGTTTCCATTCTAATGCTTTCTCACAGACTTTGTTGTTGTCCCTCCCACCCTCCCTGATTTTGTGTTAGGTTTGGAGTTATCCTCCATCTGGTCACAGCGGCGGGGGACTGGATAGGTAAATTGAGGGGTGGAATGGATTGATATTAGGGATTGAATTATGTGTTTTTAAATGTTGGTATGTGGTTTAAAGGGACACTATAGTCACCTGAACAACTTTAGCTTAATGAAGCAGTTTTTGTGTATAGAACATGCCCCTGCAGCCTCACTGCTCAATCCTCTGCCATTTAGGAGTTAAATCCCTTTGTTTATGAACCCTAGCCACACCTCCCTGCATGTGACTTGCACAGCCTTCCATAAACACTTCCTGTAAAGAGAGCCCTATTTAGACTTTCTTTATTGCAAGTTCTGTTTAATTAAGATTTTCTTATCCCCTCCTATGTTAATAGCTTGCTAGACCCTGCAAGAGCCTCCTGTATGTGATTAAAGTTCAATTTAGAGATTGAGATACAATTATTTAAGGTAAATTTCATCTGTTTGAAAGTGAAACCAGTTTTTTTTTCATGCAGGCTCTGTCAATCATAGCCAGGGGAGGTGTGGCTAGGGCTGCATAAACAGAAACAAAGTGATTTAACTCCTAAATGACAGTGAATTGAGCAGTGAAATTGCAGGGGAATGATCTATACACCAAAACTGCTTTATTTAGCTAAAGTAATTTAGGTGACTATAGTGTTCCTTTAAAATTTGGCATGGTAGGTTTCGAACTGGCCTGTGGCGCAGAACCTGGGGGTGTAGGGGTATCTCAGTATACCCCTACATTTTCTCATTCTGGCAAGTTGGTATGGTAGGTTTTCAAGCTGGCCTGTGGCTCAGAACCTGGGGGTGTAGTGGTATACCCCTACATTTTCTCATTCGGGTAAGTTGATATAGTAGGTTTCGAGCTGGCCTGTGACTCACAACCCGTGGGTGTAGGGGTATACCCCTACATTTGCCTGGGGGTGTAGTGGTATATCCCTACATTTGCTCATTCAGGCAAGTTGGTATGGTAGGTTTCGAGCTGGCCTGTGGCTCAGAATCTGTTGGTGTAGGGATATCTCAGTATACCCCTACATTTGCTCATTCTGGTATGTTGGTATGGTAGGTTTCGAGCTGGCCTGTGGCTCAGAACCTGTGGGTGTAGGGGTATCTCAATATACCCCTACATTTGCTCATTCGGGCAATTTGGTATGGTTGGTTTCGAGCTGGCCTGTGGCTCAGAACCTGTATACCCCTACATTTGCTCATTCAGGCAAGTTGGTATGGTAGGTTTCGAGCTGGCCTGTGGCTCAGAATCTGTTGGTGTAGGGATATCTCAGTATACCCCTACATTTGCTCATTCTGGTATGTTGGTATGGTAGGTTTCGAGCTGGCCTGTGGCTCAGAACCTGTGGGTGTAGGGGTATCTCAATATACCCCTACATTTGCTCATTCGGGCAATTTGGTATGGTTGGTTTCGAGCTGGCCTGTGGCTCAGAACCTGTATACCCCTACATTTGCTCATTCAGGCAAGTTGGTATGGTAGGTTTCGAGCTGGCCTGTGGCTCAGAATCTGTTGGTGTAGGGATATCTCAGTATACCCCTACATTTGCTCATTCTGGTATGTTGGTATGGTAGGTTTCGAGCTGGCCTGTGGCTCAGAACCTGTGGGTGTAGGGGTATCTCAATATACCCCTACATTTGCTCATTCGGGCAATTTGGTATGGTTGGTTTCGAGCTGGCCTGTGGCTCAGAACCTGGGGGTGTAGGGATATCTCGGTATACCCCTACATTGGATCATTCGGACAAGTTGGTATGGTAGGTTTCGAGCTGGCCTGTGGCTCAGAACCTGGGGGTGTAGTGGTATCATGGTATACCCCTACATTTGCTCATTCGGGCAAGTTGGTATGGTAGGTTTTCAAGCTGGCCTGTGGCTCAGAATCTGGGGGTGTAGGGGTATCTTGATATACCCCTACATTTGCTCATTTGGGCAATTTGGTATGGTAGGTTTCGAGCTGTCCTGTGGTTTAGAACCTGGGGGTGTAGGGATATCTCGGTATACCCCTACACTGGATCATTCGGACAAGTTGTTTGCACTTTATTATGTTTCGTGATGTTATTTATTTATGTGTTATTTTGGGGTCATTGTAATGTTGTGGGGGGTTAGTTATATACTGTGTCATAGGGTTTGTTTGACAATAAGTTTTTGTATTAAAATTTATATTATATTATATTAAAAGCTGTGGACAGAATTTTATCCAACATATTGGTGTCCGTGCATTATTGGGTATGTATGGGGGTTCTATTCTTAATGCCCAAGGATACGACTATGCGCCTGTCATGCCCTTGCAGGGGGATTAGTCTAAGATACAACAGACCAAGGTCTCTCTATAAAAGATTCCCCTGGACAGATCGGGAAGGGTAACCTGCGGTTAGGGGGCTGGGATTAAGGGGATACATTGTTGCAGGGATGGAGAAGGTTTCAAAAGTAGTGTCATTGGATGTGACCCACCAGTCTGCATAGTGAAGTTGAGGGAGCCTAGCTCTTTCGTACAGAAACGTTGGAGGGGATTGAGAGTTTTGGTTGGGATCACATATACCCCTAATGTGTGACCCATAGTAAATTTGTTTATCACTTTGGTGATCCATGCCGGCAGACTGACATCGGGGGGTGTAGAACTGTTGATATAATTCATGCCATAAAACACAACCTTATGCATTATTTAAGGAACTATGTTGGTTTGGTCAGAGATAGTCCTCCATCCTTGTTGGCGATTCTTGCTTCATGCCAGGGCATTAGGAAGGTGCAGGCGTAAGTTAAATATCTAGATCTCCCTTTTGTATAAAGGGGCCGTCCATACACATAATCCCCATAGTCACATTCTTCATAGAGCAGATACAAAGGTTACAGGTAGAAAGAGCAGAGTTGACATTAAGGGGTTTATGGAATTTTGAGATTTTCAGATCTGTCCTCAAACTCTGCCAAAATGTCATTATCCATCCGTGTGACCAGGTGTTTTGGAAACAAAATGACCAAGACACTAACAGATACATTGGGAAGACCAGACATCCTTTTTAATGAATCCATCCCAGGAGCCAACAAAGTTTTATTTTATTTAGCTCTGCACCTCCATTACTGGAACTAATAGAAGAGGAGGGAAGTAGCTCTACCGAGTATTAGTTAGTCTGTGAGACTTTTACAGAGTTTAAATATCTGAGCCAAATTTTATATTTTTTTTTAAAATTGCTAAAAAAAATATAGGGTGATATAAAATCCACTAATCTGTCTTCAAATGGTAAAATTCAGGATCAAGCCTCATATAAATCAGCAATTGATAAATGCCAAAGTCACTTTGCATGGAGTGCAGACATTGTTGTTTGTATTTTAGCTTACACAAAATAGCTCCAATCAGATTTGCATTTCGTGGCTAATCTCAGAATGATCATCCAGATTGGCATTCGTACATAGCTGAATTGCAATTTCGGCAACATTTTCCCACTCACTAATGGAATACAATGTATAACCCCAGAGGAATTCACTGCCAACGGGAGTTGTTTTGGCAGATTCCCTCAATACTTTCATAAACAGGCTCAATGTGTTTCTGTCAAAAAATCATACAGGGCTATAAGGATTCAATTCACTTTAGGGGATGTTGATCCAGGGACGTTGCCTTGAGTCATGATTATTTCCCCCTCCCTTTTTGACATAGTAGAAAATACATATTTTTTGTTCTTTGTGCTTTATTTTTTTCAATGAACAAACATTGTTATTTGAAAAAGTGGAGCATAGTGAAATACTGCACCTACAGACTCCAGGCACCATTACCACTTCAAATTATTACACAATAACCTGAAATGCAGCACTCAGAGACTGTACACCTGCCGAAAGGAAGGAGGTCGGGGCCTGATGAGTGTCAAGGCCACAGTCCTGGATGAAACACAGGGCATCCACATGTACATCATGAAGATGGCTCCCAAAGATGAAATGATAAGGGAATGCCTGGGACTTCAACAGATAGAGGATGCAGAGAGAGAGAGGAGGTTCCTTGGCAAGACAAACCTCTCCATGGGGTGTACCACCAGCAGATAGTGGATGTGGCTCACATTACAAAATCCTACCAGTGGTTGGAAAAGGCAGAACTGGAAGACAGCAGTGAGGCACTAATCCTAGCCGCACAGGAACAGGCACTCTGCACCAGATCACCAGATCAATAGAAGATGGAGTCTACCATATCAGGCAAGACCCAAGGTGCAGACTGTGCAAGAAGGCCTCCGAGACAGTCCAGCACCTAGTAGCCGGATGCAAGCTGTTAGCAGGAACAGCATACACAGAGAGACACAACCAGGTTGCTGGGATTGTGTTCTGAAACATCCGTACAGAATATGGATTGGACCTGCCTAAGTCCAGATGGGAGAGACCACAAAGGGTAGTTGAGAATGACAGGGCCAAGATCCTTTGGGATTTCAAGATCCAGACAGACAAGCAAGTGCTGGCCAACCAACCAGACATCATGGTGGTAGACAAGGAACGGAAGACTGCAGTCGTGGTGGATGTGGCAATACCCAGTGACTATAACAGGAAGAAGGAACATAAGAAGGTGGACAAAACCAAGGATTGAAAGAAGAACTAGACAGGATGTGGAAAGTGAAGGCAGTAGTAATCCCAGTTGTGATAGGCGCACTCAAGGCTGTGACTCCCAAGTCGGGGGAGTGGCTACAACAGATTCTAGGTGGGACATCCAGGCCTCTGGTAGAGGACCCGAGAATGAGGAATAAAAACATACCACCCAGGAGTAGTGAGAAAATCAATTCTTTATATATAATACACAAGATCCAGCACTCTCACTCATCCACTAAACAGCAATATCAAAGCTTACAGATTTTATTAGTTTTTTTTAAAAACACCTAATCTAGGCAATGGGGGTTAGTTACATTACATGATCATACATTGCATAAGCCTGCCACAACGTAAATGTACCCCATCTTTGGCAGGTCCTACTCTAATGTCTGCTCTTACTTGGGGGGGGGAAATCAATATAGGGCTCTCTGCAGTACAAGGTTAAATAGGGCTCTGGAATGAGGCACCTGTGAGAGGGTGGGGTGCAAAACCAAGGAGTTGGCCTAGACTCCCATATATTATATAATTTTATTGATGCATGACAGAGGTATTAAATTGCATTGGCTGTTTATTAGCTTGTTCTTCGTTCATCCTCACACATCCTTGAGCAGAGGTCATACCGCCCATATAGAGCTTGGTATAGCTCCCTAAATTGTGAGTGCGTCATCTCTTTGGTCTTATTAAGGGAACATTTCAAGCACCATACCACTACAGCACATTAGCAATCCAATGAGCAGGGGGTTGCAGATGACTGTTCCCTGGTGTCCCCAAAAGGGAGACACCAGGGAACAAAGTCAGGATGGCGGTACAAGACCCAAAACTCGGGACTGTACTGTTGAAATCAGGATAATTGTGAAGTATTGTTTGACTCCTGCAATATAGATAATAAGCTTTTCGGAATAAGTGTGGGTATTATAAGCCTTTCTAATATCTTAGAATATAGTTTTATATTATTTTAAAAGATGGTTATCATTTCTTACTCACATTGAGAACATCCCCCATGTATTTACTAAAGTAAGAATTTAAAGTCAATTTGAAATTTAAGGCCAAAGTATCCAAATTGACTTGGATTAATTTTTCCAGCTTGGCTACTTTGTGCTTAAATTTGAAATTTACTTTGAATTTTCCTTGAATTGTCAGTTTAGTGAAGTATCTACGGAGATCAAATGGGGTGAGAAAGCCTCCCCATATTGCACCCTCTGTGAGCTATATGACAGATTGGCCATGCCTGCCCCCTTCACCACGTGTCCTGTTGGACTCTTTACGACGTTCCTTTACGGCTGTCGCACTAAACCTAAACACACAGCATGTCCCGGAACAGTAAGTGTACAGCAGCCCCAGCTCGGTTGTTTCACCCCATTCCCCGCTGCACCCCGTCATTTATTGATTGTTTATTGTGTGTTTCTCTCCGCAGAGCACAGACGGAACGGAAAGGGAGCTGCCAAGTCTCAGGTAGGACTCAGGGTCCAGCCAGCCCGAGATAGACCCAGCGCGCGGAGCATGCTGGGATGTGTAGTGCTGGTAACCCCTACATAGAGCGGCATGGAATGCAGCTGGAACTACAAACCCCGTCATGCATTTCGGACACGTGTTTTCAGCTGTGCTACTTTTTCAGCGATATGGAACGTTATAATAAAACCTGATACAATGTAATCTCTAAACATGTCCACAGTCTACACAGCCACTGGCCTCCCCTGGGTCTCCTGGACTCCATAATGGCTGGTTTCCTTCTACTAACAGAAATTCAGATTTGGTGAATTAGAGGGCAGTAGGGCTCCATGTGAAATAATAATATATCTATATATATATATATATATATATATGTACAATAAAAGGTTTGTTTTAATAAGTTTATAAATATAGTACTAGTTTTCCAATGGGTATGACTGAATCACAAGGAAAGGTTAAAGGATCTTAACATGTGTAACTTGGAGGAAAGACGAGACGGGGGGATATGATAGAAACATTTAAATACATAAAGGGAATCAACACAGTAAAGGAGGAGACTATATTTAAAAGAAGAAAAATTACCACAACAAGAGGACATAGTCTTAAATTAGAGGGACAAAGGTTTAAAAATAATATCAGGAAGTATTACTTTACTGAGAGGGTAGTGGATGCATGGAATAGCCTTCCAGCTGAAGTGGTAGAGGTTAACACAGTAAAGGAGTTTAAGCATGCGTGGGATAGGCATAAGGCTATCCTAACTATAAGATAAGGCCGGGGTCTAATGAAAGTATTTAGAAAATTGGGCAGACTAGATGGGCCGAATGGTTTTTATCTGCCGTCATAGTCTATGTTTCTATCACTGGAAAGTGACATTTGTCATGGGTTGTCACGGTGTTTAACTCGCAGCGTTGTCCTAACACGTTATGGGATTCAGGGAGCCACAAAAGGGGTAGCTTCACATGAGAGAACAGTTTTGGTGCAGGATTAGATCTAAACTTCAGGCTCGTACATTGAAGGCAAACTAATGGGTTAAATTAATTCATGTGTTTTAAGGTAATGCTTAAAAAAATTAGAGAAAAAAAATATCCCCCTTTAATGTTTACGTTGATGCCCTGTTCAGCCGGTCGTCTTGCAGACCCTCTCACCAGGAAGAGTTGTCCTATCAGTAGCACCTCATTTTTGTCTATCAGGTCTCTTCTTATCCCATAAACCATTGTTGTGCAGCGATTTATAGGATAAGAAGTCAGAATGAGAGGACACAATTTCCATAATTTGTTTTCTCATTTATGGGATGAGTAGTTTATCCCCTAGAAGCAGTTTCACTCATGACAGATGATCAGCTCAGGGGGCTTTTTGTGCTTTTATAACGCTACGCAAAGTTGTGCTTAAAGTAACCCTTTCATATTGCAAGTCATTTTTGTTTGAAACAAATTCTGGATTATTTACTGAGTGAGTGAGGATTGTCTGGAGTTTAAGGTGAATTTCAAATTTGAAACGTAAAGTATGCCTTTAGTGCTGCTGTTTTGCTATTAAATGTGAACTTCACCTGAATTTCCAGTCCTCGATTTTTAGTAAATAATCATGTTTGCCTTTATCCGTTTTGCCTTCTAAAACCAAAATTCTACTCTTAACAATACTTGTAACTGTTATCACTGCAATAACTGCTCTTATGACATTACAGCAACATCCAGTATATGCATAATTCAGTGACTGTTTTATTCTGTTAAGGGCGAGATATTTAGGAGATCCCACGCACTGTCGCAGTCTGTTAGTAACAGCACGGACACCTCTGTCTCACCTTTGCTCTCTCCAAATAGAAACCTTACAGTGCCTTGTCCTTCCTAATAAATGTAGTTTATAACTTTTTACTGCACTTTTTTTTTTTTTTGGCAGGGTAAAGGGCCACCAAATCCTGGAAAAAATGTCAAGAAAGATCCCGGTGTGCCCAACCTGTCACACTTCAAGGATCAGGCCAAGAGAGAGGCAGAACAGAAGAGGAAGAGGGTGAGACATATATCTATTCCATGCTGTAATATCTAACCTTGGGAACCCCGTTTGTGAACTACCTTTTCAATGATAGACAGACTTATGTCTAGATTTATAGGTTCATGTAATTCAGAATTCATGGTGGCTGACCACCTTTACATTGATCAGCTTTGATACATTTTGGAGTATACAATGTTACCTTCATAGTCTGTTAACCAAATTTGATAATATACATGATTAAAGGGACACTATAGGCACCCAGATCACTTGATCTTATTGAAGTGGTGTGGGTTCAAAGCCCCTGTCCTCTTAGCAATGTTTACATAGCAGAGTTAAGCCTACCTCTATTGGCTGTCTACCAGAACCTACTAGAGGCACTCCCTGGCCTTTCACGGAGTTTGACTCAATGAAACTATGCCGTACATCCAGCGTCTTCTAAATCACCACAGGAAATCATTGATTAAATGAGTTTCTATAGGGAAGGCCAAATGTGGCACTCGCTTCAAATTTGCGTTAGGTTCCTCCCTTCCTTTTAAAGAAGGATATTAAATTCTGTAATTTGAGTACGGAGAACCTCAGGTTACATTCAATGATCTAGTCCTATAAGAAAAATATTTTTACATTTGCACGATATTAATTGAGGTGTAGACATATGTGTGAATAGACAACTGACTAACACGGTGGTGGGAGGGCCACATTAAATGCCCAATTAAACCGTTATTCCAAGCATCATAACTACTATAGTATGCTGTAAGGGTTATGGTGCCTGGAGAACCCTAACCCAGTTTCCCGGTTATGGGGACAACGTTTTGCAAATGTCTCCGCCGAGGCACCAGGTAGAGTTACAACTCCAGCAGCAGAGGGGTTAAACTCTGTATGTGCAGCATTTCAAAGCAAAATGCTACACATGCAGGCACCATGACCACTTAAAATCACTGAAGTTGTGATGGTGCTTGGGCTAACCCTTTAATTGCAGAATATAAAATATATACACATCTAATACATATGGACATAATCTCTGTAATCTGATGGTTCAGGTCTGAATCAGAACAGAGAGGTTTTGGTTTATTGATATTTTACCATGATTTCTGGTCTTGCTGTAGGTAGAAGAAATGAGGGAGAAGCAGAGAGCAGCCCGAGAGAAGGAGGTAGCGAAAAGACGAAGCTTGGATACCTTTCAAAAGGACATCCTGAAGAGGCAGAGAGAGTTTGAGCAGAAGGTGAGTCTCTTCTAACTTTCCCATATTCCATACAGTTACAGTCTGAAGGGTATAGTCAAAACAGTGAACCTCGAATTCCACAGAATTGAGCCAAACTAAACTGCCGGATAAACCCCACGCTTTGCCTTTACTCTCATAAACCCCCATAGTGTTTGGTTCATTCATGGAAAGGTAAGCAAGTGGTTAATTTTGAACTTATCTGTATCTTTTAATCATATCCCCACTTCGGATTCTCTTTTCTGGGGCGAATACCCTTATATGGAAATTTTATTCATGTGAGTTAAAGGGACATTCAAAGCTCCAACATCACTTTATTAGGTTTTGGTGAATATACCCTGTCCCTTACCTCTGGTTAAATAATATATTGGCATTACAGTGAAATTTCAATCAAGGTGTGCTTTCTTGGGAAGGGAATGGTGGGAGAGTGGTTTTTGTTTTATTATCCATTTCGAAAATAAATAACACCATTTAATGATCTAGTCTTATAAAAAAATATGTTTACGTTCCGCCCGATATTATTTCAGGTGTAAACATATGTGTGAATAGACAACTGACTAACACGGTGGTGGGAGGGCCACATTAGATGACCAGTTAAAGTGTTATTCCAACCATCATACCTACTGTAGTCTGCTGTAGTGGTTATGGTGCCAGGAAAACCCTAGCCCAGTTTCCCGGTAATGTGGAAACACCAATAATATTACAGCCTTTCTAAAATAAAAGGGGATTTGGTTATTGCCTATGGACAGGCTGTGACACTGATGGTTATCTTTGTGTGTGTGTTTCATTAAAAACAAATGTGTCTGCGCAGGAGGCGGATCTTAAAAGCCTTGAGAAACACGAGCAGTTGGAGACTGAAAATTCCAGAAAGGCTTATTATCGAGAGTTTAAAAAGGTCAGTGTCCTTGTTTTACTTTTGTTTGAACGTTCTAACGATCTTACCCCAGTCCTGGGATACAGCAAGTACATTTTGTTTAGACATAGCGTTAATACATGATTTATAAATATGGTTATTTGTTTAAATATGTCTGTCTGCATCCGTCTTAGAGAGTTATGAATGCGCCGTTTTCTGCAGCCAGCGTTCTACCCCAGGACGAAATATACCGTTAGGATTGCAGCTGTAACTCTTTCTGACAAGCACATATTTCTTCCCAGAACAGCCTTTCATTTGATTAAATAAAATACTGCAGCATAATAAAAATAAAACCTATAGGAAATAAAATTATAAAACTGTGCGGAAAATGATGAGCCACTAGGATCTCCATATTTAACAATATAGCAGTTGTTGAAATACAACTCTCATCATTCTAACACTATTTGTAGTTTGAGATTTGAATAACTTCGTCTATATCTGCTTCTGTGCTGCATTGCCGCAACAAAAGACAATTTAGACACAACAATTTCTTAATATTTGTTCATTTAATTTATTTAGAATTTAAAATCAATGATCACTTCCAAATGAGGAGTAGGTGCTTTGTTTTATTGAAATGTATATGTAAGGGACACTCTAAGCATCAAAACAATTGGCTCAATGAAGCAGTTTTGGTGTATAGATCATGCATCTGAGTCTCACTGCTCAATTCTCTGCCATTTGGGAGTTAATTCACTTTGTTTATACAGCCCTAGCCACACCCCTCTTACATGTGACTTACACAGTCTCCCTACACACTACCTGTAAGGAGAGATCTAATGTTTCAACTTTATTTATTGCACAGTCTGTTTATTTTGAATTTCTTGTCTCCTCTTGTTAATAGCCTGCTGGTGGCTCCAACAACATCCTGTATGTGATTAACGTTCAATTGAACACACTGTGCTCTAAAGTCTGAATTTAAATGACACCATTTTTTTCATTCAGACTTTGGGAGTCACAGCTAGGCTGCATAAACAGAAACAAAAGTGATTTAACGCCTTAATGGCAGAGAATTGAGCAGTGAGATTGCAGGGGCATGATTTATACACCAAAAGTGCTTACATAAGGTAACATTGTTTGATGTCTTCTTTGGTTATGTCTTCGTGCAGGTGGTGGAGGCGGCCGATGTTATTTTGGAAGTACTAGATGCCAGGGACCCACTGGGTTGCCGTTGCCCACAGGTGGAGCAGGCAGTCGTTCAGTCTGGCACAAACAAGAAGCTGGTTCTAGTCCTGAATAAAATAGGTAAATACCAGAGGATGATTACTATTATGTCACCACGGCCGGAAATGTAAGTGTGTGTATAAATAATAATATATAATCTCTTTTTTTTTTTTTCTGGACATCCTTAGTAAGTGTAAAACCCTGCCCCCTTATTGGCTGCGATTATATCAGTATGCTCATAGAGCCAATATGGCTCCCAGGTCTGAATGAGGGGGGGAACGGGTATATCTTTGTTTGAAACTAGAATATTCTTTTTTTAAAAGGTTTGAAATGATTCATATATAGTATGGCCGCCAATCATACCCAAGCATTTAGTTTATTATTGTATATCATGAATGGAAATACCGTTCCATGTAGAGTTAAATCCAGTGTGGTTTTCCCGACCTCCCAAATGCATATTTGTTAAATAGAAGGGATGCATTAACATAATATCAAAAATCCTGGGCAGTGGCAGGTACCATTTAAATTATTGTTGTATTGTATAATTAGAATAACATCACAAACTAAATAAAATCTAAGTAATAGCTCTCATTGGATAGAAATGGGCAGTAGCCATTTTTAATGTATTACTCCACGCGGTTCATATAATAGCAGTTCTGTTGGCGCTGGTTTTACTCCTACATGCCAGGGCATTCATTTAACATGACAAGCCTTCCTCCGTCTGTGGTTTACTCCAATGCTCCTTTGTTTAGATCTGGTCTCGAAGCCCATTGTGGAGAAGTGGCTGAAATACCTTCGGAACGAGTTTCCTACTGTCGCCTTCAAAGCATCCACCCAACAGCAGAACAAGAATTTGGTACAGTACATCTCCCTGTTCATAACGGGGTATTCTGAAACATGAGCAGGAATTCAAAGTGAATTTAAATTTCAGACAAAATAGTCACACTGGAAAAGTTCTCTGAGTTAGCAATGCTGCCAGTTTGACTACTTTGGCCTTAAATTGGAATTAACCCCTTAAGGACACAACTTCTGAAATAAAAGGGAATCACGACGGAATATTTCCATCATGTGTCCTTAAGGGGTTAAATTAAAGTGAATTTGATCAATTTTCACTTTAGTTAATAACACTGAGACTTGAACTGAAAACAGAAGTTTAAAAAAAAAAAAAAACTATTTGGAAAGAACCTCCATTTGGCTGAAGTCAAGCTTTGCTTTTTTTTTTTTTTTTTTTATATGAAATGTGTTTATGAACTTAAAAGTAAACCTGTAGATATTTGAGAAATGTTAACATTCCAAAAAAAGAGTTTAAAACATTAAAAAGCGATTAGGTGGGGCTTCACCAAATGTTCCTGTGGCACACGAGTATGTCATAAGCCACCTCATACTGTGCCACAGTCTCATTGACTTTAGGCCTGTAATAGACTGAAGGCTGATTATTAAAGGGACACTGTAGGCACTGTAACTCCTTCATCTCATTTAAGTAGTTAAAGTGTCAGGAATCCCCATGTGCCGTTTTTCCATTAAGTGTAAAAATGTTTTTAATGTTTTAAAGCTAAACGAGTCCTGGAGGACCAACCTCTATGTGCTGCTTTGGCTAATAATGAGGAATTGGCCTCATCAGCAAATGTTAACTGCGATTGGCTTGGAGTATCAGCTGACCTCTTTCGTCCTATCACAGTGCCCATTGCTGTTATGAATTGGTATGGCTAGAAGTACATTTGTAATCTCTGCCTTAGCCACACCTTCAATGGGTGGGCGGGGCTATGGGAATCCAGGAACCCCGATTATTTGTTAAACTGCCCTAGAATGGTTTAACACTGAATGGGGGGACAGTGTGGGGGAACCCTAGGCACTGCAACTAATTCAGTGAGATGAAATTATTATACCTGCAGTGACCCTTTAAGTTTATATATTTTTTTACGGTAAATGTGATTCCTTAAATAGTGGCAGTTGATTAAAACGAATAAGTCGGGTTAACTAGAAATGTGCATATCTTGCATCCTACTTAAATATGGCTTTATATGTGTAAATGTGATATTTTTAAGACACAGATGGTTATATAAAAAAAAAAAAAAAAGTATGTCTTAGAAATGTTTCTCTCATTGGCGTGTGCCTTGGTCAGTAAAAAGTTGTGAACCACCGCTTTAGCAGGATTCTATTCAAACGTGTAGATCAACCTAAAAAGAACTGGTCAAAGATATTCACTTGGTGAACCATTTTTTTTTTTAAATACTTTATTTAGGTTGTGCATGAGTTAACAAGCAGATGTGCACTGCCACAATAGCTAGTGCAATCATAGCAATAAACATTGGTGATCAACAGTGTGGCTGCAGATACAATGCATGTTTTATTTGTATTTTTATATAGAGGAGTAGTTAGTAAGCTAGAAATACAGGTCTAGACTGTGCTTATCATACATTTGTACGTAAGGTTTTGCAATCTAGGCTATTAGGTTAAAGCAAAAATGCTAATAGTTATATATGCTTGAATGTGAGCTATACAACGTGTGGGTGCAAATAGTGTTTAGTCGATTAACATCTATTGATGTCCCACCTACGATCCCCTGGATGATCATAAACAAAATAATAAGTTCACTAGAGCGTACATAAATCTTATAAGAGTGTTAATCTGAAGCATAGTAAGGTGAGCGATATAGAGCACTTTGCCTGGTATTAAGTCCCAGTCCTGGTTCAGCCGATGCCTAGCCGATGCTGTGTGTACTCCCGCCGCTCTGTTCGTTGCAGCTTGCTCCGTCTGCAGGGTATGGGGAAGCATGGAGCCCCTGTGCTGTGAGGCGGTGTGCTTGTCTGAGGATATGTACTCCAAGGTATGTTCAGAGCTGGGTTTGCCTGTTGGGGGCTGCTATACCTCTTCAGTAGCCCTCCTGATGCGGTCGCTCTCTTGGGTCTCGTGCCCCTCCTGGGGTTCACATGGCGTTGCCGGGAGGCGGTCTTTGCTATGCCCACTATGGATGGATGGTTGGGTCTGGTCACTGCCTTACCCCCCTGGGTCACACGCGTCTGGTTCCGCGGCAGGTCCTCGGGCAGTGCCCCTGGGGCTGCATGTGGGCCTCTAGTTTCTCCCAGAAGTAGGCAAATATTTTGTTCAGCCTGCGTTCCGTGTCTGTCCATGTTTGGCTGAGGCCGGTGTCGTGGCAGGCATCCGCCATTTTAGAGGTCTTTCTGGTGTTTAGGTTAGGGCCCTATGTCGATGTATTGAGTCCCTTGCTTTGCTTGGGGTTCACATGAGGGTGGACCGGGATAACCCCCGCCGGTCCAGATGGGGGGGGAACGTAGGTCCAGTCTTAGGGTCTCAGTTTTTCGTGGCTGCGGGAGAGCGGCCGTCTCCACACGCCCGCCATGCTTGTAGGCTGCAAAGTAGTTGCGAGTGGCCACAGCTCGGATTGTCACTTGGATGGTATCATCCTATTCGACTTAGTGTCAGCAAGAGCTGGGTGGCCTCTCTGTAGTGAGAAATCGTCTTTTTGTTAGTGAAATTCAGCTTTTTCTCTGGCAGCCAACAGGAGCTGCACAGGTTTGCTTCCTCTCAGCTCTGCGGCCAGGCCCCGCCCCCACTTGGTGAACCATTTAAAACTCAAATTGCTAGTGGGGGAAAAAAACATTTATCTCACAGTGAACATTTATCAGCACACGTGAAAACAGAGATCAGGCTGTGTGTATGCCGCATGTGTGGTGGGTGTTTATTTTTATTTAACTGCAGTAATAAAATTTAAACCAAAAAAATAGAAAAAGTTTTGTGTCCCTCTCCTGCTTGCCCTTTTTGCAGGGAAGATGCCATCTTTCCTGGTGTCATAGACTTGCATTGGGGCATTAAGGGTTGATTATACTATGTAATAATACATACATACTGTTAACTAATATTCTCATATTTTACAGCAACAAAGCAGAGTGCCAGTCACGCAAGCATCCCAGGATCTGTTAAGCTCTGGCGCCTGTGTTGGGGCCGATTCCTTAATGAAGCTTCTTGGAAACTATTGTCGGAACCTGGACATAAAGACTGCTATAAGTGTAGGAGTTGTAGGTATGTAATATGGCTTTGTATAAAAATTAAAGGGACACTATAGTCACCAAAGTAACTTTAGCTTAATGAAGCAGTTTTAGTGTACAGAGCATGCCCATGCAGTCTCACAGCTTGATTATCTGCCATTTAGGAGTTAAATAACTTTATGCAGCCAAAGCCACACCTCCCTGCGTGTGACTTGCACAACCTACCTAAACACTTCCTGCAAAGAGTCATCTAATGTTTATACTTTTTTTTTATTGCAAATTCTGTTTAATTTAGAATTTCTTATCTACTGCTCTGTTAATAGCTGTCTAGACCCTACAGGAGCCTCCCTGTATGTAATTAAAGGTCAATTTACTGAGCAGGAGATAAAAACATTTAAAGTAAGTTACATCTGATTGAAAATGAAACCATTTTGTTTCCATGCAGGCTGTGTCAGTCACAGCCAGGGGAGGTGTGGCTAGGGCTGCATAAACAGAAACAAAAGTGATATAACTCCTAAATGGCAGAGAATTGAGCAGTGAAGCTTCAGAGGCACAATCTATACACCAAAACTGCTTCATTAAGCCAAAAACTGTTTTGGTGACTATAGTGTCCCTTTAATGAAAAATGTTCATTCATAAAATGCATCTTAATTCTCAAACAGAACTTTGAAATTGTTGTTAATTGGTATTTTTGCTCATTTTTTAATACTCCTTTCCCAGGACACTTAGTATTTTTAAAGCTTTGCCCTTAAGTCATGACAACCTCCCAATGTGGCAAATATTGATAACTAGATATTGATTATGTATGCCGAAATGTAATTCTAGTAGCTTTAGTAAATTAATATTTGTGTTCCCAGAGATGGACGGATATATTATGTTTTCCACCATCCTTTAGCATCAGGGTTGTTGCTCTATTTTTACTTTTTTATTTTGATTAAATATTACCTTACACCATAAATTGTAGCCATGAAAACTGACCTTTTATAAAGCCTTTTAATGGTTTTAGCAAAGAGGACTGAAAGAACATCAATCCCCATAACAAGAAAATCTTACGTGATACGCACTTTTCCCAATTCTACTTTGATTCATTTTTTTTCTTTATTGTGCATTGTATAGCCGTATTCTGCATTGGATCACTGTGTCATACATTGTAGAACCGGCTGTATATCAGATTTTGCTGCGTAACATTATATAAACATTTATATGTATTAAAACGTTACGGCTTTCCCAAAAAGTAGCTAGTTATTGGGATACTATGCTGACAGTGCTGTCAGAAATTCTTTCAAAATCAAACTACTTGTCCCCTTGCTTGTTCCTCCTTTCTAACAGAGTTACTCTCACTAAAGTGAGAAGTCAAGTGGAATTTACATTTTAAGGTTAAAATAGCCAAAATGGAAATATTCTCCTAGTAAGCAGCTGCTTTCAGTTCTGTTACTCTGGCCTTAACTTTGAAATGTACTCTTTCAGTTGTGTAAGAACGTAGACTCCTTCACAACCCACACGAATAGATTAGCATTAACAAAACTTAGGGCTCTTGTAGAGATGTGGAGAAGTATTGAAACACCGCCAAGGTCTGCAGTTATTTAGAGAGTTAGACACAATGGGTGAACAGCCAAATTCCGACGTACACGGGTTCTGTCAAAAGGTCTGGGATCAATGACTAGGAATCCAGTGTCACAGAGATACTCTAGTCTCTCTCATTTCTGACACATGACGTTCTGTTCGGGACTCAAGGAGTCTCTTCCCCCTTTTCCGCCTGTTTTTTCTCACCTTCTCTTCCTTTCTTGTTTGATTGTACCGCCATCTGTAAAAAAAATAAAGAATTGTGGATTGAATGTATTTAAACACATATGGTAGTTATTTGTTATATTTTAATATCTGTGTAATGGGCAATTTTATATACCCTTTACATACATAGTTCAATTTGTCTTCTCTTACAGGGTTTCCAAATGTGGGGAAGAGCAGTTTGATAAACAGTCTGAAGAGGGCGCGTGCCTGCAACGTGGGAGCCACACCTGGGGTAACCAAGTAAGTTTTGAGCTTGACATTATTAATACTCCATTATCCATCATGAAGATCAGAAAACATGCAAATGTTATTACTTACTCAGGAAGGGGTAGGCAACCTTCTGAACTCTCCCCTAATAGAAACATAGAATGTGACGGCAGATAAGAACCATTCGGCCCATCTAGTCTGCCCAGTTTTCTAAATACTTTCATTAGTCTCTAGCCTTATCTTATAGTTAGGATAGCCTTATGCCTATCCCATGCATGATTTAATTCCTTTACTGTGTTAACCTCTTCCACTTCAGCTGGAAGCCTATCCCAAGCATCCACTACCCTCTCAGTAAAGTAATACTTCCTGATATTATTTTTAAAACTTTGTCCCTCTAATTTAAGGCTATGTCCTCTTGTTGTGGTAGTTATTCTTCTTTTAAATATAGTCTCCTCCTTTACTGTGTTGATTCCCTTTATGTATTTAAATGTTTCTATCATATCCCCCCTGTCTCGTCTTTCCTCCAAGCTATACATGTTAAGATCCTTTAACCTTTCCTGGTAAGTTTTATCCCGCAATCCATGAACCACTTGATACATTGGATGACGTTCGGGCTCAGGGGTGAATGGGCAGGTATACTATACTTCTTTTAAATATACCATCCTCCTTTACTGATGCTTTGCCAGCATTAAGGCTGTAAGAGCATTATGTGAGCTGTAGTCCACAACATCTGGAGTACCAAAGGCTGCCTACCTCTGTAGGTAATAGGGCTTGTAGTCCGACAGTTGGAGAATCTTTAACTGGTGTCATCACAGAACTCTACATAGTCTCTGGTTCCATCTATGTCTCTATTTCACTCTACTCACCAACCCCAATTTAGGTTGTCTTGTTTTTCTTAAAATGAGCTTGAAGACCCTAAGAACTTTATTATGTAGTGTTCAGTGTAGGATTGACTGATACATGCAACTCTTCCATCTAACTTAGGTGCCTACAGGAGGTTCATTTGGACAAACACATCAAACTCCTGGACTGTCCAGGAATAGTCATGGCTACTACCACGTCAGATGCAGCCATGATCCTGCGTAACTGTGTGAAGATAGAGCAACTTATGGACCCTGTAGGGCCAGTGGAGGCCATATTGAGACGTTGCAACAAGGAGCAGGTAAAATATGACTATCCAAAATTCAGGGGTCTAGGAAGTTTTCACTAATGAAACAAAAATTACTTCAAAAGAACTTTTACATAATCCGTGGTCACATAGTGTCCATCCAAAAGTATAGGATAGCATGAAATCGCTCCAGCTGCAGCCTTCTGCAGAGACGGGACTGGCCTAAAATGTTGTCCATGCCAACTTCCGGTTGGTAAATGCCCTAGAATATCTGTGATTTAGATGAACAGATTCTTTTGACTGTAGAATCCTCATCGGACTCAATTTACAAACATGAGTATATTGCATTTATAGTTTAACAGATTGGCTTTTAAGCCAGACTCCAAGGATCTTCAATGGTTGAGGGTCTGTCACTATATTCAGTGCAGTGGATATGGGCAGTCCCTAAATACCGTGGCTCTTGAGTACTGGTTTAAGACACACTAGGTCTAGAGTTTCAAATAGCTTTGTTCTAGCCTTGTAAATATCTTCTTACAGATCTTACAACACTACAAGGTGACAGATTTTAGAGATACCCTGGAATTCTTAGCCATGCTTGCTAAACGGCAAGGAAAGTTGAAGAAAGGGGGGACACCAGACCATGACAAGGCGGCCAAATCTGTGCTAACAGACTGGGTTAGGTAAGTGTTTTAATATAAAAATGAGGTAGGGGTGTGTCGTAAAGTGGGAACAACATGCAAACAATATTTCATAGTTCGTGTAAAAAAACAAAACCAGGACACCAGCTTACGTTACGGGGTTAAACCAATAACATACGGTTTAACTGCAAAGTATTGTATTCAGTGCCAGTTAGCTCTCATAGGCTGAGATTGTCAGCTCACACTCCCAGCCTATTAGCAGTGCCCACGTAAGAGGCTTCCTGATTCAAGCCTTGAACAGAAGCTGAAGGTAAGCTGGTACCAGGAACCGTAACAACTTTATTCCAATTAATTTGTTATGATTCCCAGAGTGTTCCTTTACAACCGGCCAAAGATTTTTATTTTTCAAAGAGTCTCTTTCAACTAATTTTTAATAGTGTTTTATATCAATGAAAATTTAAAGACTTTTTTTTTTATTATTATTAAATGTTATAAATTTTGGTATAATTTGCTTCGATCTTTGATGCATTTTTTTTCTTCTCTGCTTTTCCTCTCTCTTCAGTGGTAAAATAAGTTATTTTACTCACCCGCCAGAGACCCACACAATGCCCACGCACATCAGCGCTGAGATTGTTACAGAAATGGGGAAAGCCTTTGATTTTGAAGCACTGGAAGCGGACAATAAGGAGTCCTTGTCAAGTAAGTGGTGCAGAGAATATTGAGGGGATTCTGCATTGTGGCCAAGATCACAGCTGAGTTTAAAGGGGCACTGGAGGGACTGTAACAACTTTATCTTATTGAAGTGTCCAGACTCTCCCTGGTGCCGTCCTTCTATTCAGTGTTAAACCATCTTTAACATTTTAATGCTAAACTAGAGTCCACAGCAGCCCATCCCTTTTGTGCTGCTTGATCTAAGGAGGAAGTACACCTCCAAAGTGTTTAGAAGGGACAGTCCCTATTGTGGGCCCTAAATTCCTCTGTCCCTTTTTTTTTTAATCCTAATGTCCCTCTTTTTTGGGAGCTCCATATTGTTGGTGTGTCTGAGTGTTTAATAGAGCTCTGCAGCAATAATACTCTCTGTAATGTGTCTTTCAGTTACAATAGATGTTTTAGAAATCAGTCTGTGTAAGTGAGATACATGGTTCTTGTTCTAAATTATGTTTTAGTTGAATAAATTGATAGTAGTAAGTCACATAAAATGTCTCACAACTGCCCCGTTCCTGGCCACAGCTCCACTCACACCCCTAAAATTAAAGTGTCCCTCTTTGTCCACTTGAAAAGTTGGGAGATATTAGGACACACTAGCTTGAGCAGAAGTGGGCGGTTTTGATTGGCTGAGAGTGTCAGCTGACTGCTTTCAGCCTCTAACATTACTGGTATGAATCGGTATGGCTAGAAATAAATGTGTACTCTCTGCCTTAGCCACACCTCCAGTAGAAGCCGGGCTGCAGATGGCCAGGGACCCTTTAGTGTTAAACTGCTCGAAAATGGTTTAACACTGAATGCAAACACTGCATCAAGGGACTCCGTGCACTATAATCAATTCATGAGATGAAATAAATACAGTTTCTACAGTCTCCCTATAATCAGAAGTCTGCAGCATTTCTCATTCCTGTCTGCTAACCCTGTTTAGTGGCATTTGTTAATATCTGAGCTACAGCTGAACTCACCTGAAGTAAAGTAGGAATATCATAAAATAGTGTTTTTGTTTTGCTTTTTGGGTCCTGATCGCAAGTCTTAACCCCTTAAGGACAAAACTTCTGGAATAAAAGGGAATCATGACATGTTACACATGTCATGCGTCCTTAAGGGGTTAAAGGACCACTATAGTGCCAGGAAAACACTCGTATTCCTGGCACTATAGTGCCCTGAGGGTGCCCCCACCCTCAGGGTCCCCCTCCTGCCCGGCTCTGGAAGGGGTAAAAACTTACCTTTCTCCAGCACCGGGCAGGGAGCTCTCCTCTTCCGATCCTCCTCCGTTCCTCCCCGTCGGCTGCGCGCGCATTCAGCCGGTTGCATAGGAAAGCATTTGCAATGCTTTCCTATGGACGCTGGCGTGCTCTCACTGTGAAAATCACAGTGAGAAGCACGCAAGCGCCTCTAGCGGCTGTCAATGAGACAGCCGCTAGAGGAATTGGGGGAAGGCTTAACTCATTCATAAACATAGCATTTTCTCTGAAACTGCTATGTTTATAAAAGAATGGGTTAACCCTAGCTGGACCAGGCACCCAGACCACTTCATTAAGCTGAAGTGGTCTGGGTGCCTAGAGTGATCCTTTAAGAACATGACTATATTGATCAATATTATCAGCGTTTACATAGCGAGAACTTATTCCGCTGTGCTTTACAATATTATAAAAGGGAGAAGTTTAACAATAAATGAGACCATTACAAAATGCTAGAGGAACAATAGGTTGATGAGGACCCTGCTCAAACAAGCTTACAGTCTAGAGGAGGATAATATTTTCTTAGTTGCCAACCCCACTTGGAAAGGTTGACATTTCAGAATATTTGTTTGTAATTCTGTGATCCCCTCCAGAGATACAGGCTGCCCCTCAAGGCATTGCCATGGAAGCATCAGGTCTAACCACAGCAGCTCAAGAGGTGGATGACGTCGAACTAGATGAATCCAGCGAGGAGGAAGAAGCTCCTAATTCTATGGAAGAGGACGTAGATCCCGAGGTATGACCTTGTACAAGCTGGCTTTTTCTTTGGGAACATTGGAATTTTACAAAAAAAGTTACATTTTGAATCTGTTCAACATTTATGCACTTTAAAACATAAGAAACGTACCTTGCATGATATGTGTTCTGTAAAACCATCAGGGAGTAGACTGCTGTAGGATGTTGCAAATAATATTAACAATAAATTAGAAAAGCAAATAGCCTACTGCACAATTAGGCAGCCCTCCACCCTAGACCATGATGGACTATTTGGCCATCCTCGCTCTGTTATATACATAGGGACATAATTCAGTGCCATCTGTTTGTCACTACCCCTAAAATAAATGCTCAGGGACTACACTCATTTCGTATATAAAAGAAACGCACTTGAAAACCGCTTTTAAGGCTGTGATAGATATAAATGCTAATAGTGTACGCGGATCCAATAATCCAATATAATTGGATAGTGGTCTCATAAAAGGTTTCCTGTTTAAGTGTTGTATCGGTATTCAGTTAGTCCTTATTCATGGCACAGCAGTGGATTTATTGTGCTCTGTCTTCCAGTTTGGCCCTATGACTGTTGAAATTAAAAGCACCAAAACTAAGTCAAAGACTGAACCTGAACAGATCCCCAAAGCCCCCAACCTTAACGAAATCAGAGCGGTGGACCCCCTGCAGCAAGGACAAGCCCTGCGTGCCGCTGGCAAGAGGCGGAAAAAGCTGCAGAAGCGAGCAAGTAAGTTTAACAAGCTTGTTGTCCTAGTTTGTGGATACAACACTGAAAGGAGTGATGTAAAGATGCAATAGAGTTAGTTTATTAAAAAGGATTGCAGTACCCACCAGTTGCCTCTGGATGTCTTCATTGTGTTAAGTATAAAGTTATTTAAATGGGTCCGCACTATAATGAATTTAGCAAAGATTACAGTGAGTATACACTGACAGGGTTATTCAGTAAACGTTTCCCAAATCTGCTTGTTTAGATTCACCATTCTGATTAAATTTGCTAGAATTCAAAATTTAGTGAACTGTGAGTTATGTGCATCTGCAGGGTTTTGCTAAGCAAGGCCAGTAACGTTGGGGGAAAACATTTTTTTTTATTCTATTTTAAGGCACTAATTAAGGTTGTTTAACATCTTTCTGCAGACAAAATCGCTACCAAGCTCTCAGACTCCCTGACTATGGCCATGAATTTCGGGCTGTGTGATGACTGAATAATCAGCGTCCCAGCAGGCTCAGTGCTGCTTCACAAGAATGGTTCTACGAAAAGGCCGAATTGGAAAGAGAGACTCTACGCACTCCGCTCCCTTAATCTGTGTACATACTCATTGCTGTGTTAAGTTATATCAAGACTGAGAACTTGCTGTAATACAAGTACTTAAAGCCAACAAGCTGCTTGGACAGTTTCATTTTAATGCCAAAATAGAATTAAACAAAAAAACTGGGAACGCAAAAGCACCGGTATTATCTAATGGCCAAAACGTGCATTTTTTTTTTACAATTCAGTTTTCTTTTCCCCTCACTTTGTATGGGAACATTAAATTTAGCAGCTTGTATTTACAGTTTGTGTTTAAAATGTGTCTCGTGCCTTTTATAGCTCTTGGTCTAAAGTGTATATTGGGTAAGGGGTGGGGATTAAGTGTACATTGAATTTTCAGCGTATATGGAAGTAGAGTACGTAAAAAAAGGGGGCATGTGTTATGTTTCATGGCCGTTATAGTGTAAGATCATAACAGATGAGTACAATCAGTGTATGACTTTCATGGTCTTATAGCGTTATATAAAAACTCTCCAGCTATGCTTAATGTGGAATTTATGGTTAAGCCCACAGGTAAAACACAAAAATGTTCAATAGAAACACTTTAATAGAATATACTAAAAATGACAAGATAGAGCTGATGCATTAAGGGTCTCAGTCCATAGCAACATATGTTTAAATATCTGCATTGAGATGGTCCATACAGTGGTGGGGGGGACGGTGGTATCTGAACAGTGAATACATTTTTCTTGGAATATTTAACTTGTATTTGTTTCAGTTGATGAGACTTCAGCTTACACAGAAGGTGACTTGTTCCTTGATTCTGCATTGTGTATGGTATACCTACAACTGAAAATACACTTGTATAGAAAACAAAGTTCAAACTTGGACCCACATTACATTTTTCGGCATTTATAATTAGGTAAATACTGCAGTTAATTTATGGGGGGGGGGTTTCAGTCTGCATCATAGCTATTCTCCAACTACTAGTTAACTGAAATTGCGACATTTTGACAAAACTAGCAACCTTTAAAATTCTCCAACGGCTTTAACCCCTTAAGGACACATGACGTGTGACAGGTCATGATTCCCTTTTATTCCAGAAGTTTGGTCCTTAAAGGACCACTATAGTGCCAGGAAAACACTTGTTTTCCTGGCACTATAGTGCCCTGAGGGTGCCCCCACCCTCAGGAACCCCCTCCCGCCCGGCTCTGGAAGGGGGAAAAGGGGTAAAAACTTACCCTTTTCCAGCGCTGGGCGGGGAGCTCTCCTCCTCCGTTCCTCCCCGTCGGCTGAATGCACACGCGCGGCAAGAGCATTCAGCCAGTCGCATAGGAAAGCATTTACAATGCTTTCCTATAGACGCTTGCGTGCTCTCACTGTGATTTTCACAGTGAGAATCACGCAAGCGCCTCTAGCGGGTGTCAATGAGACAGCCACCAGAGGCTTTGGGGGAAGGCTTAACCCATTCATAAACATAGCAGTTTCTCTGAAACTGCTATGTTTATAAAAGAATGGGTTATCCCTAGCTGGACCAGGCACACAGACCACTTCATTAAGCTGAAGTGGTCCTTTAAGGGGTTAAAGGGACACTATAGGCACCCAGACCCCTTAATCTCGGTGCCTAGAGTGGTCCTTTAAGGGGTTAAAGGGACACTATAGGCACCCAGACCCCTTAATCTCATTGGATGCAGTGTCCCTGTCCCCTAAACCCTGCAATTCTAGAGAAACTGCAAGGCTTATATTGCAGGGTTAAGACTGCCTGTAGTGCTGTTTCATGGAGTTTAAGTTCACAAAATGATGTTGGACATCCTCAAGCTGTTGATTAGGACATCCTCATCTCCAAATCCCCCATGGGAAAGCATTGATTCAAAGCTTTCCTATGGTGAAGCCATAATGCATGCACACTATGTTCTCCCTTGGGGAAGACTTCTGAGGAGGCTTGCTTTGATGTTGGAATAAGGTGAGTGAATTTAGGGGTTATTTAACCCTTTGAGTGTTGCAGGGTACGGCAGATGACTACTTTAGTTTTAGGAATACAAAGCTGTATTCTAAACACTAAAAAGTGTTCTTTTAAACTCAGTTAAGTGAATAACAGAGTTTAATATATTTTAAGATACAGGAGTTGGTTAATCAGTATGACACTTACACCGTTTGAACTGGTTCCAATTACTGCGGGCGGATCCACAGGGATCTTGAATACAGCAGGTTCAGAAGGCCGAATGCTTTTCCTACGGCTTGTGCTGCGAGATCGAGAACGGCTCCTTCTTTGCCGCGTTGTTCTGGTCCTCTAAAGAAGAAAGATTGAAGATGCCCTTGGATCATGAAACAAATGGAGATAACTACATAGCATGCCAACCCCAGGAACCTGGGACAGCATGGGCAAGTTACACAGTCGTCTTTAAAATCCCTGATTAATAAAAATGGTTCTGGTTTTGCTTTGCCAGGTGCGGAGGATTAAACAAAGGTAACAGAAGTCTCTCTGTTGGAATTTATGGCCCGTCAAATTGAGTGTCCAGCCACCTATTGGATCACAGCTCTTATCATGCTCAGTGAGATTCTGGCTGAGGCTAGTGGGAGTGAAAAACATCTGATGTAATGTGACAGTGGGGACAACCACTTGTTCAACAGCTTATGTTGAATATAACTCCAGTTATCTTTATCCAGTATCTGGCTGTGCCCAATAGGAATTTCAGTCCAGAATAACTTTATATAGCGCATGAACCGAAACAGCCCAAACAGTATATAATTTTTTATAAATCTATACAAATCTTAATCTCAAAACTACCCATCTCTAGGAGAAAACTTTAGACTGGAGATTGGTCCTCAAGGCCTCTCTCTAAGATGCATTGGATTTGACAATATACCCAGCACCAACAAGGAAGTGTTAGGCAAAAAACAAAACATACGTTAGTAACAGGGGTCACACTTACCCCTGGCTGAGTCACAGCAATATTATATACAGCTGGCTCGGAGGGTCTTGTACTTGTCCTGCGACTAGCGCTGCGTGACCTTGAACGACCCCTCCTCTTTGGAGTGCTAGTAATCTGTGCTGCTGGACAAAAAAAAAAAAAATCTAGAACATTAAATATTTGTGTTGTTTAGGTCCTGTGACCTGTTATTAATGATAAAAATTCCCCCCCCACCTTCCATGGGGGTTTGTGGTTTACATTTAAAATAGGCAATGTGCGATAGCCGTATTAATAAAATATATTTACCATCTATTAGCAATAAAATAATCCTGGCAGGGATAATAAATATGGATTCTTCTGGATTGAATGTTAGAGTGCAAGCTCTTTAAAACACTTGGTCTATGATAAAGGTCTGCAGGAACAAAGCACGATAAAATAGTGAGATTTGTTCCATGTTGTAAGGAATATAGATCATTTGTGAAAATCTAATGGGAAATCAAATCTTACTAGCAAACCAAAAAGCTGCAAAAATGGACCAGTGTGCTTCAGAACACACACATATTTACAGAATATACACCGATAGAGCATTTGGCTCACAGATCAACAGAGGGAAAAAATAATAATATATACATGGAAAAACAGTAGGAGTAGTAAAAAACAGCTCCACCCACAACTATACTATAGATTTTTTAAATTTAGATTTTTTTTATTATTAATTATTTTTCTGCTCCCCCTAGCCCATTTCACACTTCATCTATAAATAAAAACAAGACCTAGGGACGTCCCCTAGCCATCAATTTTTATTTATTTTATGACAAGTGGAATTTTGAAAATTGGCCACTTACTCCCTCTGAACATATTTGGCAATGAGCGTTTGCGTTTCAGTTACTCCATAATAGTTACTCAAGTATATTTTGATTTGGAATTTAGGAAATCTGCTGATCCCGAAATTGCCGTAGTTTTGGCCAAATTGCAGTTTGGTCCACAACGACTCTCCATGTTTAATATTCAGGTGGATTGCATCCACTCACAGCAATCTGTGAAAACGAAGAACCTAGGAATCCTGGCCTTTAATAGACTGTATAAAGAGGAGGATTGAAAATATGTTGTGGCAGAGTAACGAGATTTAGATGCAAGTCGATTTTGTAAAGTGAGAAGGTCTCCTGTTAGATCATTATGCAAATATAACCATCATGGAAAAAGTGACGAGGATCTTCATATACAAAAACACTCTGTGGAACAGAATGATGCAAAATTATAATTCATTATAAGGCAACTTTGTTTAAAATTAAATATCAAATGTTGGACAACAAATGCCATTTCAGATACTCTGGAAACATTCTTAAAACATCGTGAGAATTCAACTTACCCAGATGTTCGCTATGCCGAGAGTCTAGCAGGTACTTTTCTCGGGTATTTTCCAAAAGAAAGGATGGGTCAGGAATTCCAGAATCTCCAAACATCAGATCATTTGTCAGTAGAACTTGGTCCTCCGAGAGTTTTGGGTTTTTTAGAATATGTTCTACAGCAAAGGTTACACACACACAAAAAAAAAAAAAAAAAAGTTACAACTAAGAATATCAAGAGGCCATAAACGTATTTAAAGATTGGAAACATGCCTTAAGGTCTCAAAGAATATCCACACAATGATCTTTACAGAGGTCTTTATAATGATCAATGTCACGGGTGGTGTTATTTTATATATACAAGGGGGAAAAGATATACATAAAATGGTCACTCATGGAACAAAAAAATGAAAGAGTAGTATAGCAAATATTTGGCACAAGTTTGTTAAAATAAAAATAAGTGTTAGATCATTTGTTTCATAATAAAAAAAAACAAAAAAAAAAAACCACAACAACTCTGTGGGTGTTTCTTTCCTATTTTGTTTGTAGAGGTACTCCTCACTTACCAACCGGGTTCCGTTCCTATGACCTCGTCGTTGAACGAATTGGTTGGTCAGTGAGGAGCTAAGGGATTCCCTGCTTTGTTGCGTTTGTCTATGTTCGGGGAAATGTCCCCGAACATAGACGAACGCAGCAGATCAGGGAATCCCATAACGGCTCACATTTACCACCCCGCGAGAGAGCTGGTCGTAAGTGCGAGCCGTTGTAAAACAGGTAGGTTGCAAAACGAGGACCACCTGTAATTCGATAACAATGGACTCCGAGTTTAAGCTTCCTGGTTTGGTTCCGAAATACAAAAAAAATTTAAATAAATACAAAATAGGAAATACCAAAAAGTTAGATAAACACAATATTATACATTTCTATCTGCTCTTTATTTTTATCCCAACCTCTATTTGTCACTTCTAACTTGATCTGTTAATAAAAATTCATATTTAGTGGCTGTATCCTAAACAATCACTCAATCAATCTTTTTGGAGGGGCTTGGGACGGAACTCCTAATTACAAAACAAAATGGCTTGTCCATTTTTTATTTTGTTATTTGGACAGATGATATTTCAGTTCGGGATTTCAGTTGAATTGCCAGTCACCCAAAATTCAGATGAATTGCAAGTCTATATAAAAAAATACTGTAACGCTCCTTGGCTGTGCCTTATAACTTGTAAATCCGATTGCAGCATGCGGAGGTCAGAGGAAATTGGCTGTCCTAAGTCCAATGGCCTAGTTAAAGTGAGGCACTTCTTTTTGAATATAGTTTTTGCACATGTTATTCATTTGAGAGGACCAGACTTGTAGCCTGGTCAGCCACATATACTGCAGCCCACCTGGAACTACCCCAGTGGACCAGCCCTAGAATAGAGGACATCAAGAACACAGGGCATCAGCCTTTGTGTAAATGTAAACAGTGCTCTGCTTAAAAAAAACAAAAAAAAAAAAACAACACAATTCCGGTCTGCTTATACAGTTCTGCAACTTACTCCTGTAATATGTTGTAAGCAGACATCGAAGAAAAATCTTCCAGTATCTTCATTTTTAGAAGAAGAAAGGTTTGAGGCTTCTACCCACAACCCAATTGCCAGCCCTTTTATGCCAGTAGATGAAGAGGCAAATGCTCCCCTGCTTGCCCTCTCATGCCTGATGGGATTGGCTACATTTCTGTCCATTCTTAAAAGATCAGTACCTGCTTCTCGTATAATGCTCTGTAACTCCGCTTTTGTTTCCTGCAGACCATGCAGCACCTCCAGGCTCTGTCTCTGCACATCTCGATGGGTTACAGTGAAGTAGAGAAGGACTAAAAGTCCAATGGATGTGGAGATTCTGCGCGATATCCCAACCCAGAAAGCTATGCTCTCCTGGAAAGAAGAGAACAAGTGGCGGCAGGTTAAGTTTGAAATGGTGGGGATGGAACAAGACTCTACTCTACTCCCCGGAATTGGTTTCTGTCCCTTAATGTGTTGGGCTTTGCCCACTTAATTCAATATACTCAATGCATAAGGCTTTAAGGTCTGTTCAAGATCTATAGACACATCTGTAAAACAACAACAACTACCTATGTAAAAAAGGCTGACCCCACCCACTGATGCTCATATCCAATGACAACCCTAAAAACTGGACAATATGCACGCTAGTCTTTTGGGTGCTCAAAACCTTACAGCCCAATGCAAAGCCAACGGGGGACACCAGAAATGTTACAGAAGAATAGGTATGTCTGAGGGAAGTACGTCAATAAAATGGGGCATTTTGCAGAAATGCCCAAATATCTTGACATGATTCGTTACTGAAGACTAGGATGTATCTCCAGCCATCAATACAGAGGAGACGAAAAGGAAAAATAAAATAATGACACATGAAGTTTTATTTAAATACACAACTATCAATAGTCCTCACCATGCCAATAGATTTGTTGGAATTAGTACAAGTCACTCACCGTCTGGTCAAAGCCAGAGTCAGTACCTCCAAGGATATACGAACAGATCATTCTCTCTGAATATACATTAGCAGCTACTAAGCCAAACAGGATCAATCTGTAAATACATTGTTCCAACAGACAGTATTCCACAAGATTTAGAAAAATGCATTATTAGTTTTTATAGATATTGCAGTTACGATGGCAATATTTTACAGTATGAACAGTAGTTCAAAAACACTACTAAAAACAACACAAATATTTGAATTGCTGCAATACAAATCATTCTTTTGAATTTAAATATGAATGGTATTTTTTTATTCTTGTCTTATTACAAACGTTGCCTTCCACTTTTACTTTCATGGCATTCTGTAGAATATTCTATCAAGACACTATAGAATTCATAGCACCTTGCCATTCTATGAGAATATATATATATATATATATATATATAGCATTTTGTATATAGTCAGCATTTAACAATGAATACTCCAGTATTCCCAGAAAAGATACCTTTAGATATGCCTGATTTGAATTTAGATCCTGGGGTGAGCTCATGCCATTACAGAGAGAACATCTCTGAAACATATCAGACTGGTCCCACCCATACGGAGAGTCCAGATCCGAAATGCCAGCACGTACCCTCTGCACGAGAGACACAGCAACCCCAGCCTTGTTAGGCATCATCAGTGAGGCATAGCTGATATCTCTCTAGGCACCGTGAGCAAAGGGTTCACGTCTGGATTACCTTTAAACTTGTGGAGAGCAAAAAACATGGCGCAAGAGAATACTAAGAACAGGCAGCAGCTGAAATAGCCTGCCCTTTGGTGGGTCCCCGCTCAGATCTCAAGCGGGTTTTAACTCATCTGGGGTGTTCATGTGTCGATATAACTAAAGGATATGTCTTTTTGTGATCTATCTTATATGTATGAGAAACTGTGTGAGTCATGCCAGGAATCAAACTTTCACCCTTGAAGTTTGACTATGCATGACGAATATTACAGTTGGTGTACTAACCAAGTGAACCATCTTACCAGCTGGTTTATTTCAGTAGACAGGCAGCCTAAGGAAGTGTAAAGCAGTGGAAGGTACTTACCTGGCTCCAGAGGTTCTCTGTGTGGAGGTGAGCAGAAAGACAGCAACACAAGCCAAAAGGTTGTAGAGGAAGGAGTAGAGCGAGTTGGATTCTCCGACAACAAACTGGTGGAGGAAGGTGATCCGGTTAAAGATTTCAGAGAATAACAAACGCTGTTCAGTGGCAGACTGCTCCATCTCTTGGAAAGCTTGCTTCATCCCTGAAATTAGACCATAATGTGTGAATCTACATGGTTCATTGAAAAGGACGAGTTTTCTGCTAATTTTACTTGCTCTTACCCAGCGTGGACTCCTGTAGTGTCTGTTTGAGAAGGTGTCCGTTTCGTAGGATCTCCTCCTGAGACTGAAGTGTTGCATTCTGGGCTTGCATCATCTCTTCTGCTAATAGGTTGGTGGCCTCTAGCTGCTTGGCTACACTGTCAGAGTGCGCAGTTAATCTGCAGAGAAAAATTTAAATAAATCAATATTAGGCAGGAGCCTGGTTTTGTGGGAGGGGCTAGTCCAGCTATTTAAAGTACCCACCTCATCTAGCCAGTAGTCGCATTGTGATCGGAGCAGCAGGTATCCCACCCTCCACTCCCAATTTTCAGAACACACGCACCCCACCCAACAAACTAGCGTAAGAACATCAAGATATGTGTTGTAAAGTGGTCTAAGAATTCCACTCAAACATCATAACGTAGTGAAGCTCAGTACATCCTATTTACCAGATGTGCCACAGAGGAATCTACGAATGGATCAGTCATCTCTTCGAAACTTGGAGATTCATTTCATTATAAATTTGGGTCGATAGTACGAATTTTCAAACTCTGAGCTGAAATGTAGCTGAATTAGTGTTCCCTGCAAGAGCATAGTGCCCTGAACATAGCTCGAGCTATGCTATGTTTGTTGGGAACAGTCCCTGGTCTACCCAAAAGCACAAAACCAGGGAATGGAGATGGGATAGGAACCCAAAATCTGACAGTTGGGAGGCATGGGCTAGTGGACTACCATTAAATGTTGATTTTATTCACAGATCACGTGAGAAGTGATTAAAGGACCACTATAGGCACCCAGACCACTTCAGCTCAATGAAGTGGTCTGGGTGCCAGGTCCCTCTAGTTTTAACCTTGCAGCTGAAAACATAGCAGTTTCAGAGAAACTGCTATGTTTCACTGAGGGTTAATCCAGCCTCTAAAGGCTGTCTCACTTCCGCGATTCTCACTGACGCTGGACGTCCATAGGAAAGCATTGAGTAATACTTTCATATGTGCTGTTTGAATGCACGCGCGGCTCTTGCTGCGCATTCGGATCTGACGTCGGCAAGGGGTGGAGAGGTCCCCAGCACAGAGGGAGCCGGGCGCTGGAGAAAGGTAAGTGGCTAAAGGGGTTTTAACCCCTTCAGCCCAGCAATAGAGGGGCCCTGAGAATGGGGGGGGACCTAATGACCCCTAACGTGCCCGTAAAACAAGTTTGTTTTCCTGACACTATAGTGCTCCTTTAAGAAGGGCAGAAACTATTTCTTCAGCATTGTCAGGACATAGTTAAATTGCCAAAGTAGTATTTTGAATTCTGTACTATACGTCGTCATTTACCTTAGAATGGTATCCTGGGCCTGCTCCTGCCACATTTCATTCTGCAGATAGTAACAGATACTGTGAGCATGAGTGAAGAATTCTGTGTACGTATTGAAGGCCACTGAGTCCATACCACGTGTGCACTGCCGTATGGAGTTTTTTTCTGTACAGACAGGGTAGTCCCGACCAGATCTCAAAAAAGGTAAAACTTTATATCAGTACAAAATAAAATAAAAACAAAAACGTATCTAATGAGGTTTGATGAAAACCCCAAACCAGTTTGAGAACTACAGGTTATCCTACGATTCGGAGACATTTACTTTCATATTTTTCTCTCTAGTATGGTTTTTATCATGTAAAAAAAACACAAAGTCCTCAATTATTAATACTTTAAAAAAAATGAGTTTTTCAGAACTCCAGATGTTATGGACTACATCTCCCTTGATGCTTTGCTAGCATTATGGCTGTAAGAGCATTATGAGAGATGCAGTCCACAACACGTGGAGTGCTGAAGGTGGAACAACCCCAGCCCTTGACACTGCCAAAATACACGTAGTCACCTCTCCAAGTGGCAGTGTGTGAATGCCAGAGCTATGCGGCTTTGTTGTTCTTCATCCAGTTGCTTGCACCCAACATCCACAGTCTGCAAGGCCCGGGTCCAGCAGTCTCCGTAGCGAGGGTGCCGTGCAAAGTCCTGGAGTTTCTGCAGCTCCGTCTTGCCTTTCTCCATTACCGCTGTGTCCAGCTCAGAACGTGCACACAATAGGGTGAGAGCCAACACCGGCAAGATGGCAACAGTATGTAGAGGAGCCATTTTGAAAGACTGTCTGAAGAGGTGTAAAAAAAAACAAAAAACTAAACAAAAGTAATACATTTCTTTACGGAGAACTAATTGCAGACCACGTGAAAATAAATGGAGAGGTTGCAAAACTAGACTTTGGTTAACCGAACTAGACAGTGCCAATGCTGGATTCCAGAACTTTCTTAGGTTTACCTCAACCCCCTCAGTATTTTGCCAAATTTTTTACTTTAAGGCATTGTGTCTGTGTACAAAGTTCCCTGGAACTGGTATCCAATGCCATGCCACTTCAGCTTAATTTTCTCCTTTACTGAGCCCAATGAGAAGGCATCCTAACAAAGGTTCTGAAGAAGTCAGACACTGACCTTTTGTAATGATTTCCCTTGTGGCACTACACAGATCAAGTCAATACTCGTGGCTGCGATGCAGCAACAGGGTCCTGGGTCTAGTCTTAGGAGGATTAAGATCATAGGCAGGTTAATAGGTTGGGACCCACATTCATTCCTCACAAAGGAATGGAGAATAGGGTCATGCATATTTCTGGGCTCACTCGTCTTATCACTGGGTCTTAGGCGGCTGCCTTATGTTTAATCCTGTATTTGATCTAAAGACTCTAGAAGCTGGGAAGAAGGGGAAAACCATGGTATCTAGAGCAGTGGTAGGAAACCTTTGGCATTCTAGATGTTGTGATAGTTATATCTTCCATAATGCTGGCAAGGCATCAGGGGAGGTAGTCCGCAACATATGGAGTGCTGAAGTTTGCTTAATCCTGCACTAGAGCTTTGCTACTTCTAAAGTAGTGGTGCCAAAAAGGTAGATCACTAGCTGTTGTAGAACTACAACTCCCATGATCCTTTGCATGCCTTTAGAATACTTTAGAATGACAAGGCATCGTAGGAGCTGTAGTTTTAAAACATCTGGGGTTCTACCTTTTGGACACCCGAAATCTAAAGTTTACAACTACTAAGCCAGATCAAACAGATATAGCTATATCCATTACAAGGTATCTCAGACTCAGCGATCAAAGCCTTGTGCCATTTCCTGCTGTGGTCATCCTTGCTTCTGAGAACAAAACTGTTATTCCTGGTTAGCAAACAATATATTGAAATCAACGCGGACTTTGTTTTCAAACGTTTCTGTAATCCCCAAATTGACAATGCATAATCAGTATTTAGACAGCCACAAAACACATGGTGACACCTCTGGAACTCCACTAAAGCATGGAGCACCAAGTCAGAACCTTCATCTTCCAGTTATAAACACAAAGCAGATACTCGTAGCAGTATTTCTGCAAAAAAAAATCTGATTATAAAAAAAAAAAAAAAACACACAAACATATTAACCCATAGTTGCATCATTGTAACCGAACCAGATCAGGTGGACATATGCAACATTTTGGTTTGACTGTGCCAACATCAGTACTACCATAAGGCAAGACATGGCTTCCTCACATTTGCCATTAGCTGGGCCTGTATAAACTCATGGAATTTAAAAGTGCCAAGTTGTATCCATGGAAATATATCTCTATGTTGCATCTTAAAGAGGAACAGCCGCTTCTAAAGATGTGCCCTCTAGTGGGCCTGAAACGTAATTAAGAGGATCTTCTACTGGGATTGTAGTATAGTCAGTGAAAATGTTGCAGTATGATATGGGGAGCCCCCTCCTACCTTTTAAGATGATTGTTAATCTTACGCCAAAAGAAGAAGAATCCTAATTGGAGAAAGCAAAAAAAAAATTCTTACATTTACTGGTGTCCTAAAATGTGTGATTCCCTGAATAGCTGATATATCTTATGCTGTTGGGTAGTACAGGAAATATGCTGCCCCGTATAATGTATAATCAAAGGAACCAACTTGATTAAGAGAGGTTGCTCAATACATATGAAATCAACACAAAGCGAGCGTGAGATTTCACGAATTCGTGACAAATTCAGGAAAATAATAGCAGATCCGGTAACCTGAAGAAAGTGATACTAAAGTGTGAATCACTGGGAATTTAGAGAGAATTTCACATTTTAAACTAAAGTAGAGTTTAACCAGTTCTTAAAGTCATCTATGATTTCAGGGAAATGAAATTAACTTTAAATTCAGTTCACACGTTAGTGAATAACCTTCCAACTCACTATAAGATACACATCAATACATAGAACCGTAACTGGTTTTTAAAGGATACTGTACAGACTTGCCATGTTGGGAGTTCACACAATACCTGGAATAGATCCCAGTGTTCTATGGAAGCTCCACTAATACAGAGTTTCAATCACTCACCATCACTCAGCTGACTCTACTGATCATCAGCATCTAGACTCACTCATTTCCTCTGTGCTCAGGATATTTAACCCCTTGCCTCCTGCTGCAACGTTTAAAGGGACACTCTAAGCCAGGGGTGCCCAAAAGGTAGATCCCCAGATGTTTTAAAACTACAGCTTCCATGATGCATTCTAAAAGCATCTGGGGATCTACCTTTTGGGCACCACCGCTCTAGGCACTGTGATCACTTTATCCCATTAGACTGAGCAATACAGATTGGACAGCTTGTGACAATCATTCAGGGTTACGGGGTTACTCCAAGCCCCCTGACCAGTGATGTGAAGTGGTCATGGTGCCTGGAGTCTGTATGTACAGTGTTTCGCTTTGAAAAGCCGCACAGAGATGAACCCCCTGGCTGTCAAAGGTGTAACTCCACTTCCAGCTGTGTCAATAGCCAGTCCAGAACAAAGTTTCAGACGACTAATGTCAGTTCTATGCAAATTTGGATGCGTGCCCCCAAATCTTCCTCCCTGACCTTCAGAGGGAACTTTTACTGTTTCTTTTATTTAAAATATAAAAAAAAATAGGTGGGGGGAGGGGAGCAACTATAACCAATGCCTCTGGTTTTATGAAAACACTGCTTTCTGGTTGGAGTAACCCTTTAAAGGGACACTATAGTCACACAGACCACTTCAGCTCATGAAGTGGTCTGGGTACAGTGTCACTGTCCCCATTAGTCCTGAACTAAGACTGCCTCTAGTGGCTGTCAGACAGCCACTAGAAGCACTTCCTGGTGGTTAAGCAACTTTTGGTCGCATAACTGGCGCCGGATGTCCTCACGCAATGCCTTCCTATGGTGAGGGCCTAATGCACTGGCTGTACATGCACATTCCCCTCGTCCCCGTGAAGCGCCGAGGGATTTCAGAGCTGGAATCGGCCAAGTATTAAAAGTTTGTTTTGTTTTTTTTAAAATCACTTTCTGTGTGTCGGGGAGGGAACTATATTGAAAGGAATACAGATTTGTAGTTCTTACACTATAGAATCCCTACAGTGGAGGGACAGCATGGCACATTTCAATGAGATTAAATTATTATTGTGCCTGCAGTGTCCCTTTAACACAGTCACATGTAGTACAGCCCTCCCATCTATCCGCTTTATAGGGAACTCTGACAGTTTTCTTGGTTCTTTTTTTTACCTGCCACTCGTCTCAATCCCTCAGAAAATGCCATGTCTGTTTTTTTTCTTTTTTGTATATCTATATACTTTTGTATTTGTCTTGTTATTGTAATTGTTCCTTTCTGTATGAAGAAAAAAAAAAACCAATAGACTATCTAAAAAAACAAAATGAAAAATGAGGCGCAGTTATGTTTTAGATTCTTTATGAAAACCTACGTTGACTTCATATGATATATATGTACACTCCCATGATTTAGAAACATGTCCCATAGATTCCTGTGTAAGAGTATAGGATCGGTGTGGCTCTTGACAGTCAAAGTTTCAGAAACTGAAGAAACATGGCATAGAGGAGGAACATTAGGTAATTATATCTGCCCACCTACTTAAACATTATACAAATATATTCGGGGCCAATACAAACCATTGTGTGGAAATCTATTCACAAACCGGACTTTACATAGGACACGAGGCCATGCGTTTAGACTGGAAGAAAGAAGATTTTATCTAAGGCAAAGGAAAGGTTTTTTTACTGTAAGAACAATCAGGATGTGGAATTCTCTGCCTGAAGAAGTGGTTTTATCAGAGTCAATACAGATGTTCAAACGGCTACTAGATGCATACTTGCAAAAACAGAATATTCAAGGATATAATCTTTCAATGTAGGGTAATAACTGCTTGATCCAAGGATAAATCTGACTGCCATTCTGGGGTCAAGAAGGAATTTTTTTCCTAGCTTGTTGCAAAATTGTGCTTCAAACTGTTTTTTTTTTTTGCCTTCTTTTGGATCAACAGCAAAAAACAAATGTGAGGTAGGCTGAACTTGATGGACGCAAGTCTCTTTTCAGCAATGTAACTATGTAACTATAACTTATTCCTCAAGTGCCACCATTCAAGTGGACATGTTACCTGGGCAATGTTTGCAAAAACTGCATACACCCCACTTTGTATGACCACATCAAGATTCCCGTAATAAAAGGAAAGAATCCTACACTCCCTGCAAATTACAGGCCACTATCACTCCTGAATGTGCATTTTAACATAAACGCTAAACTTAAAGCTCACATACTGCAGCAATACTTACAGTCTCTATTAGACACAGAGCAGATGGGCTTCGTCCCAGTGAGGGACAACCAGAATTTTTAAGTACATTCAACTCTCTGCTCCAAGTACACCCCAACTCTGTTACTCTACACCAGTGTGAAAGTGTTCAAAAGTGTAGACTTGGCCTTTCTTTATGCCCCACTTTAAAGGTTTTTGCACAAACGTATTTGCTCCCAGATCACACTAAGCACAATCCAGTTTCCTTTATTCAACATTCCTTTCAATCTTTTTTCCTATCTCACTCGCTCCTATGTATGTGAGTTGTTGGTTTCGGTCAGGGAACCCAGCTACAAAAATATGACAAAATGTGGTGGTAATTTGTAGCCACTACAAAACTATGAACACAATTGTAAGCTTGTGTGTGTTTCATCAGCAGTATTTCTGGTGTAAAAGGTGACTCCAATGAATGGTTAATAGTTTGAGAAATCAGTAGGAAGAGGGGAGGGTGATAGAAGGACAGGAAGGGCGTAGAATAGGGGGAATGTAAAGGAAGGCAGGAGTGAAGACAAGATGATTAAAGTAAAAGAGTACGAATGAGAACCTGAGAGAAGACAATATTCAACCAGGGTGCAAACATTGCTTTTAATGTAATGCATTGCCCTCTGTAGAACTTAGTAACCAAGCCCAACAAAAATTAAAAATATATTTGCAAAATTTGGAACAACTTTTAAAGGATCATGATAATTTAGAAGCTATAAATATATAAAAATGTCTTTAGATTTTTTTTCTTCTTAAAAACCTGGATACATTCAGATTTAAAAAAAAATCTTGGACTGCTCACCTACATTTTAAAGCATTGGGGACCTGCGCATTCAAACTCTTTTTTGCTTCCCCAGCCTCCCCCCTTTCACCCCAAAAAATGAAAAAAAATATATATAAAAAAAATAAAAAATCTTAGATTGTGAATGGCACCATCACTTCTATATGTAGACAAGGAAGACATTCTAGATACGGACTGCGTATGAAGTATGTGGCAACGTGCTTCAGCGGTTCATAATATAATCTCCTTATTGGTTACATCGAATATAAATATTTCACTTGCTCTAAATCCCTTAAAATGGACATTTAAAAATCACGTCCCATGAAATCCTGCCATGCAAGAACAAAGACCAATTTGGTATCAGAAATATTCTTTATTTATAAAAGGAAAGTAGAAAATGCAACAAACAACATTCTTTAAGAAGCAGAAGGAAAAGAAGTATTGACCCTTGGTGACATTCAGTGTATATATGGGGGTTTTACGGCTCCGATTGTGATGGTAGCATGGAATGTCCGTAGTCTCCAAATGATTAAGATCAGTTTATTTTTAAACTTTTATTATAACTATTTACTTCGACACATCATACATTTACCTCAAACGATATAAAAATATAAAAAGATTATCCACTAGAAGGCCGTCAATACCAGATTACATTGTGATGGATTTGTATCATTCACCATTTTAAGAGATTTCCGGTGTAGCATTTCCCAACATGCACCTGGCCTGTCCCCAACAACAGGAAATGCTGTATGAGGTAGGTGTGACCCGTAATTCCCAATGCATAATTAAATACAAAAACAGAGGTAATTAACAATAATAAGTAAAACAAAATCTAAAATTGATTATACAAACAGGACTTTCTTTTAGCCTAAGATTAAAGTATTTCCTGCCCTCAAAACAGGCCAATCTAAAGGGACAATGTGACAGGCCTATAGGTTAGAGTAAAATTATGCTAAACATGTTAAAATTCACCCAAAAAGTGCCGTTCACCAACAGCGTTCCCTTTAAGCTACTTTGAAACATTTAACTCTTTAATTGGTGGAGAAGGTTTTTGTGATGGTCACTGGATGCACCTTTTGTTCCTATGTAAACCGCACAGGACCCTGTCCAAGTAATCCTCTTTCAGTGATGTAGCACTCATTAAAAAATACTTATTGGGAACAGCATTTGATACAGCTGCCAGTTAGAAGAACACGTTTAGCTGAGTGCTTAGAATACAATGTCTGTTGTGGACAACAAGCAAACAAAATGCGATGTATACCTGGCTATTCACATAAAACCGGGAGGTCTAGCAGTCTGAATTTACTTCTATTATTTTACCAAAATATCCGACATTAAATTGTCCCTTGGTAATGTTGGTCAATTCATTCATTTTTTTCATTCATAAGAGCACACAAAAAAATATTAGATAAATAACATCTGCAAAAATTGCAATATTTTACTGATAAAACACTAACTCTCCATAGAAGAAAAATAAAGACAATAAATTTTAGTTTTCAAAATCTGATTCAGTTTGCAAGTTTGGTTTTGGTTGAAAAATCAACACCGAGTTTTCGCATCACTTCGGCATGACTCATGCCAGCCATTTCTTTCTTTGCAGACCCATAATTCTCTTTGACAAACTTGGCGAACGGAGTGAGTTGGCTGCAGGCAGGAGAGCCGTCTTTTCGTGTAGAACCCATCAAGACCAGTTTCCCTTTACATAAGGCACAGACAAACTTCTCTGTATCTAAAGACTTGGAATGTCGTCCGATCCTTCAGAAAAAAATAAAAAAAAAAATATATATATATATATATATATACACAAAATAAACAAAACGTTTTTTTAAGAATGAAACTTGCAACATTAGGACTTAAAATCAGTTAGCAGTAGAAATTGGCACTTATATATGAACCTTATTACACCTCCTCGGTTGTCAGACAGACAAACCTGTTACTTCCTGGCAGTTTTGCTCTGGGGAGCCATAGTCAAGAGGCAGGACATGGCCTATAGCACTTTCCTTGTAAAGGCCTCTCTGAGTTTTAATGCGACTCATTGAGAAGTCTGTGATTGGACAGAAACAGAATGTCTGGAGAAGAAGGGGAGGGCTTGAAGTAGCTGCAGGCACTGGATCTGCAGCTATTGTGAGTTATTATTTCATATACTCCCAAAGCAATGGGATACGGGTATATCTGCTAAATTGTTACTTTTTAACTTTGCTTTTTTAACCTACAGAAAATGCCAATATGTGGATTTTTTTTAGATATTTGAGGAAATTCTTTGAAAAGCTCCCTATTTTATGCAGTTTCCTTTCTTACCCTTTCTTAGCATACCAGTTTCCATTAGACGATTATACAAAGTTAAAGGGTAATAATGAAAAATAAAGAAAGAAACACTCACGTATTTTTGCAGCGAGAACACTCATAAGTATACTTGTAGTTTATTTCATAAGAGTGACATCGGGTAACCATGGGCAGCTCTGGATGAATAAGTGTGGCTTTCCGCGCGTAAAATCTCCAAAATTGTCCATGTCCATCTCTGACTCCGTTTATCAGCCAGGTGGCCGCATGACATATTTCATGGATTAAAGTGTCTCGAAGTCGATCTGATCAAGAATAGAAATCAGAAGCCCCTTAAAACATTCAACTTTGCGATAAGAAAAACTCTTAAATGTAAGTAATTTAAATTATAGTATACTTTTTATTTTTTTCCCCAAGCAACAGACACAACAGGTAGGTCGCTTACCCGCAGAATCACAAACTTTCTCCGACAGCTCAATCCTGGCATAGCGATGTAAAGCAGGGATTTTCTTCTGCCCCGTTACACAGTAACCAGCAGTTTTACGCATCTTTTTATTCCATATTATTTCCATGTTCACTGGCAACTGAAACACAATACAAAAGGCAACTGCTGATCTTATATAAAATCAAAAACTAGTATAAAGAAACAGAAAGAGCACTCTGATAAAAGAGATTGCAGCAAAAAAATTGAATATATATATCGCAGCGCTTCCGTCTGGTGGAGTTGCGATATTAGCTGCTCGAGTGCCGTTTGTATTACCCAGTCAAAACTCAGCTCCGCCCACCTCGATGCGTATTGCGTCACGTCACCAGACGGAAGCTGCAGAGACTTCAGATCCACATGGGTAACCCCCATTGTCACGGAGCGTGGCTGTGAATAACGGGTACATGTACCGTCATACTCACCACTTTATCTTGTAAGCGGCAGCATGTTTGCACTTTGTTTTGTGATAGTTAATTTACACTTCTATCAAGATCTTTTAAACTTTTTGTCTGAATAAAATTGTAATTTTAACATAAGTTTACCAGCTATTATATTGGATTTGACTATATTCTGATCACCTAAACATCGCACCACTTCTTATTGATTATAACTCTGATAAAAGAGAAAAAAATTGAAGGTGCTTCTCCGATTCCAGTGATTTTTTTTACGGCAGTATGATGGATTTCCCTAATTTTAGATCATCTGTTCTGATAGGTGCTAATTTTTTCTGTAGTGGTGCAGTAGGAGAAGCACAGGCTACAATCTATCAGTCCGTTCTCTACCTGAATGCTTGCACCCCTGAGTACAATTCTTTTGACCAAAGTTATAGTTAAACATCAAATGAGTTTTGGTTTAAAGGGCCACTATAGGCACCCAGACCACTTCAGCTCAATGAAGTGGTCTGGGTGCCAGGTCCATCTAGGGTTAACCCTGCAGCGGAAAACATAGCAGTTTCAGAGAAACTGCTATGTTTACACTGAGGGTTAATCCAGCCTCTAGTGGCTGTCTCACTGACAGCCGCTAGAGGCGCTTCCGCGATTCTCACTGTGAAAATCACAGTGAGAAGACGCTGACGTCCATAGGAAAAACATTGAGTAAAGTTTTCCTATGGGCGGTTTGAATGCGCGCGCAGCTCTTGCCGCGCAGGCACATTCGGCGCTGACGTCGGCAGGAGAAGGAGAGTTCCCCAGCCCTGGAGAAAGATAACTGGCTGAAGAGGTTTTAACCCCTTCAGCCCAGCGGGAGACCTAATGGACCCTATTGTGCCAGGAAAACGAGTTTGTTTTCCTGGCACTATCGTGCTCCTTTAATGTTACACTGGGGACGTGGTAAGTTTGTTGCAGCAATCCAATTCCTCGTTTTGTGTTTTGGTGTAAGTGCTTTTCTTATTTTTAGAAAACTATAAGCAGAATAACTTTTCTCGTTGTTTTACTAGCACAATGCGCTGTTGAAGTAAGTGAGTAATCTAGAGGAGACTTTGGTGGAACATATAGAGATTATGAAAGGGACACAGTCATCCTCAACATTGAAAACTAGATAAAATGACAGACTATTTATCAAACTCACCTTCTCGTCAAAAATAGTGCTGTTATACAGAGTATATAACCTCGCCATCAACTGCTCTTTCTTTTGCTTGAAGCTTTTCGCATATAATGAATTTGGACACGAGAGCTCTTGAAGAAAACAGTCTGCTACCTTACATGAAGCTTTCCTGCAAAAAGGAAGGAGATAAAAAAAACCACGTTGGTGATTAAAAGCCTACCTATTGATAATGACACATTTACACATAAACAAGTTTCAGCCGCCATCACTTTACCAATCAATATAGAAACACATGCCTTCTCATTGAGCTGCATTGGGAAGTCTGTGATTGGACAGCCACAGAAAGTCTGGGCGGGATTAGAAGCGGAGGGATAGCAAAGGCAAGCGGTTTTTAAATATGCCCACAATGGAAAAAAAATGCATAATTAAATGCATCTAAGTTTTCAATGGAGTTATATCTACTAAACGGTGATTTTAACTTTATTAAATTTGTACAGTGTAGATCCCTTTAAATTTTAGGTCTAATTTGCAACATCCCTAAATGTGACAAACTGTACATAAAAGTTTCATCTGAACTTATTAAGCACTAAAATGTGCAAGTATCTTGAGACGGCCTGGGGCTGGCGGAGCGGCCTAGCTTGGACTACCCGGGAACTGTCTCCATACTTGACTCAGATGGTCACCATAGGTATTGGGTGAAAGCAAGCCAGCCAGCGGGGTGAGAGACAAGCCGAAGACTTGGCACAATGAAGCTGCATGCCGCCTTCTCTCAGGGAGATGCATCACCCTGGCTCTCGGCAATCATTGACTCTAAATATTTTGTTAAAGCCTGTTTTCTTTTACTTGTATGTATAGCATATAACATGCTCATTTCAGATAGTATTGCATTGCGTAATCATAAAGCTAAACTTCTTAACATGCATACAACTTTGGCAGTAACTCACAGTTTACAGATTAACGCTCGTGTCATTAAACTGAGCCTCACATGTCCAGCAGAGCATTCTATCTAAGCAGCTTAGGTTAATGCTACACCAAACCTGTTAGCTAGATAAGCGTATTTTAGCCGGATTCCTGCTGATTATGAATGATAAAATTATACAGTGCACTTGAATGCCGTGGACTTAGTTTAGACATGTATGATTAGTGTGCCTATGTTTCTATTATGCCTGTTTACTCAAAGCCAGTTATCCCCCCAAAAAAACTCAATTTCTTTCTGTACCGTAACTTTGAAGGCCTCAATAAAAGAAAGATTGACAAATTAAAATGTGCAAGTACAAATTTCAGTATTTGTATAGAGATTAAATCCGTTAAACAGTGACTTTTAAAGGAGCATTATTACATACACACTACTGGAACGCGGCTTCTCCACAGATGGCAGGCTTCCTTTATCAGTTTTCTCTGGTGGGAAATAAGGACTGGAGGACGGAGCGCCCGTGAACGACTTTGGTCTCTGCACTTTAACATTCTCTGATCGGTTTGTCAAGTCAATGCAAGGAACCTTGGCTGGCTCTGTGACAAAAAGAAGCAATAATGTAATCTGATAAAAATGAAAATACAGAGAGTAAAACATCCAATTATACAGGAACACGAGCAGTGGTCACAGGAGATGCTGCTGTCCTGGCTTCTCAGGGGCCTCACAAGGCTGAAGTTCCAATTCAAGTTAAAGGTCTACTGATGGTTTGCCATGTATGTGTGTATCATAATATATAGAATAATCTCAACTCTCACATTATTCTTCTTTCTTCATGCTTTATTCCATGTGGTTATCCTAGTCTTTTGCTATTCCATCACGATCGTTTCTTATATATAAACATAAAAATCTGCTGTGTGTATCAAAGAGCTCAACAGCAGCACAATTCAGAGCTCCACTGTAATTTGAAAGGTAAAAGGGTATATCACATGAGCAATAAAACTCACAGTATTGTGTGGTGTGGGAATGAACAGAGCTTCACAGCAATAAAACTCACAGCAACTTTCAGCATGTATACATTTAGCACAGAGCTCCAGAGCAATATAATGCACAGTAATGTGCTATGCAAATACACGTTTGACAGAGTTCCATAGCAATTAAACTAATTTGCACTGTGTATGAGAATATCAAGGGTTCCAAAGCAATATCGCTCTGTAATGTTTTACCAGCAAGGAGCCCTGTGATGCTCTGTTTACCGTGCACCCCCTCTCGCTTTCTACTGCCAGCATGCAGCGAGGGGGCTCATCTTTACAAATTTCATTGCTCACTTCTCAGAGAGACTGTGCTGGGATAGGACATCACTTATAACCCAGCACTGGAGCGCAGTGTGTGAGAGAGGGAACCAAATAGTAAAATGTTCCCCTGACCCCCTCGGCATCTCTGGGTGCATGTTGGGCATATAGTGCAGGTGGACACCTTATAAAAGCAGTTGGGATAGTGAGAGTGACTGCCCTCAGGATCAACAGGCTGAATACATAAGCCTAATATGTTTTAATCTCCTGATCCAGCAGTGAAGTTTAGATATTAACATGCACATTAATTAGATATTGGGGCTTAGCAATGCTAATTAGAAGACTGTGGGCAGAATTCATGCCAGGATCGGCCCATTTTTTTTAGTAAGGACCAAAATAACTAAAATTGATCTGCTTTATCAAGAACACTAGGTATAAAAAAAATATAGCGATAGGACTTTTGTTTTAGACTTTACGATACGTTTATAGTGGACAAAAAACGCACACATACACAAAAGTCATAATTCCACTCTAAATATTTGAAATATAGAAAGCAAAAGAATAACCCAACCTGTTGCAGGTGGATGGTGGAACACGGCTTTAGTTACTGTCGAACTTGGTGTCTGGTTCTTGGTTCGATTCTTGATACGTTCCACCAGGGATTCAAACTCCTCATCAGAACTAGAAGAATGGAATTTGGGTATTCCTCCTCCTCCTTTTCCCCCAGCATCTCTTCCTTCCAACGACCACTTATTATATGATGCGAGAGAGTTCTCTTTGTTATTTTTTGAAGGAGATTCTTGAAAAAAGTTGCCTTTAGAGTTCTGTTTCTGGTCGTTACCAAATTTAGGATTACTCGACTTTCCTTTATGTCTGTCACGCCATGTGCTTTTTATGACAACTGAATCTTCTTCATCACTATCACTGATAAACACTGGAGAGATGCTTGCAGAGGGCAGCCGGCTGGTGTGTGGGGTCCGAGATAATTCACCATGAGATTTCTTGGTTGCTATGAATTAAAAGGGGAGTAATCATTGCAATACAACAGTAGCAACCGTACAAAACAACAATGTCTTTTTGCACAACCCAAAGCTAAAAGTTAGTAATTAGTTGTAACTTTATTTTTATTTATATTCCATTTCCATGTCCATTCTATGTCAGGCAAAGTGTGTAATTTAGTTAACTCTCATAGTGTTATACGCTTGCAGCATGCACGTGTGCCACGCTGCCAGATAAAAAAGCAAAGACACACTCTAACCTAATCCGTTCCAGAAGGCTGTTTGAGAACGGATTTGTTTGAAAAGTGAAATCAAAATCTTCCATATGAATTCATGTAAATTAGATGAATCCGTTCCAGACCCCCAAAATTACAGCATTTTAACACTAATTGTACAGTACCATCCATGCATAATATTATAAAGAAAAACAATAAACAATGTAAATGAAATGAAAATGTAACTTCACTATACCCGTCAGCTCTGTTCGCTTTGTCTAGTGCTAGGAGGCCAATGTGTCATAACAACGAGGTTCCAACGAGGTTAATGCTGTGTGATTGTGTTCTAATACCGAGTTTTGTTCGGGTACCAAGACATTTTTATCTAATTTTATGTTTGAATACCGAATTGTTCAGGTAAGGGAGCGTTCCATTTCCGAGGTTCCACTGTATTAATTGAACTTCATTGGAAGGGATAGTTCCTGTTTAGAGGTTAAAATGCCTTCTACCTCTTGTATGATAATAATGCAGCTAATGTTTTATACCGTTGTTTCTCGACTATCACTTACCAGTTACACTTTTTGTGCCTTTTTGATTTTTGGGGAAGAATGAGGTAAAATCGTCTTCATCAGAATCTATAATAAACTCTTTTACACTAAAGAAAGAAAAAGAAAACTGCTTACTTTTCTAAAAAGCAATTAAAACACATACAAACATTATTAAACCTCGAGAATTCTTTACTGCAAAGCTGAGATATAAAATTGGTATCAATATCACATTAAGGGCATCAGAGAAAGGACAGGTCAACGGTTTATAGCCATTATCACAGGAACAGCATAAACAAGCACAGAAATAGTACAAATTAAACAAACATTTGGGTTTTATTTCAAGGTACTAGGGAAATGGTGCTGGGCAATGGTACGGTAGTGAGTGAGATTAATGAGAGCATCATTATCTACAGGTCCAGCTGGGTGAATAGGTTTTAACAATCACACAGCCACAACGATGTGAAATTGAATGCATTGGAAGGAATCCAAATTAATACTGTTATACTGTAGTTATACTGTAGTTATAAAAAAAAAAACCAAAAAAAAAAACCACGAAAAGCAATCTAAACATTATAACCAGGACTATATCTGTAGTATTCTCTAAACACACGTTGAAGTGTGATATATATATTTTAGTGGTCGGGGCTCACGAAACATAGATAATGGATGAGGAAGTTGTGGCAAAAATCCAAATGGTGAAGGATCTAGTGGGGAATAATTCACAGAAAGGAAATGGACGCGAAAAAGAGGAATTTGCAAATGGCACAAGTGTTTGTTTTTTTCTGTTTTTTGTTAACTCGGTATAACCAACAGATAAAATATACATTAAACAGTGTACATTGTTATGGCAGTGTGGAGATTGCTACCTACCTTCCAGTCTGATTGTTTGAAGGTTTTTTAGAGGTGCGTGGCTTTGGAGTTTTCAGCTTTACCAAAACTATATTAAGAGATAAAAAAAAAACAACAGTAAATTAGAGGACAAAATACAAATATACATATTAAAACTATATAAAATACAATATAAAAAAATATATCAATGGCGTATTACTTTAACAAGACTGGTTTGTAGATCATACTGAATCTAAGCAATTCTTAAAAGTCTTCCCGTATCTTCCAGACTTTGTGATAATCACTATTGCCAAGTGGTGCAAGTTAAAGGGACGCTCCACTGCCCACACACACAAAAAATACATTTGTTAAATCCCTCTTTAGATATACCCTAAAGGAAAAAACCAAGCTTGCATGCAAAAGGTGTAGATCCCATCTGAATCGCAAACCCTCCCCTTCTAATCCCGCCCAGACTTTCTGTGGCTGTCCAATCACAGACTTCCCAATGCAGCTCAATGAGAAGTCTTTGCAAGGCAGGCGCTCTGGGCAATTGCTGCCTCTTGAGTTTAGCTCCACTGAGCTAAACAAACCAGGAAGTAACAGGACAATTTCTACTGAAACGTGAATGTTTTGTAAAATTAGAAAAAGAGAAAAACACTGTTCACACTTAAGGCATTTCAGGACGCTGAAGTGCTTTAGGGATCTGGAGTGTCCGTTTAAGGTTGTGAAAACTTGACAAGTGATTGGAACTTTGAGAACAATAACAGCATCAAGTCAGAAAGTATTGTTGGAAGTAATCATAAAACCCCATAGTGATAGGGAGTGGTTGGTAAAATGTCAAGCAGAGTTAGTAAAAGGGCATGTTGGACCCGCACTAATCTGCTGGAAGTCCAACTAGCAAAATACCATCCCCAGAGATACTCAGTTAGTAAACCTTAAATGCCCAGAATTGAATTGTAGTTTAAACAAACTAATCCAGGCGGTTTTTTTGGACACCCACGCCACATCCATGTCAACTTCAGAGGTTTCAATAGCTGTCAATCATTTTATATTTATTTTTTATCCAATGTAAATAGGTCATTATTATTCTTAGACTGCCAATAAACATTTTGGATCCATTTACTCAAAACATGGAACTCAATGAGTGACATTGGAGACTAAGCCACCAAGAGAAAAAGCCCCCAACCAATAGCCAATGTAATCAGTACGTTCGTCATGCACATGCACGTGCGGGAAAACATGGCTTGTATCTCAAATAAATGTAGACAACGTATAGCTTTTATGGCTTTACAAATCACCTTTTAAAGAATCTATAATATTGGGTCATAATGCTTAGAGTAAATACTTCTAGATTCTCTGCCAAAATAGGATTTGAAATTTTTTTTTAAATGTCTCCAAATGTCAGAAACAAACGACAATTTATACATCCAAATAATCCATATACATCCGTATATTGGGGAAAATTCTGACTTACAATTTTCAAAGTCATCATCACTGGATTCCAATATTCTTACAGGGGACCTGCAAACAGAGATAAATAAAATCAATCATGAATTTTGAATTACAATTTACGGCCAAAGTAGCTAAACTGGAAGCACAGCTGAGAATTTTCCCAGTCTTAAAGGACCACTATAGTGCCAGGAAAACAAACTCTTTTTTCCTGGCACTATGTAGCCCTTAGATTCCCCCCACCCTCATGGACCTCCTCCCGTTGGGCTGAAAGGGTAAAAAACCCTTTAGCCACTTACCTATCTCCAGTGCCGGGCTCCCTCGGCACTGGGGGACTCTCCTCCTGCCAACGCGCATTCAAAGCGCCCCATAGGAAAGCATTACTCAATGCTTTCCTATGGACGTCAGATTCTTCTCTCTGTGATTTTCACAGTGAGAATCGCGGAAGCACCTCTAGTGGCTGTCAGTGAGACAGCCACAAGAGGCTGGATTAACCGTCAGTGTAAACATAGCAGTTTCTCTGAAACTGCAATGTTTTCAGCTGCAGGGTTAAAACTAGAGGGACCTGGCACTCAGACCACTTCATTGAGCTGAAGTGGTCTGGGTGCCTATAGTGGTCCTTTAACATTTAAAATTCACTCTGCAATCCTAATGGTTGTCACTTTTGTAAATAATCCTGCTAGTATCCACATTTGAAATATTTGGGCAAAAACAAATTCATGAGATGCCGCAGTTTTCCCATCACCGCTCTAGGCTACCATGATACCACTGGTGTTAACTGAGCAGTGATTAAATTAAATAAATTGTTCTATTGCTACATTCATTTACAGTAACTGTGTGGCAGGGGATAGAAACCAATTTTGACAGACTGATAGCTTTATAGAGATAAGAAAAATAAAGAATAATCTTGATTTTTATTAAAAAGAAGCTTTCAATTAAAATACACACATATAAAGTGAATTTAAGGCCAGAACAAATGAAATGAAAACAGAACTGACTTGGACACATTTTTCTAATCCAGCTTTTTTGTGCTAAATTTCAAAATGCACTTTGCATTTCCAGCAAGTCTAATTTAATTTCATTTACTGAAATTAGAATTCAACGTGGATTTCAAATTTAAGGTCAAAATAGCCAAACTGGAAGAATTCTCTAAATCAGCTGTGCTTTCAGTTTGGCTACTTTGGCCTTAAATTCACTTTAAATTCTCACTTTTTTTTTTAAATAACCCGGTTAGTGAATAAACCCTTAAATTGTCACCTTGTCTTCTCCCGAGCAGACTTGAGGTTCAGATTACCAAAACTGCGAATGTAATCTAAAAGAAAAGGGAAACAAAGAGACAGATTACAATAATATATAATCTAGAAGAATCTGTGCTCCCTTAGTCCAGTATCCACACAATTTGGTGAAAACATGACAGGACATGTCCCTATGTACTCACACTTTGTAATGCCTGTTGGAACCTTACTAATGTCCAAGTGTTGTTCACTGCTGTACCCAGCCTTAAACCTGCTGCTTCTCGCAATGATCACCTTGATTAGACACCTAACCACCACACGTACCTGCTCCACCCAGCCTATCATTGCTATCCAAGTTTAGAATGATGATTTAAAAATAAATAAATAAATAAAAAGGTTTTATGATTTTTTTTGCATTTAAACTTTGGTGAATAGTAACCTGGATCCTGAGATCATTATCAAACCATACTCAACAGGGTTCCTATGTACATATTTATACATGTGAAAAAAACTCTAGGACATCTTACGATCACTGTTTTGGAGAAATGGAGAATAATGTTTTTTATATACAAATGTTCTAGTCATTTAATGCAATCGTTCTCTTTTTATATTTTACATTAACACGGGATAAACAAAACCACAATGGCTTTAAAAGAACAACTTCAGCTGTCGCAACTTTATTCACCATGCTCACGGTACTTTTTAAACATTCTGTGTTTATTTGGGTACATTGGGCACAATGCCAGAGCAGCTCTCCTATCTCTGACATACTTCACAATGCTTGAGAGGATTGCAATTCGAAGAATACTGCTTCTACAAACAGCCGGACATAGAGCACATCACCGGTAAATAGTAAAATGTTTGGCCATCAAGGTGTAGCATTGTTATTCAAAAAATGCAAACATTTCACAACATGTTATTCGGTCTCACCATCCACCGGTGCAATTTCAGTGTCTGAATCGGACAGTAGTAGTTCTTGGACACAGGGCGGTAGTGTTGGGCTGTCAGCTTCATCACAATCTAGACTCGGTGAGCCCCCAGTCTTAAAATTGGTCTGCTTTGTTTTCTGTAAAAACAATTATTAATTACAATTTTACATTTAATTTTTTAACGCACAATGCAAAAATGATCAGGCTTTACCCAATACCAAGAGACAGATATAGGTGTCCAGGGTGAATTTCAATTAAACACATATTCAGTGTACACATACTAAGGGGGGGAGGGGGTCTATTCACTATTAATGATCTAGTTATTATTATTAAGGGGTTTATTCACTATTAATGATCTAGTTATTATTAAGGGGTTTATTCACTATTAATGATCTAATTATTATTAAGGGGTTTATTCACTATTAATGATCTAGTTATTATTATTAAGGGGGTTATTCACTATTAATGATCTAGTTATTATTATTAAGGGGGTTTATTCACTATTAACGATCTAGTTATTATTATTAAGGGGTTTATTCACTATTAATGATCTAGTTATTATTATTAAGGGGTTTATTCACTATTAATGATCTAGTTATTATTAAGGGGGGTTATTCACTATTAATGATCTAGTTATTATTATTAAGGGGGTTATTCACTATTAATGATCTAGTTATTATTAAGGGGGGTTATTCACTATTAATGATCTAGTTATTATTAAGGGGGGTTATTCACTATTAATGATCTAGTTCAGGGAGGACAATCCCTGAAGCCTCCAGCTTTTAACACCCTACCTCTCTTACCCTGTCCATGGGCCCCAGGCGGGATGAGATCCTCTCTAACAAACTCAGGGACTCAGTGGCCATGTCTCCCACACAATAATACTGGAGAGAATTCAAACTTGCCGCGACCCGGAAGCTAACAGTACTGTTTCCGGCTACATATGATAGCGAGGCGTGATTTCACTACTTCCGGGTAAGGTCAGCATGTTTGCGTGTCACGGTGGGTTTTTGTTTCGTTTCGAACGTTCTGTTATTTTATTAACGCGCTTAGAATGCGAAGATGTCTTGACATTCCATTTCTGTATATGTAATGCCCAGAGAGCTACACAGGCAGGGCATCATGGGAAGTGTGTTCTTTATAATCACTCCCATCAGTTGTGTCAGATTGGAGTGTGAATTTCCAAACCTCCTCCATATTGGACATATTTAAAGATTACAGGAGGATTAAACTTTGTTATATGTTTTTTTTTTTTTTTTTTAAGGAAATGAGTTTGGTCATTAACCCTGAATTAAATGGCAACAAGCACAACTGACGAAATATTTTTATTTTTACGGTTAGATTATTTTGACCTGATATTGGAAATTCACTTTAATTCTTACCCTTCTCACTTAGTAGAGCTATTTACTAAACTACAAACTGCAGTGAATTGAATCTGCCAGCATGTAGGACGAAATAAATGATTTGGAAATTCTAGAACACTACAATAGTATCATATTGTCTAAATTACCCTAGCTTCTCCCATTCACATTTCAATTTATTGTAATTCGGTGTTTAGCAAATTTTAGGGCATTTAATCTCATTTAGCATGCTTTGATGTCATGTCCTTTTACATGCAGGCACATCTGTGACGCTACTTGTGTCACCAACGATGCCGCCTCCACTGATCCTTGTGCTTTCCTGATTTCAGACTTGGAAGGTCTGTATTTATTTAAAAAAAATAAATAAATTGTACTTAACTTTATCCAGCATACGGCGAAGTTCCCTGGTGCACCCAGACTGATGTCTCAGGAGCTGCACTGAGGTCCAGTCAAAGGCTTCCCATTTTACTGGCCCAGGGTACATGATTGTGCTCTGAGCTGGCAAAAGGAGGGAGTGAAAGAAGGTGGAGGAAGTGCAGGGTTAATGGTTTAAAATATTACAGGGGATAGGAAGGAGGGAGGGGAGACAAGAGCATCCCCTTGCATGCGCTGATGGAAAATAGGCACAGAATTGACATTAGGCAATCCAGAACAGAGTTCTTGGCCATCTAAGTCACATGTGCCGGGGTGCAACTTGCCCCCTGCACACAAGTGCCAATAACTCTGGATGAGCAGTGTTTCAGCCTGAAATACTGCACATTCAGACTCCTATAACCATGATCGCTTAAAAAAAAGCAGAATTGGTCATGATGGTTGAAGTAACACTTTAACTAAATTCATAACTTGGGAGATTTTTAATTTTTTCCCCCCCAATTCCTCTTTTTCTGGCAGATTTGCATTCCACTTAAAGTTTACTTTTAAAACAGTACGCTGAACCCTCCCAAAAACGGAACATAGGAATCATACTGTAGTAATCAATAAAAACACCAGGGCAAAGACAGACTGTTCGGAAACTTGGTCTAATTTTGAATGCCTTTTCAGGTCACACTCCAGAAACCATTACACTACACAGAGCGTGTAGTATAATGGTTACTAACACAGAGCGTGTAGTGTAATGGTTACTAACACAGAGCGTGTAGTGTAATGGTTACCAACACAGAGCGTGTAGTGTAATGGTTACTAACACAGAGTGTGTAGTGTAATGGTTACTAACACAGTGCGTGTAGTGTAATGGTTACTAACACAGAGCGTGTAGTGTAATGGTTACCAACACAGAGCGTGTAGTGTAATGGTTACCAACACAGAGCGTGTAGTGTAATGGTTACTAACACAGAGCGTGTAGTGTAATGGTTACTAACACAGAGCGTGTAGTGTAATGGTTACTAACACAGAGCGTGTAGTGTAATGGTTACTAACACAGTGTGTGTAGTGTAGTGTAATGGTTACTAACACAGAGCGTGTAGTGTAATGGTTACTAACACAGAGCGTGTAGTGTAATGGTTACTAACACAGAGCGTGTAGTGTAATGGTTACTAACACAGAGCGTGTAGTGTAATGGTTACTGGAGTGTGACTGAAAAGGCATTCAAAATTAGACCAAGTTTCAGAACAGTCTGTCTAATCCCAGTAACGAGCCATCAGCAGCTCCACACCCTCTTCCCCCTTGCTGGCCTAAATTTGAATGGGATATTCTTTGTACAGAGTGGCAAATAACTAAACACAAGATATATACTAATTCTGGACAGTGTCTGGCTCCTAATGAGATTCAAGTACCATGTATACGGGAGTTTAAATAAAGCATGGTTTTACAATTCAGATTTTTTTTTGAGGTTTCTTTAAATCTTCTGCAGATGCATTCTCTAAAAATGTTCCCATCTTGTATTTAGTGTGCCACTATCCCCCCCAAAAAGTCTATTTAGTGCAGACATGGAATATTTTATATATATAGAGATAGCAAAATAGAAAATTGATGTTTATGTATCATGTTTGCCTTCACATACTGAAGGTTTTGTGGACACTGTCCATTTTATTATATATAAAAATGGTTATTTCACTCTACACATTGGGAGCACCAAAAAACAAACAAAAAAAACAATGAAGTGATTCAAAGAAATAGATGCATAAAAAGCAAATGTTACACTTATATTTTAACCATATTTTCCTTGCCCTCTCTCCCAGATTAAAATCTCTGCAACATTATATGATGGGTAGCTCACTCTTCTTTCAAACTGGACCCTTGTTCCACCTTCCGTTTTGCTCCCATACAGCTTTTGTGCTCAAATCACATTACCCATTTTACAATAACTTCATTACCAAAGCTGAGATCAATCACCCTTCCCTACAATATGAAACGATATTACATTTCCAAATCCTGCAAGAAAGCTTTTGTATTCACCATTTCCTAAAACTTGATGTAGCCGACCCCTCTTCTGTTCTCTCCAGGCTTGATTAAAGAAATCTACATCTCATTGATCTCACTCATACCCATAATCAATACCACCACCGGGCTCCCCTTCCAGTTCCTCCTACACCTCCAATTTCTACCAGCCCTTACATTGACTCCCACCTAGGGGTAGAGTTGAATCATGGTGCTTACGTATGAAGTAGAGTCTACGGCTTCCTTTAAGCTTAAAGGAACACTATAGGACCTATAGTGTTAAAGACACCATCCAGGCTCCTCCTCCCCATCCTCCCTAAATATAGGAAAATCTTACTTTTATTCCAGTCTGCTGGCACTGTCCCAGATCTGCCTGCCCAGCTGACATCAGAAATGTTATACTTAGGAAATCACAATGCTTTCCCATTGGATTGGCTGAGACTGTCATGGAGGCAGATAAGGGCAGAGCCAGCAAAACCATGGCCAATCAGCATCTCCTCAGAGATGCATCGAATCAAAGAATCTCTATAAGTGTTCAGTGTCTCTATGCAGAGGGCAGAGACACTGAATGGCAGCACCTCTAGTAACCACCTGAGGGGTGGCCAGTGGAAGTATCCCTAGGCTGTAATGTAAACCCTGCATTTTCTCTGTAATAAGCCTCACCAGAACAAATACAATAAGCTGTAGTGTTCCTGGTGACTGTAGTGTTCCTTTAAGGTATTGAAAGTGTGTTAAGCTTTGAGCATGGCTCTCACCATCTCTTGTTTCTGTAGATCAAACCTGTCGTGTTACAAATACTCCTTTATCCAGAAAATGTATACTGCTGTGGAATATGTTGAGATTTGTAAAAATAAAAAAATAAATTATAAAAACTGTGAAAAGCCTCTCAAACTAAGCTACCCAGTTTGGAAAGATGGCCCAGATGCACTAGTCAGAACTTCCAAGATGACCACAATTAGAGAAAACCTTTGACAGAATTCTGCCAAAGCAGAATATTATGTTGCTGAGTGCTACACCAACAAGTCTTGCCCTAACTGGTAGAAGTGATAATTCTTCAAATTGCTACCCCTGTAGCACTGCCTCAATTGTTCTGGATAATTTCAAATCAACCTTTTTAGGACTAGCCTTCATGTGCACACAAAAAGGTAAAAAAAAAAAAAAAAAACATTTATTCTAATTCCTAAAACACCAAAGCAGGGAACACAAAAACGACGACAAAAAATAAACTGAAACAATTATATATTCCACCTGAAAATTTTACTGAACAAAAAAAATAAAATTCATACATTTGAAAGAAAACAATTATGAACAGGAAAAAAAAAACCCTACAAAGTCAACATAAGGTTTATTAAATCAACAGGCAATGCAATGTGCAGGTGCATTATTTAATTATAACTAACCTGTTCAAGCACATGCTCATTTTTCACTCAAATGCATGAAGCATCCACAGGAGGGAAAAAACAATACAAAAACAAACCACACACACAAAAGTATATGCTTCCTCTGAACATTTTTTTTTTTTATGACAATTTATAAATGAAACACTTGAATCTACTACACACACACAAGCCTGCCTTAGCTCCTCAAACACATGAACCACTAAACACTTTGCTGTTTGCACAGGTCTGACTGTTGCTAAACGTATATTTGTAGCATGTTTATTTGAGTTTGTTTTTTGGAAACAGGATATTTGTTTGAAGATGGGTTGACTTAGAAAATTTAAATAAAATATTTGCAAAAAAACCAAAAACATTTTTCCCTCAAAGACTTTTCATCATCTATACCAAAAGCATACATACAGAGCTGCTTGTAAACAGACGCCAGACATAAAAAGGCTACAAGTGGTTTATAAAACCTATAAAAGGACTAGAACACCATTAATGATGCCGTGTGATTATTTTTTCTTTTTAATCTTTCAAATAAGCACGGTTAGCTAAGATTCAAGCTGTGAATAAAGGTATCAGCTAGCAGACACAAACATGAATGTGTATGTTTAAAAGCCTGAAATTTCAAATATGTATACTGCAAGACAAGACTAAAATTGACATGAAAAAAAATAAAAAATAAATGTCTGCCCATGATGTCTAAACTGGATGGCAATTTGAAAGATTCCCTGTAGGTTTACCAAGAGGAACACAAATTTAGAGAGAGCAACTAAAATGTCTAAATATCAACAGATATTCAAATCTTTTCCTTCTGTGGCACAGATTGGCAGGCTCGACTGTGCATTCCAGTCCTCTGGTATTGTGTTTCAAACAATCTCCAAGGTTACATCATAAAACAAAGTTAAGCAGACTCTGTATTTTCAATCGGCTTGAGGAGATGGTCCAGTTTATTTCCAGCAGCATAATGCTCCCACATTTGCAGATATAATCGCTCCAAATCCATTGTGTACTGCTTAGTATTGAAGAGAGGACTGGATATTCTTTGCTTCCACACTTTAGCACGGATCTTTTTTAGGCTATAAAATAAATTACAAGTATTAATAAAACCGATCTGTAGGTTGTGAACACACTGCTTTGATCTACAGGTGGCTAAAAAGACACCCCTTGCTGCTGCCGAAATACAAAGTTCATTGCCCAGAATTCTTTAGCCGACACGATCATGAGATGCTTGATGTAGCACAACTACACAAGTTTCCTTTCCTTACAATAAGACTAGACTATTCTAAATATACATTTGTGCATAAACACATTGTTGAAGCGCTGTGCTAAACTCTTAAACAAGCAACATAAGCTCCCATAAGACGACATATGAAGCAGGAAAGCAGAGCTTGACAGTTTTCCACAAAACATACAAAATATTTGTCTGACATTAAAAATACTTACTATTCCAAGTCTGTGCCCAATTTCACAGCTATATCCTCGTAGTCTTGTCTGCTTTTAGCAATTAACTCTGGACAACCAAGGCAAGTGAGCTGTGAAGCAGCAACTCGAGATGCAAGTGTATCTCCTGCGGAAAAAACAAAAAAGTTTTTTTTCCATTACTGTTACACATGCCATAATTCAATATTGATCCTTCGAAAAATCAGCACGCCTGCAACACAGATTCAAACATCTCAATTAGTTTTGATCTTTTTGTATTAAAATAATGCAGTTCTGATGTAATCAGCTGTGAGATGAAATTAAATCAGGATATGTACAACATCACACACGTTAAGGGTACCTTATCATACTTCTGACTTTCCAACCAGGGACCTCTAATAAAAGTAGCCAAATACCTCCAATATTAATATATTATACAAGTACCACTAAAGCAGACAGTGAAATAGAAAAGTTTTAAAAGTTCCCCTTAAAAAGCTACACACAGAGGCAAAAACCTGGACAGAACACTCAAATGTGAATTGAAGTGGATTAAAAAAAAAATAATAATTTATATTAATAAACTGAAAGGTCAGTCCCAAAAAGACGAAACTTTTGCATCAGCGGGTTGTTAAATGCCAAGATTTAGAGAGTTTGGATTTTTGGAACGGATTATTCAGCAGTCAGCAATTAAGATACTCTTAATTAATGATGATGTCCTGATCGTTTCTAGTGGAAGACCAAAAAGCAAGGACTGGGCATTGGTATAAGGTCCAATGCAGGTCTATTGGATCAAAGCACATATCTTGGCTTAGTGTGAGCCTTTATCAAGATTTTGATAAAGGCTCACATAGAGCTGAACCATTGTGTTTTAATCCAATACCTGCCCTAGACCCTATGCCCAGTCCTTATTTTTCATTGGAAAAGTTTGGGCGCCCGTGGACTGGAGATTATAACATTTGTTTGTCCAGATCATTTCTAGGACCATGTGGAAATCTGTTTATGTGCACTACTATAGAGAGAAGCTGAGGGATCCCTTTCTACTCGGCGTAATTATGGGAGTAATTAAGCAAAATCAAAAGTATTAAGTATCAGTGGTCTGACCTCTCCTTTACATCACTTTTATTTTTTATTTTTTTAGTGAGCAGGAGAGCACATATAAATCAAATGATTGTAGAAGCGATATATTAGCAGTAAATTATAGCACTAACACTTTGGCCTCCACAAAGCAAGCCTGTCAATTAGCTTAACCCATGTCAAGTCACAAATTTGGCAATAAGAAATGCCAATAATCTCTCTTCGATGAAAAAGACTTGCTCACATAGATACATAATTAAGAATTACTTTGTCCCTACAACAGTTTAAGATTAATACAATTTAAAGAATCAGTAATGCCTTAAGTAATGCGAAATGTTAAATGTCTATTTACACTTTTAATGTTTCACAATTTATTGTCAGTGTGCTAGGGTTTTCCAATATTTTATCAACATTGGCCAGGAATTTAGTGATTGTCCCTTATCTGAATATCTCCAGTATGCTGATGGCGTGAAAATGCAAAGCAGCCAGACAGTACACAGCTTTGGTATTTATTGGGTCAGTCTGTTTTTATTCCTTTTCCAGGCTTTTCTTACAGCCTATTGATACTAGTTATAATATAGTAATTACCTATATGAGAATTAAAAGATACAATTTATCTTATTTTATATAATAAATTTTGCTAAAGTAATTTTTAAATTAATTTTACTATCCTCTTGTGCTTAGTCGTGCTAAATGAAAACGGCAGTTATATTTGAACCTGCTTAGGCGGGTGTTGCTAAAAGAATTACAATATACTATCCTCTTGTGCTTAGTCGTGCCAAATGAAAACGGCAGTTATATTTGAACCTGCTTAGGCGGGTGTTACTATAGTAACAATAAAAAGAATTACAATATACTATGTTGTAAAATATAACAGAGTAATGTTTTTCATTTGTGCTCTTATGTAGCTAATTAGGCTTACATTGTTAGCACATTTCTGTAAGCATCTATTTTTTTTGCCGGGAAACAGCAAGCCGGCTACTGCTATATAAACGGATACAACGAAGCAGACCGCATCCATTGAGAAAGCCGCCGAAGCGGAGAAATGCGTTTGGAGGGGTCTGACTCCCATCGATACAAGCCAGCACTCATACATCAAAGAGGACTTTTAAAATGATATTTTTCAGCATGCTTTTTGGTTGACTCGGGACGCCGAGATTATCAAATAAGGTCTGGACTTTCTTTCCTTTTGTGCATGTTTTTTTTTTCTTAAATAACTATTTTTAATAGATGGTATTTTTATTTGTATATTAATAAATTGTGTTTTACAATTATTATTGAGTACGTAAGTGAGACTATTATGAATAACTAGATGATAAGGTGCTTCTATTGATTTTCTTACAGCCTACTAGAAAATTAAAAGAACTTTTACAAACATTTAACTTATCTTGTGCATTTTTACATAAAACATTTATATATTAAACAGTTTATAGAAGTGGTTGTGGTGCAAGAAGGATTTTTTGTGTGCTGTCCCTCTGAATCGGGACAAACCATTTAAGCAGTCAGATAAAAACTAGGGCTCTAGTCACACCAAGCTAATACAAACAAATTTGTCTGTATTCTGCAGCAACGATAAATTGTAATTAGAATATTGGAGAACAGCTTGGTATAGTACTCACAAACAAACACCGATTGTTACCCTGAAGGCATATGAACCCACCACTCATTTTATGTTTAAAAAAAAAACCCACACACCTTGGGGTTTGCATTTATACGCTCCAGTCACCATGACCACTTCAATTAACTGCATTATGGTGTTTTGAGTGTCCCTTAAAGGGACACTATAGGCACCAATCTTATCGTCTGCACTGTTAATAGCCTTCTAGGTCATGCAGGAGCTCTATGTGTGTGAGTAAAGTTCAAAGTTATCATGTGATTGAAAATTAAGCCATTTGTTCAATCATGCTAAGTCAGTCACAGCCAGGGGAGGTGTGACTAGGCCTGCATAACCAGAAACAATAGCGATTTAACTCCTAAACAGCAGTGTATTACGCAGAGTGCAGGAGCATAATCCATACACCAACACTGCTTTATTAACCTAAAGTTGATTTAATGCCTATAGTTTAACTATAAGGATCCACTACCAAGACATCTAAAGCAAAAAGAACATTTAACTAGCAAATGTATAGCACAGTGAAATGAGTGGAAATTCTATATGTTCTCTCTTTAAAAGGGCTTGGGGAAAAAAAATAAAAATCCCAGGAAACAGAGCTCCTACAAAACCTTCTGTCCCTGTATGTTCAACTTGTTTTGGTGCAACTACACGTTTGTTAGTCCACCTACTGTACAGTGCTGGGAAATTTGTTGGCGCTTTACAAATAATTTGTTTCCTACAAAATATAAACATTGCAGGAGAAAATGCCTTTGTGGCCCCTAAACACATACGTAACATTTGTTCATTTCTATACATTTGCTAGTAATTCCGCTGGAACAGTATAAAGATTACATGTTTCATGTTCTATACACTGCCCCAAGCAAGGTGATATGATTTTACAATTTAAAGTGGTTTATTATACAAATACTTTATGAAAAATAAAAATCTGTGAATTTACCTGAAGAACAACCTTTGTTGAGCACAACTAAGCTTTCCGGTGGTTCCTTACCTGGCATAGTGACCATGGGCGTTCCTGCCCAGAGCACATCCATGCCAGTGGTGTGCCCATTACATAGAGGCGTATCTAAACAAACATCAGCTAACTGTCCTCTACGGACATGCTCCTCTTTAGGAGCAACAGGAGAGAAAATGATCCTGGACTGTGGAAGTCCCATATTCTGGGCATACTGCTGAATATTTGGCTCTCCTACCGCAGGGAATCGGAGAAGCCACAAGACGCTATTGGGAACACGCTTCAGAATCTGTTCAAAATAAATAAAAATAATTAGAACATATACCATACACAATCTGCAACTGCACACAACAAAATAAATACAGGAAATGCTACATGACTCCAAATTGTCCTAATTTAGCCTATTGGCAAGTACACAATTTTAAAGACCAACAAATGTAAACATTATGGTTCTTGTTTAAAAAAAAAAGTTTTACTATAATTGACCACAGATGACACTAGAATGGGGTCCCAATCGGGCTCCTGAAAATATCTAGGTGTGATTTTCACACGCCATCGTTGACAGCCCTGAATTTCATGTTCTGCTGCCCAGGGAGGGAACAATGTCCACCACACAAGATCCAGCTCTCAGCACTTGCATGCCAGAACTTGAGTGAGAACAAGTATTAGCCACATCAGTATTGTTACTTATGCAGGAAAGATTAAAAAAAAACAAAACAAAAAAACACTAACTTGAATTGATCTGGTGGAGCTGACTGACTAGGAAGCAGAGTCTCCTTGCACAGTGTGCACTGGACAGCCTCACCATAAGGAAAGTTTAAACATTCTGAAGTCCCTTAAACTAATTTTCAGTGATGAGGCTGATCCAAGCGCAGAGTATATTAAACCAGTGGGCATGGGTAACAGGTGTGTTAAAATGACAAAGCAAAGGTGTAAAAAAGGGATTTGGTAAAATACAAGGTTCAAGGACAGAAGGACCTGAAAGAAGACTAGAGTGGAATACAACTTTGTATACCCAACACTATAGAATCCCTTTAATACCATTTTACTAGTCCAGAAACAGGCAGATGAAAACAAACCGTTCATCCGGAATGTTTCATGTTCAACTTAGCAATACACATTGACAAAGCAAATGAACCGACCAATGGCCACTAAGCAAGGCGCTGGAGGATCACTTTCATCTACACAAATAAAATAATGTTTTTCCCCCTTACATTTGCCCACATTTGTAACGTGGGAGGGTCAATCTTGTAAAGCTGATTGAAGTTGCAATATACAACAGCATCCTCCGGAAGCCCATACTGTGAGCGTGTTGTAACTATTATAGTACGAGGAACTTCTTCTCCTGTCGCTGCTTTGTTGTTTATCTGTAAAAAGGAGACAATGGTTACATACAATATAACAGCACATATAGAGCATGTTGACCGTTTTATTGACCTGATATATGTCACTAGAGTCGTTTGCTTGGTATAATTTGTATACGTCCTTACACACATCAGAACCACACAAGGTTGCATAAGTAGACAGGAAAACATGGGGAGGGGTGAGATTTCATTTAGTAACCAGTTTAGGTATCTCTAAAACATAGCTGAAAATTCATACATATTCAGTAAGGATGAATGATACAATGACTGCAAACATGGTTACCTGTGTCGTAGCCAATCCATTGCTTATGTTGAATCCATTGATCGTAATCTGAATTTGTCCTCTGTTTATCATTTCAATGACTGCCTCTGCTATGGTATTCATGGGAATGACAGGCATGTTAAGTGCAGAGTTGCTGTCATCTGTATTATCTTGCCCCTTCATCTATGGGAAGAAAAGAAAGGCCATGAACTGTGCAGTCTAACATTCCGTATTAATGAGACACGATCAATATTGACCTACTGTCCAATTCAGACAATAACGGATGCTTTGAATGTAATGTCATAATACTGTATTGCAAAATATGACATGTATAATCCCTAATATGATTACATCCTCACGATTGGAAAACATTGTCAACTACAGCTGTTTTATGGTGTGTCCTAATGTACTTTACTCTTTTGTACTGGTTATCCGACTACAAAAATCGCTAAACAAAAAAAAGAGAAAGGCAGTGAATGTGTGGATGTTCCCAGCTAGAAATAACAACTTACATTTCTTGCATAATGTGACTTAACATTTTACATATACAGCACAACCCTTGACATCAAATAGACATAGGAGTCTGGATACGTAGCACAAATAAAGAATGACTTCTCACAAGATTCTCCACTTCTGATACAGCAAATATTATATACAAAACAGATAATGCCAACCTATAGTCATTCTCTTTGAATTCTATGGTTTTACATATCAGGACATAATCATCAGTTCCTTAGCAGGTCTTAAAATTAGATAAATACAGCTTCAGATGAACAACAACAACACATGACCTATAGCACAGTGTCATGATTTAACAAAATGAAGCTAAAATAAAGGAGCCATGTGTGAAAAACCAAGTACACCTTATGATTCAATAGCTGGTAGAACCATTTTTAGCAGCAATAACATGAAGTAATAATTTTCTGTATGACACTATCCATCTCTCACATCAGTGTGTAGAAATTATGTCTCACTCTTCTTTACAACGTTGTGGCAGGAGCCTCCATAGACCTCAATGCTGTACCTCTGCACAGAAGTGAACCCGATAGAAGATGAACGCGCCAACAAGGGACGGGTTCAAGCAAGTAGAACTTCCCTATTCCATTTTGTTGTATTCAATCTGAGCAGAGATTTATTGGAAGCCTCTGTAGTCAGTGACGAAACGTGTAGGGCATGGACATATCGGTTGTCCAGAATATTGCGTGGTGTTATTTAAGATATGCTGTGGTTTTTTTTTTTTTTTAAATACAAGTGCAATAAGATACTTTTTAATGGAATAGAGAAGTTCAGTCCTATGTATACTTTATTTTTAGTGTGACATCAGGATCCATACTGTTGAAATCAAAAGAGGATTTGAGATTTACCTATATGCCTGTCTACGAAGTTGTTTGTGAGTGGACTTTATCACCTAAGCAGTGCTGTACTTTATAATTTTATTTTTGTTCCTTTATAGGTTGGCTGTATCTCAATTTGTTTTGTATATAATGTCACTGTAGCCGGTTTTGGTTACAGGAACAATGCAGCACTACACATAAATGCATTGATAAGGCTAGATTTTTGTTCTGCCATTTTAGATTATTGATAATCTCTTGGCCACCAAAATGCTTCTTACAGAAGCATTGGACGGCAGGATACATACTCTGCAATTGCCGTTCTGCTGTACACCAGCTGCCAACCATTCACACCGTTCATCCACAGGAATTCCTTAAAAAACAAACACGTAATACATTCTTACCTTAACGATTTTTACATCAGGCAAGGTTTCTAGAAAAGCTTTCAAGTCAATTCCATTGAGTACTATTCTATTGTCGTAAATATGACCATTGGACTTGAAATCTATCACCGCTTTTTTCTGTGGAAGAAGAAATTCAGTTTACAAATGCGTCTATGTAGCTTTGTGAGATTTCTAACCACTTATACATTTCCTATTTATTACACAAACCTTTAAATGAGGGAACATGTTCGCGTGGTCCCCAATAAAAAACGTATTGGGCATGTAAGCCATTTTCTCAGAATATTGTTCAGCAACCTCAATGGGTGAAGTCTCTTTGTCAGTTATAATGTAGTCCATAAATGGCGCACCACTTGTTCCAGGATATCCCAGCCACATAGCCTGTAAAACAAATAGAGGAATTTATGCTAAGACCAACAGCGGATAAACATTTTAGTTGGTTGTAAAGAACCAGCATACAGAAAATTACCATCTGTACATTTTTGTTTTCTTATGGCCACTGTCCTTTGATCAGAGACAGGTTTCCCTAGGCCAGTTAATTTATTATGTTCATTTTAAGAAAAACCCAGCTTAGTCACAGATGGGATCAGTTCGTAGTTCTTTTGTTATGACTGTCTCACCTGCAGTCAAGCAAAAGTTATCGAGAAAACTTTGTAGCCAGCAAGAACTTTACAATTGTTACATAAGGAATTTGTACTGACGCAAATGCAACCAGACTCCATGTCCAAACTTAAGTCCACAACGCTAGCGTTGTACAGCCTTTTAAAGTGGAGGGGGGTCATGATTTAATGAACCAGTCATTTACAAGGCATTACACAAATACAGTTAGAGCATGGTAAGGTCTCAGGGTTACTGATCTACATACAAGAGAAACCCATAGTTCTCTAAGACAGGATGCACATAAACCATAAGGGACTAAATACAGCTCAATCTATAAACAGATCAAAACTGTAAACAACCACACCACAAACTAATGTGGAATTAAACGTCCTCAATTATTCTTTCCTTCCTCTTGGAAGATATTCCCATCTAACCCCTTTACCTGAATAGGTGCTGCTCGGAGAGCAAATAATTCATTCCTGGCCCCTTTGGTGTAGCCATTCATGTTAACTAGGATGTGGATTCCATCTTGGTGGATACGATCTGCTGCTTTTCCATTACAAGGAATCTAGAACAGGAAATGCACACTAATTAGAAGAAAATGTTGGGGGGGAGGAGAGGGAGAGGTGGAGGGGTGTGAAGTTCTGCAATACAGAACATTAAATTTTTTAGCAATTATTGGCATATTTGTACGCAGGGATCTGTACAAGTGAAAGACCATATAAAAGCAAAAGCTTTGTCCAATACATTCCACAAGTGTGACATAATGGGAAATGAGCTTAGAATAAGCTGCACATGAGAGAGGAAACCTACTGGGGAGGTATGAGGAGTCAGAGGAACAGTAAAAAAAAAAACTTGGAAAGATGGGAGACACTGAATAAGGGGAAGAAACATGGGTGTTTCTTATAGACAAAGTAATCTAAAGTGCTTGGCTGCTCACATTGTTGTACTTCCTAAAGATTTGATGTTTTCTCAGACTTTGTTGTGGTTAGGAAAACTACAAACTAGAAACAAGTCTTTACTTGAATATTATAGGTTTTCTAAAAGATTTAATTTTGAGGATAACTCACCTGGGACAAGTCAACAAAATGCTTTGCTTCCGCCATTACTTTCACACGGAAATTGGTTCCATCGTCAGGGCTCAGTGCATAACAGAAAACCTGCAAAAGCAACGACATCACTATACAAAAGAAATTGCAGAACTGAAAGGGATTCAGTAACAAAAACACAGAGGGAAATAAGTAGCAGAATTGCTCTCTGCAGAACCAGATAGGAAATGACAACAAAGCAACCTATTCTTTAGTAATTTAATCATGCACATAAGAAACATAACCACATAAGAGAAAGCGGTGTTAGTACTTACCTCAAATTTATCTGAATTGTGCATTCCAGGTATTGACTGCATGAGATGTGACGTGGGATGATTTCCAAAGTCTGAACTCACATAACCCACTCTTAGTCGGCCGTCGCTGACTTTTAAGTCCTTCGGATGTTCATATGGTGGTTTGTGAAGAACGTTAATCTGGAAGTTAAAGAGATTCAAAATAAAGTCTAGTGTTTAGTTGTGCTAAATAAGGACTTTTTTTTTTTCTTAAAGTTCATGACACACTCATTTACACCAGAACAGGAGATAAGAGTTTTCTTCATATGAGCTCATAAGCCAAGATACACTGCTTTGCCTGGTTTATTACTTGAATACTCACCTTGTCTAGACACAAGTTTCCATGTCTTTCAGCAATTGCTTTCCGGAAAGCATGAGACAGTGGGTACAGCATACTGTGGTGTGGGTGCACTGAGGGCAGCCTATTCTTATCTAATTGGTCGGCCACAATGCTGACCAGTTTCTTCATTCGTTCATCATAATCCGTCCAATCACATACAATCTGCACAGGCAGAAGACAGCCACAATTCATGGTTAATGATATAGGTCATTAACAGAACAGATGTTATCTTATCAAAATCAATGTCTTGCTTAAAATGGATCCATTGCACTTTTGAACCATTTTTTTTTTTTTTATTAAAAACACATTTCTATCAAATACTTAATTGAAAAATTTAAAATTTTTAACACTACCATATAAGTTATAGAAACAAAATGTGTAAAATACAGTACAATAATCAAGGGACACAACCGAAGGAAAGGCAAGCAAAAAAAAAGGTAACAGGACATAAAGGAAAATAGGGAAGGGAAAAATCATACAGAATGTGCACAACCCTAATTATTCTTACATACATTCAGAACATAATTTAAAAAGAATATATATCATTGACCCATATCTAAATACTTAAATGGATAGTTGTTAATATGCCGTCTACTAATTATTAAATTACTCTTTATTTATTGAACTCCCACACCTGACCCATCTGAGCAAATATAAAGTGTGATTGTCGCAGTGTTAGTTCGTAAGTTCTAATCTCCAATACCATGGCAACGACCTCTCGTCGCTCATCTGGAAAATTCTAAAAAATTTCCAATAGCATGGCAATACAGAAATGACTGCAATGAGTACGTTTACATATAATTTTTCCCCCTTAGAAAAACCATTAGTTAGAAGTTTGAAAAGACCTATTGTACTAGATAATGTAGTTATTGATGAGGTGACAAAACATCATTCGTATACCACTTTAATTTAGGACAGTTCCACCAGCCATGGGATAGTTCCTACATAGCCGCAATCTCTCCAACATAAATCTGAGGCATCCGAAAACATTTTTTTTTAATCTAACTGGGACCAAGTACCAGTATCTGTATGGTTTTCATAATGATTTTCATTATGTGATGTGCAGTGTCATACCTTGTAATATATCTGCAATTCTGTGCCACTCTGCTAAATATAATGAGAATTGCAATTCTTCCTCCCATTTCAACATATACTCGTTTTTATTTGGGACAGATAAAGATAAGGAATAACATTTTGATATGGTATGCTTCTGAAAATCAGTCCGTGCCATTAATTCAATTCTGGAAGCATTTGTTTTTACTATTAACTGCTACATTGCAGTGGGTTTGATCGTAGTTTTTTTTTTTTTTTTTTGGAGTGCTGAAGGTTTTTCAGATCGTTTTGCATTGCTGGTCGCAGACTAGTAATTCTAATTAACACTTCAACATATTTTTTGTACTGCGAAATGTTTTACGAACTGATGTCAAATTTACTATCTGCACTGTATATACCACATCTAATCCTTCTGGAGCTTTATAATGCATTTTGGTTTTACCTAAATTCCACTATTTGCCTGACTACTGGTTACAGTCTTCAAATGATGGAATACTTACAAATTGCTCTAGACAGCAGGTTTCTTATTGGCAATATTAAAAATATATATTTTTTCTAATTTTTTATTTATTTCTAATGTGTTTCAGTTTAAAGCATTTTGTTGTGTTCCCAGTCATCAATGAACCACAGGAAGGGAATGCCAGTTAACATTCTGAAACTGCAAACTGGATGAGATATCCCAAAAACAACAAAGCGCCAATAGCAGACTAGCATATGTAGCAACACAGTCCTGCACAATACACTTTAATGAAAACATGGAGCCCTTTCCATATGATAGTGGGTAGGCCGGAGAGGTAGCAGAGTAATAGAAAGTTGCAATAAATAAAAATGTAATACTTTCTAAAAGTTAAGATTTTAGCAACCACCTCCTTGCACAATAATCACTGTAAACTGCTTGTAGGGTGCTTATAGTACCCCTGCAATCAGATCTACAATTACCCATCCAGTGATATGGTTTATATAAAGATGAAGAGAATGGCTCTAAAGGGCATATTGGAACATGCACTGCTTGAATGTACACTTTACAATTATCAAAGGACATCTAATCTAGAGTTCAAAGTAATAAAACAAACAGGTTACCTGGAGGCAATGAGCCAAGTTGCAATAAGCATCAGGGAAATCAGGTTTCAGTTTCAGAGCTGTCCTGTATGAAGCGATAGCTTCAGGGATGTTTCCTGAGTCCTTAGAAGTACACAGACAAATGATAATTAGTTTAGATTTCACATTTTATAAACACACACCTGTGTACAAATAGCCAGTTGGAATGTCTATTACTAGCTGGAAATATCAGTTTTGTGCACCTGGTGTCAGCACATATAACATGCTGACCCTAGAAATACCAGTTACTCTTGGAATTACAGGGGACATAAAAACGGAAAAATAACAGGAATACCAGAGCCGTTAAATAGTCTATGAAGGTCAAGAAACCTCAATCACAAATGGGAAATGGTACATATGGCCACCACTACAGACAAAGACCAGTCTAACTAGGTAAAAAAAGGGAAATGTTCGGGTGAAGTCACCAAGAATGCCAATACCTTGTGAATGGAAGCAAGATTACTATGAGCATCAGCAAAAGCTGGATTAATTTGAATTGCTCTGGTGTAGCACTGCAGTGCACCTTGGACGTCTTGCATCTCCTTCAGTGTGTTGCCCATGTTGGAATAAGCATCAGCAAATGTGGGACTGATTCTGTAAAGACAAACAATGTATATTATGAAGAGCCATCGCAATAAGAAAATCCATGCAAGCACCTTTGTGAATAGCAGAAGGGTTACCGTATAGCTTCTTTGTAGTGCATCAGAGCCTCTTGAAGCTTCCCTTGTTGTTGCAGAACACTGGCCAAGTTTGAATGAGCTGCAGCAAACTCTGGGAAAACCTAAGAAGAAGATAACTCTTAAAAACAGATCCAAACTAAAAACAAAATGTATGTCAAAAAACAAAGATAATTACCTCCAGGGCTTTCCGATACAAACGGACTGCTTCCTCTATGTTTCCTTGTTCCCGCTTGATGTTTGCCAGATTATTGAGGGAATCCGCATGTGTAGGGCAGAGTCTTAGAGCTGTATTGTAACATTCCTCTGCATCAACCACCTTCATAACAGAAGAAAAAAATATTAAAAGGGGCCGTATAGCAAGTAAATAAAATACATTGGCAATCACTTGGCACTTATCTGAGCAGCATAAGATGAACCTTTCACAGGATTAGTAAAAAGTTCTCTTTTATCGAAAATCTATTTCATTTGGTTACTCCCAGAGAAGAATATATCAGTAAAAGCAGGTCAGCAACGAATGGAGTTCGGTATGGGACACTGAGAATCCCTTTAATCAATGCTTCACAGTGATCCAACCACATAAATGTAGTGTAAATATACACACTCTTGAACACATCCTGTGAAGTTCACTTTTCGTAACCCCTTCCCAACATTAAAGCATGCTACGCAGTCATATAAAAGGAGCCCATTAACACAGGGTGGCATAGCACACCATAACAATTGAGTGTTTTAGAGCAGTACAATGTATAAAGACAATGATATCAGTGAATGTGCAGTATTTGTGTGAAAAATGCAAAAACAAATATGAACAATGATTTTGCCCAGGGTTTGTGACTAAATAGCTACAAAAAAAAAAAAAAAAAGACTGGAAATACCCCCATTTTGAATACGCTGGATTGTCTAATTTTGCAAATGGTATTCCATGCTGCCACAATAAAACAGTTAAAGGTCCCAAAGTACTAAAAAAATTTTTTAAAAAGGTCATGAGGAAGAGACTGTGCAGCAAGCAGTCTATATGTAGTTTGTTTAAAAAAATAAAATACATTGAATTCTAGATCATATATTTCAGAATTTTCATTTAACATTTTGAATCCTTGTGGAGAAAAAAAATAAAATTGTATCTGCATGCGGTTTTATGCTTACACTGCCTTTTTCTTTGAGTGCGTTGGCAAGGTTACAGTAAGCATCAGGGAAGTGAGGTTGCAGTTCAATAGCCCGTCGGTACGTGTCGATTGCAAGATCAATGAGCCCCTGCTCATAGTACACACAAGCCAAGTTTCCATGCACCACAGCATGATTTGGACTCAGACTAAGAGCGCGTAAATAAGCCGCTACCGCTCTGGAAAGCAAAGTATGATGAACAAGTGTTACAGAGGCAAAATATAATGCACGCTTATCTGAACTTCTACCACTTTTAGATTGGTTTTCATTTTATTTTCCCAGCTAGGATCTGGAAACATACAGCCAAGCGCCTATAAAAATCAAGGCATAGGATGCAGCACTGTTTAGCTAAACTAATGCTTTCTCACACTGCAAAATAAAATAATTTGCAACAAATATTTATAATTCTAAAAGTGCTGACAACATATTGGGGGTCTGTATATTTTTCTCCTAGGTAACATATCTGCTTGTCTGGTGGCATGTGAAGACAGAAGGAGGGACTTAAATCTCTCCAGAGCACAACCTTCCTCCTCTCTAATTACTGGCACAGGTGAGAGTATGTATTCGTATTTAACTAGTACACATTGTAAGGCAGGAAGTGGGAATGTACAGAATGCTTGAACTTGTTAGCCATTGTTAGACATCGTGTCATTTGATGCCTTGTCTTATGTGAATATGTTTTAACTGCACTGGAAATTCAATAAATATGAAACATACAAATTTCTCAAAGATTTTATCTGAAATTACAGGTTTTTTTTTTATATATAGTATTTACATTCCAACAGTTGCAAAGTCAATGAAAGAAAGAGTAACACCACAGCATGTTAGCATCAGACAGGTTAACATTAACCAAGCATGGTAAAAGATAGGGTCATGCTTTAATATTTAATAAGGAATAGTAATAAACGTGCTGAGAGAAACAGACTTTGTCAACAGTGTTGCAAAGTATTTGCATAGGAGTTTGCACTGGTATAGCTGTTTAACCCCTTAAGGACACATGACATGTGTGACATGTCATGATTCCCTTTTATTCCAGAAGTTTGGTCCTTAAGGGGTTAAAGAAGGCTAGCCACTAATGTGTTATAGAAATTGCACATAGGTGTTCTGATTAAACAAAAATATGAAATGTCAAATAAACCCAATTACAATTTTAATGCATGCACAGGAGTAGCCGGCAGAAGATGGATTTTTAGCATTGCCATGTTCTCAAAAACAGCTGTTAGCACAAGTGTGACCATAAAGCTTGTACATTGAACCCCTTCGTGCAGCGATTTGTTTAGACTGGGATATATAGGAGTTGTCTAACCTATTGCCACAAACTTAATATACATAAATACAAATTTGGAAAGCAAACTGCACATAATAGATTAACTTAAAAAAAACAAAACCAAAAACATGCAGTTCTTGAATAGCAAACACTTTGCAATAAATGCCTCTGTACAGTATAAGATTCAGGTAGAGAGATTTATCGAAGGTTTTGACAAATGACAATTTATGTTACCTGTCAAATATGCGAGCCTCCTTTAGAACATTTCCTAAATTGATATAAGCATCTAGAAAATTTGGATCAAGTGTTACAGCCTACAAAACAAATTAACACAAGGAAAGCATTAGAGCCAAGTATTTAGAAAAAAAACAAACAAACTTAGGCATTATACAAATTCCAAGATTTGAAAGTGAAATGGGCATTAGTGAGGTCGCGAACGGTTCGCTGCGGACTCATCATTGAGTAAACTTTGACCCTGTACCTCACAGTCAGCAGACACATTCCAGCCAATCAGCAGCAGACCCTCCCTCCCCCTGGACAGCTCACTAAGAATGCAGCTTCAAAATGGATGCTGTCCAGGAGTTGGGAGGGCCTGGGAGGGAGGGTCTGCTGCTGATTGGCTGGAATGTGTCTGACGACTGATGTACAGGGTCAAAGTTTACTCAATGATGAGTCCGCGGCGAACCGTTCGGGACATCACTAATGGGCATGTTTTTAATTTAGACCTGGAAACTTCACAAACCTCTTTCAAATGGTATACATGGGTAATGGCCAGTGGCTTTGCTATACCAAGGAGATATAGTAAACACAACTAGTGGGAATTTGTGCAGTAGCAAATGTGGCTTACCAAAAACATGCAATCCAATAGGAGAAATTTGAAATAAAATTATACAAAAACAGATTCCCTGGCTTGTCTCTAATTACAAAGAATGGGCAAGAAATCTGCTCCAATGTGTTTTAATGAAATAAGTTAGCTTTCTTGCCATTTGCAGTCTATGCAAATAAAGATTAAAATCAATAATGACAAATCTCACATTTATAAAAATCCCATATTTGTGTCTTTGCAAACATAAACCTGTATATTAGACACCATTTGCTCTGTGGATCTTTACTGCTGAAACTTTTTGGCATATTTGGAGCACCCACCTAGTCCAAAGGGACTCCAAACAGCAAAATCTTCCAAAGCGCAAAAGTGCATGACATTATGTCATAGTAATAAAACAATACATCTCTAGTTTTAAATAAGTATCAGGCGTAAGTGGACTTCTTTAAATTAAGCACTTGGTGTTCTGTAAAATCGAGAATAAGACAAAGACTACAAGCAAAAGTTTATTTGTGCCAATATATTAACGGATGTACCTTTTCAAAGTGATGAATTGCTAGCCAGATCTCTCCTTGTGCATTAAATACGCATCCAAGATTACTCCATGCAACGGCAAAATTTGGTTGTGTTTCAATTGCTTTCAAGTAGCAAGCCTTAAAAGGGTTCAAGTAAAGGAATGGGAATAGGGAAGAAAGGGGTGGGGTTTCAAAACAAAACAAGGAGAATAAATGTCAGAATCCAGTCTCTAAACAGGAAAAAGTGAACCTGCAGCATAGGCTCGCAAGCGCTTCACATATTGCGCAAGTCGATGAATCCTACGCGAGCGCAAACCCAAACCTATATGCAAGTCATCATTTTTAAGTTAAGCTGACAGATGTTTAATTTGATTTATGAATTATAAATTAAGCTATCTTCTCCAGTGTACATACTTACAATGGATGTAATTTGCAGCTGGACAGTGTTAAATAAAAAGTCTATCACCCCACCATTTAAATTTTGTTCCACTGATCTTCTAATGACAAGCCTGGAGCCAGCATAAAAACCGAAAATGGCATGACTACACACAGGTTAGGGTCCCTGTAAAGCAGGCGCAAGAATCGCCAGCAACGCCATGCTTTTTAGCAACACTACGCTATCGCTGCGCACGCATTGACGCTGGCAATAGAGTCAACAGCCAACCTGATTTGCCAACTCACAAAAAAAAATAAACTTTCACCTAGAGACATGATTCTTAAATGAGTATCCCCAACCATAAGCTAAAAACCCCACATGTCTTAAAGCTACAGCTAACAATCAAGTTGGCTGTCCACAAAGTTTCGCTTTACACACGCAAAGCGCAATACGCAGCGCAGCCTTTGCGTTACTGCAGGTTCACAGCGCGTGATGAGGAGCAGAACGATTCAGTCCAAACAAAGAAGAAGAAAAATCAAATAAAAAAAAAAAAATCAAATAAAAAATAATGAACATCTTGAAGAGTTAGAAGCTTACAACTAATCTAGCTCCAAATCTTAACAATATATTTACTCCTTTAAAGAATTGTGGCTAATGGAATATACTTTTTATTTTTGCTCTTAAATAAAAGTATTTTAAGCGGTTTTTGAAGCCACAAGACAGAAGGATTCAGGCATGGAGCAAATGGTTTTGTTGTGGCAGTTACAAACCCGTTACCATATTTCTCATGTGACTTTTCGGTGCGTTCTTTGCTGGAAGAGGAGGAGGTGCATGTCTGCCTAGATCCAGGCCTCGAGCTCCCTTCAGCGAGGCACCTTACGTATGGCATAGCAGTTTTCACCCACCTGAAACCTTCTAAATACAATATCAGTGGTAAAAAACCAAAAACAAGAGAGAAAATAAAACAAGATCATTAGTAAAAGATCTCAACAAAGCAAGTGAAATGTTTTTGGATATGCTCTATGATTTAGACAAGGACATGTCAAGCTTGCTGTCATTATATGTTCGTCATGCAGGAGGTTTGGGGTGGTGGTGGTGGTGGCACAGTGCATGGCTGGAAGAAAGGCTTTAAGGTTAGTTTAGTGTGTAAATTTTGCTTTCAATTTCAAGGAAACAGCTGGCTTGATATTGTAAATGCACTGATTATAAAGAAATATATCATGTTTTGTTTAATGTTCTTGTCTTGTTTCAGCAAGTCCTCGCCAAAGAAAAGACTCTCAAACTAGTTGTCTCCAGATCTCTGAAATAAAGAAATCAGCATCCTACGCGGGCGCAGACTGTATCCTATGCCAGTGACGCTGAAGCAGCGGTGAAGTGTAACAGGCATTAGATGTCCACATGACTTGACGAGAACCAGTCGCAGAAAAAAATAAAAACATCTCCCAAATAGATTCTATGTACTTTTCTCAATAGTCCCCTTCAGATACCAGTATCTGAATTTTAGAACCCAACCCAATATCAATCAAACCAGACCACTCCCGTTGGGACTCATGACAAATGGACAGCTAGTCTGCTTTCACACTCCATGCAGTGCATGCGCGCGAGTTATAGAGAAACAGAGGGGATTCACAGCCATCCTCTAATTTCTCCCAACTCTTATCCCTAGCAGCGCAGACGCATAAGGTGGCTTGTAACAAGACAAATGTTTTTAAACAATTACACTTTACAAACGGGTGCAAAGCTGTAAGTACTGTAATTAAAAAAAAAGAAAGAAAAAAGAAAGAAAAAAGAAAGAAAAGTTTTTTGTTTTTTTTGTTTTTTTAAAATTCTGGGTTCACAGGAGCTAACTGCTAGAAGCCACCTTTATATCTCATTGTTTTCTTTCCATCAGTCCATTTTCTTAAAACAAACCAGCTTCTGTCCTTTTCTAGGAAAGTTTTGGAGTCCACTTGAGACATCAAGCAAGGTTTACAAATCAGGTGTGTGATGTGTATCAGCCTTTCTTCCATGGAAAAGATACATTTACTGGGGGTAACAGAGGAGTTAAACCAAAGTAGGCACTTTGGTTGAGTTTGCAGTGCCCCTTAAGCTCATCAGCCAAGATGATCTGTTGGGCTAAGACCAAATCAGAATGGTTTTATTTAGATAGAGGACAGAATTAAGTACCACCTTTAGAACTTTTAACTGGCTGGACAGCTCCTCACTGTTTGGAGAGGCTGCACACTCCAACACTAGACTCCTCGGTCATGCTTTTTCATTTTACAGCATCATTCCTTTAAACACACTGCTGTAAACAAGTCAATGTGTAATACTATCTTTAGCAGAGCTGCAGACAGTGTTTTGAGACTGGCAACAATAGTTAAACACCATGATACTGAATGCCTACCTTTGCTTCTTCTAAGCGACCTAGGGCTTTAAGCAGGTTACCCAGGTCACTACGAACACAGTACAAATCCTATTGGGGGGGGAGAAAATAACATTGATATTAAGCCATCCACTTACTCAGCAATACTCCATCAATCACATGATAACTGTAATAAAACCACACTTCCAATACCTTAAAATAAGTCAGTGATACCAGAATGGAAAGGTAATTAGCAGTGCATTCAGACTCTTACAAATCCATAATTTAAAAACTAACTGAAAGCATATCTGGAAAAATGTAATCTATACCTCAAATGTAATATATGTCATGGATAATTCTGGAAGACCAGTATTCTGGATCTGTTCATAAAGCTGGCAAAATTGTTTACAAATATGAACAGCTGGGTTAATGTTTGCATTTTAAATATTTCTGGTTCCCATCTTTTTGAGCTGCCAGCCGCATACTCCGCCTTTTGACCAAGCACAAATATTTCAAGATTCAAATACTACAATTACTTTTCAGAATCAAAATATTAGTAACTGATGGAGAACTGGAAAACTAAGCACCATTAATCATTACATCTTCATGTAGTAGTAATGCACAGGTTGTGTCACTTTTCTCAAATTACATGAATATTTTTTAGTTACTAAACTAATAGGGACATTATAGTCACTAAAACAGCTTTAAGTAAGTAGTTTTGGTGGATAGAACAGCCCCTGCAGTCTCACTGCTCGATTCTCTGCCATTTAGGAGCTAGATAACTTTGGTTTCATGTAGGGTGACAGCATGATAAGCTGTTGCGGGAGGTGAGTGCTGTTACAACTTTTCTCCTCTGCCACCCTCTAAGTGCGTACTCATGCTTCTGTTTTGACCAATATGGTTCCTCTTACTAACAAGCCAGAGCCATTTTACTGTAGCCTGTTTTTTTTATTAGTTAGGCCAGCATGTTTAAACATACACTTACCTACACACACTCTCTCTTATACCTCTTACATGTCTAGCAGACTTCACAGTTTCATAGTTAACTACCTGCTCTTTGTCTAGTTGAGTATACCCAACGCTGAGCATTAATTTTATGCCCTTGCCTGTCTAGACACTGATATTAAGCATGTATATTTCCTGTGGACGACCTCTTAGTCACGCTAGCCTAGCATGATGTTACTTTAAAACTGTGCAGAGAGCTTGTTTCTTTTCTTATGTAATCTGTATGATTTCACAAAAATGTACAATGTTGTATGCCATACCACTGTTTCTCTATGTTTACTGAACTATCTGCATCAGCTGTTGTGACAATGCAAGACCAAAATAAATTATATTTGGTTTCGGTTTATCAAGCGCTAGCCACATGTCCCTTGGCTATGACTCACAGTTTGAATTGGGAAAATAAATTAATTTTAAAAATGCATTTTCAATTGGATCTTAACTTATTTTAGACAGTTTTATCCCCTTCTCTGTCAACTGATCTTTAATTACTTGCAAGGGGGCACCTGCAGGGTCTAGTAAACTAACAGGGCAAGAGATAATACATTCTAAATTAAAAAACACTATTTGCAATAATGGAAGTGTTTTCATTATATCTCACTTTACAGGACGTGTTTAGGAATTCTGTACACTTGACTTGCTGGGAGGTGTGACTTGGGCTAAAAAAGCAAAGTGATTTAATTCCTAAATGGCAGAGAATTGAGCAGTGAGACAACAGGGGAACAATCTATATACCATAACTGCTTCAATAATCTATACAAAAAAACTGTTTCTTGGTGCCTATAGTGTCCCTTTAATTATTTGCCTCTACCATACTGTTCCAAGAACAGGAGCAACAAAATTTAATTAACTGCGTAGCAGCAGTTTCTAACTTACCGGATTGTACTGAAGAGCTGACACATAAGCCTGCACTGCGCCCTCCATATCACCAGCTGCCACCAATGCCGCAGCAAGGTTGATATACCCATCAATAAAGTCTGGTTTCAGCCGTAGAGCATGTCGATAATGTTCAATTGCTTCCTGTAGTTGTCCGCGCTCTTTATAGACATTTCCCAAATTCGAATAAGCTTCAGCAAGCAGTGGGTTCTGCTTAATTGCCAATGTGCTAAAATGGGCAGACCTAATAAAATTGAACAAAATATTATGGTTAAATACAATGTTACGTTAAAGGGAAAAATACATTCTTTGTTCAAAATGTATCTCTTTTTTTGTTTCGCTTACTGGCAAGTCTTACCTACCTGAGAGTGCCCCTGGGCCCTACCTTTCAGGAATATGTAAACTAAATAACCTTACTGCTTACTTTTTTTCCAGCGTCCAGGCAACCACCTGTTTTGCAATGTGTAAGAGCGTTGATCATCAAGAACTGAGTGTGACTTGGTTCTCAATAAGGGAGAACCATCTAGTGGCTGTCTAATGGCCACTAGAGATGAGTTTAGCCCCGCAATTAAACAAATGTTTTACATTGCGAGAGCTAACTCCGAGGGGCACTGCACCAAGGCTACTTTAATAAGATGAAGTGGTTTGGGTACTACATGTCCCCTTAATAAAAGTTTTATACTTCCAAAAAGATAACATTTTAGAATGCAAAATCAACTCATTATAAAAGCAGTAGAATTATATACTGATGGTGATCAGGCTTTAGAGAATTTTTCTCACTACAATACTGATGCAGATTTTTTTCTCTAATGAGGAGAGTAATAGAATAGTTTTTTTTCTCTGTAAAATGATTTTTCTCTACTGTAAATAAAACCCTGTTATTTTTGCCTAGGTTAGGTGACTGAGTGAATGCGCTGGATTTTGTATGTTGTGAAAAGATTGTTTATGTGACTAAAAAGTAATAAAGTAACATGTAGGTTTTTCTCCACCTTCAATGCATAGTAACTGCGGAACATTGCTTCTGGACTATCTTCCTCAAACTTACTATACACAGTATACTGATTGCTAAAAAAGTATTCCTTTTGTCTCAATGTACAATTTAGCTCTAGATTGTAAGTGTTTTCTTCTACTTTTGTGTAGTGTCAAAAAGCACCAACAAATTCCGCAGCGCTGTACAACGTGTAGACCAACAGACACATAATTGTAACCAGACTAGTAGGACTCACCGGAACAGAGGGGTTGAGGGCCCTGCCCAATGAGCTTACATGCTAGAGGTAGTGGGGAATAGAGACACAGAAGGTAAGGGAACACTGACAATTGCATTGTCACTGACAACGACATGTAACTCGCAATACGGGATATTGGCGAACTGCAGGCTCTGCCGGGATTGGTAACGACGCTGGCCATAGCCTATGCTAGCTACGAACTAAGACTACTCCCACCACTTCTGCGTGCTAGGATATACCTAGCGACACCACAACGGAACTACGGGTCCGAACCCAGCGGGAGCCAGTGACCCGCCTTTCCTATAATTGCTTCAATTCCCTGCCCAAACGACCAGGTAACGCATTGTCATGTGGCTCCCGCCATAGACATTTGAGAACAACCTGTCCCGACACAACTTCTGTTTGCCCTTTACGCACACTCTGGTTAAGTGAGGTAATCCGACTGCTCCAGACGTTCTATTCTGTATGATACTACCGTTTCCCCCCCATCGTATACCTACACTGCTTTCAAAGTGTGAACAGCATATTCACCTTGCTCGGGGACCTGCTAGGGAATGTTGCGCGGAGATCCGCATACCTCATTATATTGTATAATGTGTGCCTATAAACTACAGAAACCTGTGAGTTTCACACTGTTTACCAACTAACTGCTTTCTACATTTTGAAAATATCTTAATAAAAAGATTTACAAAAAAAAAAAAAAAAGTGGTAAGGGAAGGGGTAGAAAACTAGACTGCTAGAAAAGTATTCACTGAGGACTTAGTTGATGATGTGTTTTTATTTTACTGAGTTACAATGTCTATTTCCAGTTTCTATAACTACCAATGTTCTTTCTCCGTAAATTGTATAGCGATCCGGAAAAGAGCACTATTTAAAAACTGTTAAACAGATACATTTTAATAAGAAATGACTAGAGCATTTAGTTACCTGTCCAGTCTGCGACATTGGAAGTGAATAGATGAGAGAAGCAGCAGAACGCCAGTATTATCAGGCTCTTGTCTCCATAACTGCATGCAATGCCTCTCAGCTGCCTCAAAGTCTCCTGCCTGATACTCGCGATGAGCCAACTCTGCCAGCCCTTGGAAGGAAAGCATACGTTTCGTTGGTTCTAGAGAATTATCAAAACATTCAGGGGGAGGCAAAAGTTAGACAGAAAAACTTAAAGAAAAAGAAAACCCCCAAAAAATAAATAAAATGAATCAAAATGCAATTAAGCAAACACATAATGATGCAAAACTAAAGAGTATGAAATGAAATATGACCAAAAGTAGAAATCAATAATATACAAAGGGGGGGGGAGAATATATAAAATAAAATTTTAAGAAAAAATAAAATAAAAAATAAAAAACCACAAAAACCAACCAGACATTACCAATGTGTTGCTGTTTGTAAATGTTCTACTTAGCAGCCGATTATTAACAGCTACCAAAGAGAAGATATTTACTTCAACAGAATGTTATCCTGGAAACTAAGAAAGAAAGTCATAATCTAGTGGCAACATGACATATCAGTGACTGCTAACCTGGGCAGTGCAGATACTGAATGTATTCTACATATCATAGGATACCCAGCAAGTTATTTTAGCAACTGTAATGGATTTTGGTGTTTTGCACTGAAAACTATTTCAATTTGCACAGCATACACCTCATATTTAACTCCCTTCTTATAATTGCAAGAAAACACGATTTCCACTGTTAATTGATATTTTGAATAGATTTTATTGGGACAATATGCTAGGATGTGACTTTGTTTAACAAGAGCTCATTGAAGAATTCATACAGTGGCAATTTGCAGCAAATGCAGGGATATTTTAAATTATGAGTTGCTCATCTCTGGTCAAGTATACACTACAGTTAAAAAAAAAAAAAAAACCCAACAACAATATGACTACATCAACTAAACTTACCAGTAAACATGCCTGCCCAGTAAAAACCAGCAAATTGATTTTCTAGATCTCAAACACATTCTGTGCAAACTAGAGGATTAAAATACGGTGACTATTTAAAGAGAGACCAAGAGTGTAAAAAGAGGAATTAAAATAGAAATATATTTATTGGATGGCTGACTTTAACATTAAAGGAACACATGCATTCCTGACCCAAGGCATCTCTATGGGGAAAGTTCAGATTCTCCATGCCTCCGTCTGATGAATGGCCACTAGAGGTGTCCCGGGGTTGTAATGTAAACACTGTCTTTTCCGTTAAAAGACCTGGAGGGGCTGACTATACTCACCAGAACGATAATTGTTATGGTGACTATAGGGTCTCTTTAAATACTTATAAGTGACAGAGCTGCTTTAAAGAGATGATGGCATCGTCTGGGGGTCTTTGCATAAAACCCCAGACTGTTACTGCTCCTCTGGGTGTCTGGTGACCGCAGGTTAAGATGATTTTTACTTACCTGAATTTGTCACTGCCACCATGAACATGCTGTCATCCCTTTTCTTTATTAAAGAGACACCGAGTGTCCCTTTAATTAAGATAGAATATTTATGTAACACTATATGCACTATGTTGCAATTTCATTGAAGCAGTTCCTGCTTTGTCTTAGGAGTATGCAGAGGTTGGCAATCTTGTCATTTCCAGCAGCCACCATTAGCAAGGGCTATGGGGAAAAGGCATCGTGCTGGATTTTCCAGAGATCTCGGTTTTGTATTTCCACCCGTGTAAGAGTACAACAGTTACTGGGGATCCAAGACAATGAAGCAACCACAAGGGAGAGCTTCAGGCAAGTATATCTTCCTCTGGCAGTTGCAATACAAGGAGACATGTCATCAAGGGAACAACATATGTAAAAATCCTAAAGAAACAGTGTTACTTTAAATGAATTATGGATCATGCACAATTCTGATCAAAGAAACAATTTAGAAGCCCCAAAACAGTAAATTTTCTATTGTGATACAAACGTTCTCCTGTTCATCAAACTGAACAAAACATTCTCAAAAGGGATCTGAGTGTTAAAGGAGCGCCGTGGAAAATACTATTATATTAGATTTAGGTGGCATCCAGAAATTGATCACTTCATGAAGGACAGCTGTCCTTAAAGGAGCACTATGGTGCCAGGAAAACAAACGCGTTTTCCTGGCACTATTGGGTCATTTGGTCCTCCCCCACCCCCAGGGCCCTCCTCCTGCTGGGCTGAAGGAGTTACAACCCCTTCAGGGCCTCCCTCTAAAACTGCTATGTTTTCAGCTGCAGGGTTAAAACTAGAGGGACCTGGCACCCAGACCACTTCATTGAGCTGAAGTGGTCTGGGTGCCTATAGTGGTCATTTAATGTTTCACTTCTTGTTTTTAAAGGGTCTCTCTAGACTCCTAAACAACTGAAAAGCAGTGTGTGTGAAGAGTGGCATCTTCATTTTGCAAAAAGCGCAGGTTTCAATAGAAATTGACACCCCCATGGCTTTTAAGCAGTCAATTGATAATGTTGCTTCCTGGGTTGTTAGCTCAATGCAGCTGACCTCAAAAGGCAGAAATTGCCCAGAGCACTTTACTTATAAAGTGTTCTCATTGAGCTGCATTGGGAAGTCTGATAGGACAGCCACAAAGTCTGGGTGGGGTTAGAAGGGCAGAGCTTGCAAAGGCAGCAGACAAGAGAGCTACAGGATTTGCAAGCTAATTTTAGATATATCCCTAAAGAAAAGAAAAATTACATAATTAAATGCATGCAAATTTTCATTTGGGGCATATCTACTAAACAGTGATTTGTATTTATTTTGTATTTGAGCAGTGGAGTGTCCCTTTAAACATTTACTACATTAAGTGAAATTTAATGACTAACTAATCGAAAGCTACTCAACTAAAATCGCCTGCTGTGATTGCTCTGTATGAACCTGCATCAGCAGGCAAGTTGCGCTGAGCAGCAGTTGGCCAGAAAACAGTAGAATTGAACTCAATATGGCTGCTGTGCCAGAATAAAGGATATTTATTAAAAAAAAAAAATTTAAAAAAAAATCATTTAAGAAATGATTTAGCTAGCTAGGCAACCCTGTTATACAACAGTCTGCATGGTATATGCACAACATTTACATTGTTAGCAACATGTAAAAACTACTTAGTTGCCAAGGGTTCTACTATCTACATCAAAACCAATTAAAGGGACACTATAAAATGTGCTGCAGCTATTATGTTCCCAGGAGACTCCTGGTGCTGTCCAACAATTATCGGTCAAACCATTTAAGAAGAATTTTTTTTAAAAAAAAACTTACCTGTCACTGCTAAAAGCGCCAGCACTGCTCATCGTCTGAGATGGTATGGTAAAGTGGAAGTTCATTGGAATGAGCTGGTGTGATAACTTCTGCTTTACACATTCTGGTTCAAACTAAAAGCAGCATGGGCACCTGGCAGAGACATGTTAGTGTCAAACAGCTAACTAGTTCATGGCTGGACAGCACCAGGGAACTCCTGACACCATTACAGCACGCTGTACTGTTTATGGCACTTATGGTGTCTTTTGGATGCATACAGCTCTCTCTTGCATTTTTGTTTCCTTCGAGGGTAATATTCGTCAAATATCCAATATTTTGAAAGTTGCACATTTAGAAAAGGACACTTTCCAGATTTTTCTGCGAGTCAACAGTAGTGATGTCCCGAACGGTTCGCCACGGACTCCAGTCAGCAGACACATTCCAGCCAATCAGCAGCAGACCCTCCCTCCCAGACCCTGTCACCTCCTGGACAGCTCACTAAGAATGCAGCTTCAAAATGGATGCTGTCCAGGAGGTGGGAGGGATGGTCTGCTGCTGATTGGCTGGAATGTGTCTGCTGACTGGAGTCCGCAGCGAACCGTTCGGCACATCACTAGTCAACAGCTATAGTCCAACTAGAAGGACCGTTGCGTAATAACCTCTTTATGACAAATCATGACTAGAATATTTCAACATATTAGTACTGTCACAGTACAGGGTGCCTTGCCTAACCTTTGTTGTCAAGATCTTACAATTTGTCCCATTGATTCGTTTTCTATTTTTTGTTTTTATAATAATACAGACCACCAATGGAAATAAAAAAAATAAATAAAAAAAGTGCTAATTATACCAGGAGAGCAGTAGTGTAAAGTGTGTCCACCTAGTGTATAATAGGTATAATTATTTAATGAGAATACAGAAAAGCACGGGACAATCAAATATGTATAACTGTGATTTCAATAAGCCAAATAGCCTAAAGACAAATGTCTGCATGCAAAAAGAAAAGCAAATATTGTTAAACTCCATCCTAGTCAACAGGTCACCCGGACCTCAATTTCCTCACATGATGTAGTTATGCTCAGTTTCACATACCAAGTCACTCTCCCATTAAAAATGACGATATGTGCATTTTTCTAGTAGTACCTATTGGCATATAGTAAAAAATATATAGGCTTCTGATATTAGCTCGGTTTTATTTAATCAATATACTGATTTCTGTTTTTTTAATTGAGTGCATACACAAAAAAAAAAAAAATGAAGGGAGCATTAAGAAGTGTTGATTTTAAATTAAACGGATTGCCGAAAATAGAACACAAAAATTTGCTTTGCAACTACTACACCTAGCAAAGACATAGCCAATTCATTACCTTGATAAAAATTACTTAGGATGTCTTTACTACGCATGAACATTTATGTTCAGATCTGAAATGTGTGTGACGGATGATACGGGGAAAATAGCTATCAGGCTCTACAACATTGCAGTTATATTAGATATGCAACTGTCTGCCATCGTTCATCAGATCCATTTTCTACAGGCCAGCTGTATTGCGCAGTTGAAGATCAATGAGACATTCAGCACTACCCATCTGTCACAACTACACATCTCATAGAGCCTATACATGGCCAGAACCAGACCAAGGGTGTCTTGGGAAGAGCATATGTTCTATTCCCAAAGCTTAAATATTTAGATCTGTCACTTTTGGAGGTCTTTTCAGGTTTTGTGAAAAGTCCTGTAACTGACCTATACGCTTTACAGTGTGGTGACCAATGGGTGTTGTGGAAGGTATTTATACCTACCAGACAGTACCCCTTGCGGCCACGGCCATCTTGTTTCTGGGAGACTGTGCCCAGTTCCGGTCACTTCACCTGCTAGGAGTCAGGTCAGTGCTGTATCCTCGCGCATGCACAAGCGTACAACAGTGTATGAACCAACATGCATAAATGGGTGCGGCTGGGGCCAATTCATACAACATACAAGATCCAGCGCACTCCCCCATCCACTAAATTGCAACTTAAAAGCTTATAGGTTTTAATAGTTTTTTCTCTTTAGAAAACATCAAATCTAGGCAAAAATAATGCGGGTTTAATTACAATATATGATCATACATCTCATAAGCCTGGCACATACATACATACATACATATATCTATATATATATATATATATATATATCAAAATCCAAATAGGTTATGGTGGGGGAAAATTGTGATTGAAAACCCCTTCCACCTGAAGTATGTGGTTTCAATAAGCCAAATAGCCTAAAGACAAATGTCTGCATGCAAAAAGAAAAGCAAATATTGTTAAACTCCATCCTAGTCAACATGTCACCCGGACCTCAATTTCCTCACATGATGTAGTTATGCTCAGTAACCTATTTGGATTTTGCTTCCCAAGCACTACCAAGCCTCGCTAAGCAAACCAGTAACCAACCTCATGCTGAAGAGTTGCATTAACAACGAAACAGCTGTCCATGATTGGTTCACTGGTTTTGCATCTTATCCTAAATTGTGTTCCAAGCAGTTGTATACTGCAAACACAAATTAAAAGGAATCCATGTTTAAAATGGAATGAGGCAAAAATGTGATTCTTTGTTAAACTAATTTGCATATGCCCACCCAGAATCCTTTGCGGTTGTAACATCACTGCTGATTGGGGATTTCTGTGGGAAAAGCAAGTCTTATGGCTTGACTGGTGTGCAGATTTTTGTTTAGCATTGTATTAACTATATGTAATATATATATATATATATATATACACACATATACATACACATATATATATACACACACACACACACACATATACACACACACACACACATATACACACAGCAAAAATAGATGGCTGAACTCACGGTCTTCAAAGTAAAAATTCCAAGCTTTATTTCAACATTTGTAAAAACAATCCACTGATTACTAAATAAAGCTTGGTATTTTTACTTTGAAGACCATGAGTGCAGCCATCGATTTTTGTTATTTGGTATCTACGGCCTTGGCCAAGCACCTGGCGATAAAAAGATATTCAGCTTGTGTGCAAGGACTATTACACACACTTCATAGTTTCAAGTCCTGAACTGCTAACAATATTGCATTAAAAATGGATGGTACACCGATCAACAAATGTACATTTAAGGCTCTGTAGAACAATAAGGATGTTAAAAGACAATCTATCCAACAACCCCACAGCATGCAAAATTGTTGGGAGTTTCTGTGAACATCTATCACACAATACATGTTGTGATGGCTAGGGCCCAACATATGTCTTTCAATACATTGAATGGTTTGCTGCTTCCCAGGGATAAAATAATATATGTAATCATGCAGGTTTCTTGATTACTGGTAACATTGTCTTACTTTATGGCAGATACATTTATGATACAATGTTAGAGTTTAATTCAATAGACCATCTTTCAAAACTCATGAGTACTGAAGCACACAGTATCCATTTTGTCAACAAAGATAATATATCAGTAAAGCTACACAATGGCTCAAAAAGCACTGACGTAAGACAACGCCTTGTGGTTATTGAAGAGTATCAGAAATAGCTAACCTTTGGCTCTCCAGCGGACTTAGGCTGCCATTATCTACAGGGAAATAACCACCAGGTAATCTCAGCTAAAGCCTAGGGCAGGTGTAAACAACCTTCGGCACTCCGGATGTTGTGTACTACATCTCCCAGAATGCTCTTACAGCCATAATGCTGGCAAAGCATCAGGGGAAATCTAGTCCACATCATCTGGACCAAGTTGCCTACCCCTGGCTTCTGTCCATGGAAAGAACACGCATTATAAAACCCTGCATACTTACTGTCAGAGCAAACCCACCACTACAGATAACTGAAACAATTGGAATGCGATAGAGACTATTGCAGAGGACTCCCCATGATGATGTCCCAAACCTCAACTGACTCTTTCACAAGTAGCCCATGTAGCTCGGTCAGATCCACCATTTTCCTGGGCTGGTGGGGAGCCCATGACAAATGCTGGCTAGCAGCATACAGACAGACACTCATATGGTGAGGAAGGAAATGGTTTGTATTATAAATTAAAACACAGGCAATCTTCTTTCTGTTAAGACATGGATGGTTTTGGACCCTCAGGATGTAGGGTTGATAGGGGTCCAGGAAGCCATTGTGCAACTGGCCACACTAGCCACATGGTAACCTCCATCTTCTCATGGCCACAATAACATGTCCATGACAGTACATTCCAGGCCTACATGATGGACAATGACCATTTCACATACAAACCTGTGTAACAGCAGGGACATCCTCACACCTGGCCTAATGGACAGATACCCCAGGCACAGACAGACAGAAATCTTTATAAATAATCATATCAACACAGGGAAGGTGCTGCCATACAATGTCTATGGTCCAGGCAGGAAGGAGAACAAAGAGGGACCATAACTACTACATTTTGTGTTTAGTAACCATTAACTCGAGCTATGCTGGTAGCCATGACCTGCAGCATATGAATGCTGCATACAGTGAGCTGGTAATGCCTCTGCTGCCCACGAGGCAGTGTTGTGTGCAGCAAAACATGGTGGAGCTTGTATCTCTGTAATAAAAAGGACCCTGGGGGTGGGGGGGGGCTGCACGGTGGGGATTGTTGGGGCTGCACAGTGGGGAGGTTGGGGGCTGCACGGTGGTGGGGATGGGGGCTGCATGGTGGGTTGGGGCTGCAGGGCTGCACGGTGGGGGTTGGGGCTGCACGGTGGTGGGGGATGGGGGCTGCATGGTGTTGTTGGGGCTGCAGGGCTGCACGGTGGTGGGGGAGGTCTCACGGGTGGTGGTGGTGTGGGGTGGGGGTTGGGGCTGCACGGTGGTGGGGATGGGGGCTGCATGGTGGGGTTGGGGGCTGCAGGGCTGCACGGTGGGGGTTGTTGGGGCTGCACGGTGGTGGGGGGTTTCACGGTGGTGGTGGTGTTGGGTGGGGTTGGGGGCTGCACGGTGGTGGGGATGGGGGTGCATGGTGGGGTGGGGGGGCTGCAGGGTGGGGGTTGTTGGGGGCTGCACGGTGGTGGGGAGGTGGGCTGCAGGCTGCACGGTGGGGGCTGGGGGCTGCACGGTGGTGGGGGAGGTTTCACGGTGGTGGTGGTGTTGGGTGGGGGTTGGGGGGCTGCACGGTGGTGGTGTTGGGTGGGGGTTGGGGGGGCTGCACGGTGGTGGTGTTGGGGGGGATGTGTGACCCCCATGGAGGCCGCCCGAGCCTGTCCATCCTCGGCCCCCGGCTTCCTGTGAAAGCAGTGGGATCTCCTACCTGTGCTATCAGCCACGTTGCCCACAGATGTCGCCATGTCAGTCACGAAGGTCGGTGATACCTGGTCCTGCTCCGGCCTCCCTTCGTCTAACTGTGAAATGGCGCCGGTCGGGGATTCCGGAACTACTTCCACGCAAAGTAGTCCGCCGATCCTTTTGTCACTCTGAGTCAGCAAGGAACTGCGACGGGGGCTACGGCCCCACCTACAACTGAAAGCCGTCAGGGTGGTCGTCCACAGCCGGCTGCGACCCTCTGAGATGGAAATGAAGGAGGGTTGGCGGGCGAACACCGTGTATTCGCACTAAACCTGCAAATATCCTTCCGCCGTGTGCAATGCGGCAAACTGTGGGAGCGGCGCGTGCACAGTCGGGGCTGAGCCTCCAGAATGGCGGCCGGGGGAGGCAGGGGCGGCCATCTTTGTTGTGGGAAGCTTTGCCAGCATGACAAACACTGGCAAGCTTTGCATGTGATAGGTTAGACATAGTCACTAAAACAATGCAAGTCGGCTATGGTCACAGCTTGGCCATCTTACCATCGATTTTTCATTCAGATTTCATTTGAATAAACCCCATCAGATAGGCTCCACAATGCTGCCATTAATTGCATACCTGCCAAGTGTCCCTATTTAAGATGGACAGTCCCTATTTATGGGCCAAAATGCCCCAGTCCCTGTTTTCCATCAGCTCCATGTATTGTTTTGTGTATTTAGTGTATAACAGAGCTCCACATCAATAATACTCACAGCATATTCTGAATCCAGTCTGGATAATAAGATACATTGTTTTTGTTCTAGATTACATTGTAGTTGCATGTGTTTTTATTAGTAAATCACCTGAACTTGCTCAGCACATCCCCACCCCTCATCACTGCCCCATCACACCCTGAAATTAAAGTCACTCAATCTATTAAAGTGGTCCTCCAAAGCCATTTCACTGGGTTTTGAAAATAGAAATATACATTTTCAGACTTTTTTTATATATATATATATATATATATATAAAGCACTCCTATGCAAACCTATTTATACCTGCCAGCCAGGGCCGCCAACAGAGGGTATAATCTGAGACTGGTAAGAGACCTGGATGTGCCATGGAGTCTCCAAGCAAGGGCCCTGTAACACTATGTGGTTCGGTTCGGACAGGTCCTATTTGTGACAATATGGGCCACTTACAAGTACAGTCTCTCCCCTTTAATTTTGAGCACAGCCGCACTGGGAAGTCCTTCTCTGAATTTTATATCTCACTATGTTGGGATGTATGTCCATTTGTACTTGTGGTCTTCCTATTTTCTGAGCTACCGTCCAAGACATCAATGGGGTTTATTCACTAAACCGTGAAATGTTAAAAATTGACAATAATAAGTTGCCAATCAGAGGAGAAGAGCGCTAGTTGGAGAATGTTCCAATTCTGGCTATTTCGCACATAATGTGCAATTTCAATGGCAATCCTCCATAATTTAAAGCTTAGTTAATAAATCCCTGTAAATCGGGTTGTTGGGAGTGATTTACATTGGATATCAGAGCTATGGGGACATCCATGCCCTTGTGCCACTTTACAGTGTGGACTGAATACTGGGAGGAGCTCCCATCAAATTAAAATGTGAAAAGGCCCAGAATGGCATTTGATGCTAATGAAGTCTAATTCCCAGAATTCTTTGTGCACAAATGTACATGAATGGTGGGCAGTGATGAGTCAAATAACCTCACCCAGCAAAAAATATCTCAAACGTAAAAAATCTTCCAAGGTCAGTTATTGTTAATATTGTTGCTATTATCATTTATATAGTGCCAACATATTTCATAGCACTTTACAATCATACTTTGGAGATATAAAATGTCAGGCAATGTTGACAGAGACAAGAGGTGAAGCTTCCAGGTTGATTATTTTGGCCTCAAAGGGACACTCCAGGCACCAAAACTACTTCATCTAAATAAAGAAATTAAGTCATGTTGCCAGGAGGCCCCTGGAGGCAGGCACTCTTTCCTCAAGGGGTTACTGATTGGCTGAGAGCATTCAAGGGACGGTTGTCTAGGGAAGAAGTGGACATCGCCGCTGGAGGCAACTTTGGGTTTAAACCCTAAAGAGGTAAGAGTGCCTCCAGTGGCCTCCTGGCACCATAACAACTTCATTTAGATAAAGTTGTTTTGGTGCCTGGAGTGTAACTTTAAATTGGAAATCACTTTGAATTACCAACAATTCTCAGTTTAGTGAATAAACCCGCTATTTTTACAAGTTACCTGTATCAATTTTGTTCCTATTGTAAGAAAACAGAGCTTGTTCACTAAACAGTAAAATTGGCTTTGGGACCCTTTAAAAATAAGTAATTATTTTTATTGGTTTTTTTTTCTTTCATTTTTTTTCTTAATTCGTTATCTATATCAAACAATAAAAATATAGGGTGATCTATTTTTTTAAAAATACAATAACATGCTAGCTTTTTTTCCACAGCTGAAACATAAAACACAGCGAAGGGTTATTAAAGTACACTCATCCTTAGCATAATGCCATAAATGATCAAATTATTATTTCATTATTTATACAGCGCCATCAGACCCCGTAATACTCACTGTATCTTTAACCCCTTAAGGACACATGACGTGTGACATGTCATGATTCCCTTTTATTCCAGAAGTTTGGTCCTTAAGGGACCTGCTATGTTTATAGAAAAAAGGGTTAAACCTAGATGGACCTGGCACCCAGACCACTTCATTAAGCTGAAGTGGTCTGGGTGCCTATGGTGGTCCTTTAAGGGAGGTTTGTAGATAGTGAGCAATAGATCACTTTTAAATAATAATATACGTGGTTTCATTAAAATATGTAAGTATAACCTACAGATATTAAAATCATTGAAAAAAAAAAGAAATATGCAAAATGTATTTCTATTACAGTCACATTCGGTGTAACCTATGCAAAAAAAGTTATAAAAACTGATCCATTAAATAATAGTAGAGAAAAAGAACAAAGACAAGGCGGCAACGTGGTAACTAATCAGTATATCCAGATACGATACAAACAATAGAATGTGTTCAACCTTGAGAGATCTAAAGGTGCAAAGTTTAAAAAGAAGTGTTGAAGCAGGTTGTAAAGAGTAACTTGACTTTGGCAAAGTGTCAGAATGACTGTGCAATAACAAGAGGCAGTCTTGGAGTTTAAGTATCCTCCCCTTGCACGTTTTAAGAAGTAAGTGTGCCAGGAAAATCACTAGGAAGAGCTGTGACTTTTGCAAGAATGGCTTCTCCAATTCAATTGATGAGCGTAAGTGCCCTGATTTTTGTCCTATGCCTGCCCACTGCCCAGACTGGCAGGATCCTGGTGATACCAGTGGATGGGAGCCACTGGATTAATATAAAAATCCTGATGATGGAATTAATCAAGCAGAGCCATGAATTAACCGTACTCGTACCATCAAACAGCTTATACATTGACCAGTCATCCGAAGACTTCCATATAGAAATCGTACCTGTGACTGACAGCCATGCCCTCACCAGAGATCAGTTTGAGGAGTTTGCCCTTAACTGGATCATTAGTAATGCCTTCCCCAAAGACCCTTCTACTTTCTCTCTCGCCTGGGATTTCATCAAAACCATCAAAACCGGCACATCTGTAGTTAGTCTCCTGAGTAACCTATTTGAGAATAAGGATTTGATGGAGCGTCTTGGAACTGCTGGCTTTGACTTGGTGCTTGCTGACCCCTATACTGTAGGAGGAGTGATGCTATCTAATTATCTGAAGCTTCCTCTTGTATTTTTTGGGAGGTGGATGCCCTCAGAAGACATTCACTTTGCCATAGCCCCGTCACCTCTTTCCTACGTGCCTGTCATAAACTCCAGAGTGACAGACAGGATGACTTTCTCTGAGAGAATGAAGAATGTTCTCCTCTATACACTTTATCTGGTTTCTACGAGATTCTTTGTATACCCCAAATACGACGAACTTAGCAAGCGCTACCTTGGCACAGATCTTACTGTACTTGAGATGTACCAAAGGGCTGACATATACCTAATGAAAGTGGACTTTGTTTTTGAGTTCCCACGGCCCACCATGCCCAATGTTGTGTATATCGGTGGTTTCCAGTGCCAGGCATCCAAGCCTCTAGCCCAAGAGTTCCAGGAATTCATGGACAGCTCAGAGCAAGGGGTAGTCATCTTCTCCCTGGGCACCATATTGAAGACCCTACCTCTTAACATCGCTAGAGAGATTGCAGCGGGTTTGGCCCAGCTCCCTGAAAGGGTCATCTGGAGGTACACAGGAGAACAGCCTGATACTTTGGGCAACAACACCAAAACGGTAAACTGGCTACCACAGAATGACCTGCTTGGCCACCCCAACACCAAAGCTTTCCTGGCTCATGGAGGGGAGAACGGAGTCTACGAAGCCATTTATAATGGTGTCCCTATAGTTGGGATACCTATCTTTGGGGATCAATATGAAAACCTTCTACGCCTCAAAGCCAAAGGAGCTGCTGTCATGCTGGAAAGTCTTATGAATGTTTCCTCAAGAGACATTGTCAATGCAGTGCGTTTGGTAATTGATGACCCATCCTATAGAGATGCCATGAGAAACCTCTCCAAACTGCACAGGGACACGCCAATACCACCTCTAGATGCTGCTGTTTTTTGGACAGAGTTTGCAATGCGCCATGGAGGTGCAGGGCACCTAAAAGCAACAGGTAATAATCTGCCCTGGTATCAGTATTACCTCCTGGATGTAATCTTGGCTCTGGTCCTCACAGTCTCAGTCTGTCTCTACTTGGTCTGGAGAGTTCTAAAAGCTATCATAAGGAGGACATGCTGTCCTAGAAGGAGCAGGAAAAACAAGCGAGACTGATATTTAGTAACGATCATATCACATGTAACAGTATACAGTGTATTGACCAACTGTATTGACTTTGTGGTTTTACGGTTAATAAATTGAATGGTATGGATCCGTATTTTTTAAACTAAATGTTTTTTTAAATCACTTTTTTTTATGATAATCGAGAATCTGAATTGATAAGAGATAAATATTATATCAGTCTTATTTTTCGTTCATTATTTCATTTCAATAATATTCATTTGAACATTTGATCTCTTTCAAATAGGAATGACATGTTTGGGAAGGCAAGTTTAGATTTTAAAGGGACAGTTCCTGTCTACCCTGTTTATGCATATTTTGTTTTCAATAGCCCTTAAAAAGATACCTGTGAATTCTCCACCTTTGCTAAAAATCTGCAGCTGCTGCAAGGACTATACAGTAACACATTTATCTGACATTTCCTATCCTCCAACTGCAGCTGTTTTCTGAGTGCTCTCCAGGGTGGGCCCATAAGGTGTCTGGGTGGGACTTTGGGACTTGAGCGGCACTTTCAGGTAAAGGCAACAATTCAGGAATTAAATTGGAATAAGATTCAACAGCAAAGCTCCCAGTAAATAGGAATTTGTGTCTGTGTGTTGCTGAGTAGGTGTGTCTGTGAATAGTTGTATGTGTGTGGATAATGAGCAGATGATCTTCACTTACTGACCGGGTTCAGTTCTTACGACTCAGTCGTAAAACAGATTGGTCGGTAAGTGAGGATGCGCTAGAGCAGGATTTCCCAAAGTGTGGGTCGTGACCCATGCCTCCTTGGCCGCCAGGGACCTAAGAGACCATCAGGCAGATTGATTAGTCAGGCCTGTATGCCGCTGGGCTCCCTTCAATCAGTCTGCCCAGCTCCTCCGGTCTCGAGCACCCAGAGTGTTACCACGGCACTGTAACCCTTTCTTTCCCTACCTCCCCCCCCCACACTGTACCCCTTCTCTCTGCCCTTCTCCCCACACTGTACCCCTTCTCTCTGCCCTTCTCCCCACACTGTACCCCTTCTCTCCCTGCCCTCCTCCCCACACTGTACCCCTTCTCTCTGCCCTTCTCCCTACACTGTACCCCTTCTCTCCCTGCCCTCCTCCCCACACTGTAACCCCTTCTCACCCTTTTGTGTCAGTGTGTGTGTATTTGTGTGTCCATGTGTGTCTGTGTGTATTGTGTGTATTGTGTATCTGTGTACATGAGTGTCTGTGTATCTGTGTGTGGGAAACAAGGTATCATTGTGTGTATGTCTGTGTATCGGTGTGTCAGTGTGTGTATTTGTGTGTCTGTGTATTTGCATGTGTGTCAGTGTGTGTATGTGTGTGGAAGTGTATACACTGCACACAAATGCACACCTGCATTCAAACACCATACATACTCCATACAAAAACATGCTTACATTCAAACACACATCCATAAGTTATATGCCTCTAAAACAGATTACCATGATGTGCCAAGTTTCTGCCTCTAAAACTGCCATGATACCCAAATGATGCCTCTAAAACTGCCATGATATGCCAAAATTATACCTCTAAAACTGCCATGATACCCAAAATGATGCCTCTAAAACTGCCATGATATGCCAAGTTTTTGCCTCTAAAACTGCCATGATATACCAAAATTATTGCTCAAAAACTGCCATGATTTCCCAGAATTATGCCTCTAAAACTGCCATAATATGCCAAATTATGCCTCTAAAACTGCCAAGATATGCCAATTGTATTCATCTAAAGCTGATTGCCCTGGTAATGCAATTGTATGCCTCTAAAGCTGATTGCCATCATGTGCAAATTGTATGCATCTAAAGCTGATTACCATTGTGCGCCAATTGTATGCCTCTAAAGCTGATTGCCATGGTATGCCAATTGTATACATCTAAAGCGGATTGCCAGGGTGTGCCAATTTTGTGCCTCTAAAACTGATTGCCATGGTGTGCTAATTTTATGCATCTAAAGCTGCCATAATGTTCCAATTGTAGCTGATTGCCATGGTATGCCAATTGTATGTATCTAAAGCGGATTTCCATGGTGTGCCAATTATATACATCTACAGCGGATTTCCACGGTGTGCCAATTGTATGCATCTAAAGCGGATTTCCACGGTGTGCCAATTGTATGCATATAAAGCGGATTCCAAGGTGTGCCAATTGTATGCATCTAAAACGGATTGCTATAGTTTGCCAATTGTATGCCTCTAAAGCTGTTTGCCATGGTGTGCCAATTTTATTTCTCTAAAAGTAATTGTCATGGTGTGCCAATTGTATGCCTCTAAAGCTGATTGCCATGGTGTGCCAATTGTATGCCTCTAAAGCTGATTGCCATGGTATGCCAATTGTATGCATCTAAGGCTGATTGCCATGGTGTGCCAATTGTATGCATCTAAAGCTGATTGCCATTGTGCGCCAGTTGTATGCCTTTAAAGGTGATTGCCATTGTGTGCCTATTTTATGCATCTAAAACTGATTGCCATGGTCTGCCAATTGTATGCATCTAACGCTAATTGCCATTTTGTGTTCATTTTTAAAATATGCATTAAAAGCAAGTGGGTCTCAAGAAATTAAAAGTTAATGAATATTGGGGGGGGGAGTGGAGTGGTAATTATTGAATTTAAGATTTTTTTATTAAATACAAAATAAATATAAAAATAAAATGAAAACAAAAAAATACTAATTAATTAATAATAAATAAATGATAAATATAAAATAAAATATGAAATAATAATGAAAACATTTTATACATCCAAAATATGTTGATCTCTATCCAGTCCAAACTCACACCTCTTTAAAGACCACAATCTTTTAAAACAATATCATATTTATAGAAAACATGCCAAATCTACATCTATATTGAGTCATGAAGGAATATGTAAAAGTATTGTTTGAAACAATTTCAGCTTTATTCATAAGGAGATAATTCCTATCTTTCCCTTCTGCTAACCTAATATCCTTTTCAATTTTATGTTTATTGTATCCTTTTTGAATCAATTTATTCTTAACAATGCCTGCTTGTGTTTTAAAATCCTGTATGTCTGAACAATTGCGCCATTGTCTTGTTATCTGACTTCTAGCTATTCCCCTGAGCCACAGTAAATGATGGCTACTTTTTTGATGTACATAACTGTTGCCATCATTTAAAAAAATAAATAAAATTTGCTTAATATTTTTCTCTCTCATATGAAGAAGGTCACATCCAAAAACTCGACATTTTTATTTCACTTATGTGTGAATTTAATGTTAAATCCATTCTGGTTTAGGTAAGTGACAAAATCGCCAAAAGAATCTCCAGAACCATTCTAGCTAATAGCGTAATCTATAAATTTCCGCCATAGGACCAGGTTTTCCCTCCAGCCATGCCCTGACCAAACAAAAAGATCTTCCCATTTTTATCATGTAAATATTGGCATAGCTGGGGGCAAACTTGGTTCCCATGACCTGTAAATAATAATTCCCATCAGGGAAAAAATAATTGTGCTCTAAAATAAAATGGATCGCAATTAAAATAAATTCCTTTAGCTTTTTTATGGTAGTGTGATCCTGACTTATATAAGTAGTGACAGCAGACAAACCTAAATCGTTGTCTATAACTGAGTAAAGTGAAGCGACATCCAGGGTCGCCCATAATCACTCTTCCATTCAATAGAATCCATAGTTTCTAAAATAGATTTTGTATCTTTAATATCTGTGGGTGCTCCATGAGCTTACTTTTGAAGATGAGCATCCATAAAAGCTGACAATTTATCCGTGATGGAATTGATTCCGCTTATGATTGGGTGCCCTGGAGGAAAAAGTAAATTGTTGTGTATTTTAGGCAAAAAGAAATTAAAATATGGGAATTACCGGTGAATTAACAAACTCATAATTTAATTTGGAGATGATGTCCCTCTACCTAGCCACAATGAGAACTTATACATTTCTTGAGGTCTACAAACAACTCAAATGTGGCCACTGTTTTTTCAGGTGCCCATTTTAAACCCCATTTGGAATACATTTATTTCCAAGGAGGATAAATGAATACCTGTTAAATTAAACATTCCTTTGCTGGTCTCATTTATTGGGAACAATTTTTCTTTTTCGAATGAGTTGGTGTTCTCTCATCCCTTCTTATTCTTTTTTATAATTCTTTATTTTTTGTAGTGCATCGGGTATCAAACAAGCTCATGTAGACATTTCATGAAAATATTCAAACGAACACTACATATTATTATAGGCTTCACATGGAATGTCAGAGAAAGACTGCACTTTTTTTTATACGTAGCAAACAAGATCACTGTTCTAGGAGGTAAAATAACTAGTGGATAACATGAGTGATAGAACAGAGCTGAGGAGAGAAATTACAATAAATGACCACTGGGTAGGTAGGGCAGTCTGGTGTAGACGCATAGTGCACGAAGGACAGGTCATTAAAAAAAATCTGAATTATTGCAAGCAGTAATCAAAAGGCAGACTATACTAGGTCCACTGGGCTAGAGGTTATGTGTGCTGCTTCCTCATCCAACACGGAGAGATACTGAGGCGGGAATGACATTATTAACAGCAGCTCCCAAGAGGCTCCTCCAATCGAACCAGGGTGTCAGACAGTCCGGTTTGCTTCCGTCTAGGTGAGCAGCTGAAGTTCGAGGTCGCAGCTTCTCGGCAGTGCGTTCCGTGTGGGTTATGCATGCTGTGCTGGGAGTGGAGAGGTTTGTTACTTCACCTGGGGAACGGGTCGTGGCGCCTTCTTATTCTTTTTAACCCGTTAAGGACCAAACTTCTGGAATAAAAGGGAATCATGACATGTCACACATGTCATGTGTCCTTAACGGGTTACTGGAGATTCCATTTTTAAAAGGCAGAGAACGATTGGGATGTTCCCATGTGCCTCTCCTGGGTAGAAAATAATTTGTAATCCTCTCTTCTTTTGTTTTGAAGTTGCAATCTAAAAAACGTCCCGGTTGATCTCTTCGATTCGGGTTTTCTTTACTTGGGATGGCTTCTGTAGAGACAGCTTGAGCATGTTTTTCTAATCTCTTTTTTCTATATCCTTTCTCAGTATTCCTCCTACATAATTTGATTGATGAGAAGGTTGATTACATTCTCTATAGTGTCTAGAGGATTCAAAGAGTGGGTGTTTTACCTTTATTTCTGACATACTTTTTATAGACAGGGGAGGATACCAAATGGGCTCTCTTTTGTAACACCCCAAAATTTTTCTTCCATGAAACCTTATTTTGTGTGGAAAAGAAATGTTGGGTATTATCCTCCTTCTCTCCTATATTTCTTGCTTTTAATTGTTGCTATTTTTTCCAAATTGTTTAATCTTTTAGCCATCTCTTCCTCTTTTTCTTTGAATTCTTCATTCTTCTTATTAAAATTAAATGATTTTCTTCTAATTCTCTAATTTCATTTTCTACCTTACTTTTAACTTCATTTGAGCAATGTGTAATTAAATCCATTAATTGAAATGAACAATTTGTTAAAGGGACACTGTAGGCACCCAGACCACTTGCTCACTGAAGTGGTCTGGGTGCACTGTCCCATGGCCCTTAACCCTACAGTGGTAATTATTGTAGTTTCAGAGAAACTACAAGACAGCCACTAGAGGGACTTCAGAAATCGAAACAGACCTTTGGTACGTTATGTTATGCTGGACGTCCGCACTCTCTGCATGAGGGCCTCCAGTGTCAGAGAAAATCCTAATGCGCATGCGTAGCGTGGGCAGAGCTTGACCCAGCGCCCAGCCCATTCAGCACCAATGGAAGGGGGGCGTGAGGGTGTGGGGCAATGCAGGAGCCTATAGTTCCAGGAAAATACTAGAGAATCCCTTTAAAATTTCTTCCCATTTTTTTTTTAAAAAAGGCTCCAATTATCTAAACCAAAAGCAGGGACCTTGTTGCTAGGTTGTTGCCAGCAAGCTGCCAAATAAGCACAGAGTTAACATTTACCAGCCCAGAACTTTCATTCCAGGCTTGCCAAAGACGCTCCTGCGGCAGTGTCATTAGCCAACCTGGAATGAAAGTTCTGGACTGGCTAATGTTAAATCTGTGCATATTTGAAAACAACAACTCAAGCCTGCATTTAATTCCAACATTTTCTTCTTCTACATTCAAACACTGATTAAATACTAGTTTTACTTGGATATCTCCAGAATAAGTCTATTCTTAAAACCAGTAACAACCAAAATTCTAATCCACTCTTTGTAATATCTAGTCTGCATTGCTGCAACTAAGTATGATCTACCTGTCCCTCTCCAATCAATCATGAACATGTTTTAGTCATCTACTTCCTTGTTCTACTCCTGCCCTTCCAATATCTCCGCTCTTCTCTCCATATACTCTACACCTGTCCTCTTCGTTCTGCCCAAGACATGTATGTTCTTTTCCAAAACCTCTTCCCACGCATCACCAGGACTCTTCAATGCTGCACCTATCCCCTGTGGTTCCTTATCACACCTTGTTAGAATCTCCCCCATTACTGCACAAATTTACATATTCAGAGACGTTTTTTTGTCCCCTCATTTCTACCATACATCTTTCTAAATTACCAAAGTTTCTCATCTGCACATATCAGCTATTACTTCCGATCACGTCGAAATGCCAATTAAGATTCAACGTCATCTTCCATTATGTCTCAACAAAAGCTCAGTTAAATAATAAAACATTAACGCTGATCCTGCTTCGGAAGAAGACGCAAAATAACAGATTCTCTGGGACTTTGCTTCTGTAATTGAACCAGTTTGAAAGTCATTCTTATTTCGTTGTGAATTTCTTTACGATCATTTTAGAATCAGTTATTTATAAAAAAAAAAAAAATGAATTGAAAAAAAGTACGTTTTATTCGCCTCAAACAGAACTCAGAATTGTATAACTGAAGAAATCTACACAGCAAAGCAAACTGCATGATAAAAGTTTTTAACATTTATTTTTATATTAAACAGGCACCATACAGGAATAATGTTTTCTCTCGCTCGATACTCTCCAGCAAAAATATATACAGCTAAATATCTTTACAAGTGTACATTGAAGTGATGATAAATTGTGAGGACCAAAGTTCTGATACAGAAACGCTTTTAAATAAAGTATATGAGCTTTTGTCTCCGGGAGACAAATTTGAAACGTATACTTAATGGATTGACTCTCAGACTGAGAGCAAAATGCAAAACAAGATGTGCCAAAGGAAAGCTTTAAAAATCTCACAGGTAAGATCATGACGTAGGCAGCTCATACTGTATGTACATTAGTACTTCTGCACATTCTTTAAGGTGCAATTTAAATACGGATCACAATTAATGAAGATAATTCATGAACAAAGAGTACCGTATTTGCTAATAATTTAGAAATGAGATGCAGACAAAGATGTTCCTTATAAGATCTCAAAAAAGAAACATTTTTGGCTCAGATCTACTAGATCATATCGGGTACAGCTTTGAATTCCAAGTAAATAACATTGAAGACTATTTCAGAATTGATTTTTGTTTTGTAGCTTGACACACTTGTACGACACCAATCACATATGCCCAGCAACATCTATTCGATCTATTTGCTCTTTTATAAGAAGAGTATATTTAATGTGGTTACTGATTATTCTTGATGTTACTCATTATCAGAATCAAGGTCACTGTCCCCTCCGATTGAACGGAATTCTTCACTGTCGTCTTCATCTTCAGATAACTGCACCTGGCTAAGAACACTGGGTCCGTGACGTGCTTCTTCCTCATCCTCCTCTTCTTCTGACAGCTCAAATCCTCCAATACTGCTAAAGCTTGTGTCTCTAGTATTGGATTTGGGGTCTGGTTCCTCATAACTTTCATAACTATAAAATACATAGAGATGAAGGAGTTAACAGAACACATGGTATTTTTCAGAGTTCAGAGTCACAAGCTGCCAATAGAATATAGACATTATGACTGTATATGTGCACAACCTCTACATACAGTAACTACAGTTACATGTATAAAACCAGGCATTGAATATTCAAAAGACATTACAGTTGCTGTGATCGCCTACACTCAGATGTGTGTGACGCTTCTAACCCTTCATTCCTGGCTCACATTTAGTATAAACCTGATTTGTGTTGTATAGCAGGGGTTCCCAACTCAGTTCTCAAGTACCCCCTAACAGTTCAGGAATAAGAAATTATCCTGTTGTGTCTAAAGTGTTTTTTTTTTTTCTTTTCTAAAAACACCTTAGACACAACTGGGTAATCCCTAAATCCTGGACTGTTAGGGGGTACTTGAGCACTCAGTTGGGAATCACTGTTGTATAGCCGGCTGAGGTAGAGCGGAGGCAGGCAGTGAGGGAGAGTGGAGGCAGGCAGTGGCTAGAGAGCGGTAATCTTATTGCTCTATTTCCTTGCGTGCCCTGCAGTGATGCTTGGAGTCGGAATATGATGTCACTCCAGCTCCAGCATCATGAAACAGCACACAAGAAAGCCAAGCAAAAAGAGCTTGAAGAGGACAGCATCCCCACCGGCTCCAGGAAAAGGATCAATTTAAGCTCTTCCAAAGGTAAGGAGGCTGGGTGGACTTAAATTGAATTAAAACAAATCATTTGTGAGCGTGTGAGAAACTGTGTGTTGTTTGTATCCGTCCATGTATGTGCGTCTGTCAGTCAGTGTATGTGTCAGTGTATATTTACGTGACCAGCACCATCCGATTACATGGGAATGGTGTTTTTACTCACCATTTTCCCCCCATGCCATGCCGGTCTTGCCGCAGCTGGCCCCGTGCTGCCAAAATTGAGAACTTAATGGCTCAGTCCAAAATGACTGGTGGTCTTTAAAAAGGTTTATTTCCTTTGCATGATTTGTGATTTATCAAGGGCTACTCCTTTCATGTGAAGTTATCTTATTTTTTTTTATGATTAGTACACAGTTGGCGATTAATAGGGCAGTATTAAAAAAAATATATCAAAACAATAATAGAAGCATAATTAAACTGCTCCCCCCACCCCAGGTAGGGTAGAATAAAATCACACAAAGATTGAGGTAGGTGAATATGCATCCAAAAAACAGCAAAAGTAATTACAAAGGAAAAAAAACTAAACGCAAAAAGAGAGAGGTTTGCTGTACCTAATGTTACTGTCCTCCATAACGTGGGATGTATCCACTCCTTCCCCGTAGGACATCATACTTTCTTCATTTTCCATTCCCATCCTGGTATTCTCCTGCATCATGTGAGGCTGCTTAGGCCTGATCCCACCAGACTCAATGTCTGAGTCGCTGCCACTCTCACTGAGCTGGATCGCTGCATATTAAAAGAATCCCATTATAAATATAGTAACTGTGGCTCAAAAAGTAGGCAGATAAAAGTCACATAGGATGAACAGGCTAGAACTAAACAATTGATATCAATTTAGAAAAACAGAACAAAATCACTGTAAAAAAGCATTAGGATTAGAATTTTGGTAAGAATGGATAAGAGGTTAAAGAGAGGAACATGGCCACAAACTAACTAAAATTGGTAAAACAATCCGAAAAGAGCATGACATTAAGAACCACACAAGAATAATAACCACTTTTGTGGGAGTTTGACTTTGTTCCTCAATAACATTATGAATTCATGTTCAATTATATACAGGGACAGGACGCAAATGCTTAGCTATATATTGAAAAGGTGCACATTAACATGGAGACATTTTTAATACAACTAAAACATTCTAGAGAATTTATAGTTTTAACGAATCTTAAAAACACAGTTCTGACATTCCGAGATCACAAAAATAGAACGAGAATTTCCCATATTCAGAAAAGCCCATGACATTCAGTCATTACTTGAAATCAAAGATAACTTACAGGAAAATGGATTATCTCCCTCTTCGTCACTGCCGTCATCATCATCTTCTCCATCAGACATTAACAAATCCTCATAGAGGACACTAGCCTGAGGCTGCTGCACGGAATTCTCATCTTCTTCAGCAAGCTCACCATCAGCATCTTCAACCTCCTGATTTAAAAAAAACAACAAAATAATGAAATGTGGAAGCTATGGCCCCCTAATAAAGCAACGTAGAAGCAACATCACCATACAAAGAAACAATTATAAGTATGATTACAGGTGCTGGTGTTTTAGGCTTTCCATCATCGTCGTCTTCTTCCTCAAACCCTTCTATGTCAACATCGGAGTCGTCATCTCCGAAGCGGACCCTTCCTAACCGCATCTGTAGACAGACAACAACTCAAGGTCATATCAGGAACTAGTCTCTTACACATAGCAATCCTATGCTTTACATAGGAAGAGCGCTGCATCTGTCCCAGGATCCATGCTTTGGTATGTCCCGCGGGCTGTCTGGCTCCAACAGAAATTGCAATAAGGGAGCAGTGTTACTGTGAGTTACTCTATCAGCTGCACAGAACCATTGAGACAGGCAGCACGTATCAGGAAGTGAAGTCATATTCTGGCACCCAGTGCATGTTGAATATGTAGTCACAAGGGAGAGCAGGAGGGACGGATATGCTACATGGAACACAACTCCCCCATCACAAGAAACACCAAGGACATTACAAAGGCATCTCTTCCTGAAAAAAGGTAAATAGAAACCGAGGGTTTCTATTACTGGTTTTCGAAATCTGAGTGCCTTGGTATGTACAGCGCTGATGATGCTATGTAAATAATAAAATAATAATAATAATATGTGTTTGTATGAATATATCTATGAGTGTTATAACTGTACGTGTGAAACTACCTCTGTGTGTTGGGTTCTGTGAGGATTGGGGAGGGAGATGTCCCATACAAAAGGTCGAGGTATTGCTGAATTGTCTCTAAAAGTTTAATACTTTCAAAACAAATGATGTGCAGACTACGCATGGATATTCTAAATAAAGATAACATTGTGATTTTTACCAGGCTCCTTTTCTCCAGCGAGGCTGTTGCAGTTTCTGTAGCCGATAAGTTGCTCTCATCCTGATACATAGAGGCGTCACGAGACATGCTAAGTGAGGTGTTTGTATCATAGTAGTCAGGAGGCTGAAAAGGAAACAATTGAAAATTGTACAACAATCAATAATTAAATGTGTTAAAATGATGCTCACCTATAAAATTTACATATTTCTATATACATATAAGCGTTAATTTGTGTCTAATGTTAATCTACAGGAAGCACCATAAGGTCAATATGTAAATGCATTTACATTCACAATCATAGTGTGAGGTGAGCAGTGCTACTAACACACAAACCTGAGGTGTGTAGGGCCCAGGAGTCATTGGATCTAAGCTCTCCAGATCTGCCTCCTCCAAGGCGGCCTCCTTCGCTGTTGAGATGTCTTTTTCTAGCTGTGTCAGGTGCTCATCATACTGTTAAAGCAAAAGAAGTCAAGAGTTGATTTGGCCGTTTCCTTCAAGGGTTTTTTGTAAAAAGAATTCAAAGCAAGACAAGGAATTTGTGCTCACCTCAGCTAAAGTCTGTACACAAATGTTGACAATATCCTGGGCCGTTTTACTGTACTGACTGTCTTGGCCTGGTTACAAAAAAATCATAAATCGGTATAGAAATGTATTAGTAAAATACTTAGAATTTAATAAATATCCCACGTGAAAAGCATTAACTGTCATATCTCAAGCAGAAGTTTATTTTCTGATATATTCTGATAAGTATGTCATCCTGATGATAGTGTATAGCTTTGCAAAAGGAATACTATAAATGAGAGAACCTTGTCAAAGTTAAACTGTAAAATAATTCACTGACAAATCACAAATTGGATTTGAATGTTCTCTAAGATCCACAAATGATTTCTTCTTGCTAAATAAAAAATAGATTTTAGAAGTTGCTTTTTTTTAAGCTCATTAAGAGTTTAAGGCAAGAACTAGCAGAGGACAAGGTAATCAACAACAAAAAATCTAGAATATAATGAACATGGTTCATTGACGTCAGTTTACAAGACATCGGAAATGGGAAGAAAATGAGCAAGAAAATGAGGAAGAAAAAACACACAAACTACATTCTAGTAACCTGAAAAGGTATAATGTTTTATTTCTTCCTTACCGTTGTATCGCACACTGTTCATACAAATAAGGTTCACATCAGAAAGGAAGTGTTCACGATTTTGGTATTTGTGTTTAGAAATATTCTGTAAACGGTTAAAAGAACATCCGTCATAATTTGCATTATAACAAAAGAAGAAATAGTGTCTAATACATTACTGCCTTTATTATGATAAAATCAAGACAAAAAAAAAAAAGAAGATTTTAAAGGAAAGCAATGTGTTAAAAACATCGATTTGCAATTTACCTGCCGTATTGTCTCCAGATCCATTGGATTGATAATAACTTTGTAATAATCTGGGACAAACTTCTTGTTGACAGGGTGATGAAACGGCCATGACTGTAAGAGAGACAACAAATGGAACTGCGAATCTGAGATATCTCGGTCTACCAAATTACAATGAATAAAAACATAGACTTTTCATCCACATGTTCCAAGCGGATAGTATCAAAGATTTAGTTTATTTCTCACAAATTAAAGAAAAGACAAAACCTCAGACACATGAGAGTTCATTCATAATCTTAAAAAAGCATACATTTATGCTTTTGTTTCTAAGCAATGCAAGCACAACAACATTTAATGAACTGTGAAAAGGCAATCTTTAAGGGCCAATTAAAGTGAACCTGTAATGGGTTTTTTCCATTACAGGTTCACTTTAATTGGCCCTTCAAGATCTTACCTGCAATCTCTCCCATATACATTGAATACACCATACATGATATAAAGATACATGATGTATTCAATGTAAAAATATATAGATTTACTAATCTCTCCTCCATTCCAGTGCTACTTCGTGGTTGTTACTCTTTGTGTAACACCCACCTCTTTGTCGTCCTTCAATCCTGCTGCGCCCCCCTCTGTTCTTCTTTGATTTGCCCAGCTTGAGACGCATCCCCAAGCAGGGCAAATTCCGTCAGTGACATCATGTCACTCTGTTCCTATACTCCCTAGGGAGTTTCCATAGCAACAGCAGGCCATGAGTTGTGGTTTCCATGGAAGGAGAGCAAAGGGATCTCCTGTGAGAGGTCTTTTCTGCTCTCCCTTGTCAGTCAATGCCTCGGTATGCCGAGGCATTGACTGACAACTAGGAGAAAAATCTATTTTTAAATAGGTTTTTCTCCTAATCTATACATTAGCTAGCAAAACTGAAATTCTTATTCTCAATCTAATGAGCAGACGTTGTTTGGTGAATGACAGGTGCCCTTTAACATCTTTTGCAGCAATAGACATTTCAGATAATGAAACGTCCTACACATTATGGGTCATCAGGGATTTCACGTACGTAGAGAGCCAAATAGGAAAGAGATTCTATGTTAGCTTACAAGCCTGTAAGTAGCCTGTAGAACGATATATGATACACCACAGATTAAAAAGCCTGGAGACAGTGGGGCTCAGTTTACTCTGGCTGTACTTTGCGTGGGAAGGAAGGGGGAATTAAGCAACATTAAAAAACTATAGTCTCTCTGGTATAGAATATTGAACTCACATCTGGCACTGCCATCATCTTCTGAGTAACAATGTTGTCCAAGATGAAGGAGAAGGCAACTTGATCGTCGTCATCCAGCAGAGGGTTAATGGCTTTCTCAAGTCTTGCCAGCTTATCCTCTTTCTGAAAACACAAGAACGGTTAAAATGAAGCTCGATGAACTGTAAGACACCATGCAGATGCCCTTTTATTTTTCCTCCATATTGTATTCACATCACATAGTATTGAATTTTATATACCAGCACTACACCCTCCAGTCAAGGTTCACCCCTACTAAGCAGGTGAATGTTTGTATCCGTCTCTCGGAAAGAGTTAGGTTTGCAATCACATTATCAGGCACTCACCTCTTTCAACTTTTCATCACATAAGTCCAACATGACTTGAGATATCTGGGTCAGAGAATGCTTTGGTCCTAAAAGGTAGTAAGAAACAACACAAATTACAACCAAGCATATTACTCACTTAAATTCCAAATGGAATCTATCCACTTGCACATGGCAGTAGCTTGAGAAACATTGTCCATACCGTTGTAAAGAATACTGTTCTTCACAATTAGCTCCACCTGCTCACGGAACTCCTCCCGGGATGGGTACATTCTTTTTCGCACATTCTCCCGTAAAGTCTGAAGATCCATGGGATTTGTCACAATCTTGTAATAATCTTTTACAACCTTTGCATTCACAGGACTATGAAACGGGTAGCTCTAAGATAAATAAACAAAAAAAACCCCAACAAGTATAAATGTTTTTTCTCAACCTCTCTCCATTTTGGAACAGATTTAACATACTAACGGATAAGTCCAAAGACAATAGGAGGGCGTTGCATGTCATTTCTTTTAAATGTTATGAATTTAGACTACCTTTACTGAATAACCCCAAAAGAGTTACAGGTATGTGATAAAAACCATGTGATCATGTGATACAGATTTGTTAATATAAAACAGATAATTATGTTTTTCGGTTTCACTTAGCAGTGTCTTAGGACCTGTTACTTGTAATGCCCATAAATTAGTTTTTTTGGCATAAATAAAAACTATAGTCACAAAAAATAAAGAAAGGGAAGTCTTACATTGGACATATCTCTCATGTCATTTATTATTGACTCAAGAACGGAAGACAGAGTGACCATGGGATCTGTCCTTCTGCGATGAATGGACTTGTGGGGACGCTGGGGGTGTAACAAAATGGAAAACAGTGTGTTAGCAAGCACATCTTACAAACCGTTACACACAGATAGCGTTCATATAACCAACTTCACACCCATGGAACTATTGGCTAAACCCCTCCACCCACCCACAAAAAAAAGTACTGTTGAACTAGCTTAAAGGGTTACTTCAACCAGGTAGGAATGTGAATGTGCAGCATTCTGCTGGGAGTGGGGTGCTAATTAGCAATGCCCAATAAGAAATTCTAGATTAAAAGAAAGTAATCACTAAAAAGGGTTAAAGTAACCCTTTAAACTCTAATAAATAATGGAAGGATTAGAGTCACTCTCCCACAATTAACTGCAAACGTTTGGGATGCCAAAACAAATTCAGTTGTTTTTCTGGATAAATCAAAATGAATAAATATTACATTTAGATAATCACAATGCACTGTGCTTCCAACTCTACGTTTCTTCTTCTGAGGCAGCTGCTGTTTAGGGAATTTCAGGACCAAAGATTTCCTTCGGACTTCATCGGCGCTGCAGACAGATACAGAATAGATTACACATAGATGTACACATTGGCTCAAACCGTCAAATCCAAAACTCTATCAACCATTAAACACTGCCACAAATGATTCCCTAGCTACTGCGCACACACCGGGGGGAGCCAGTACCCATCAATGCTTCCATTTTACACTAAAACATTAAAAAACTAAAGTCCTTCATAATTGTGTTAATGAATATGTGAAATAACAAAATCGGATTCACTGGGAAATAGATTCAACTAAACTATTAACACAAAGAGTAAGAAACTCATCATGTACTTACCGATATACAGAGGTGAGGCAGGGATAAACTCAAAATACAACCGTAGATTAATCAAAGTTTTGTGTTTTACCATGTTAGTTGCAATGCTTACCTTTCAATCAACTGTTTGCCTAACACGATCTTTGTTCCCTCCACTTTAATCAACTCCTCGTTGTCATTGTGAATAACAGTCTTCTCAAGCTCCTCTTCTTGCTCTTCGGTCATGGCCACCGGGTTGGATGGTGGAGCATTGGTTTGATAATAAAGAGGGCAGAACTTGTTTGTTCTCATGTGACCAATAGCACCACAGGCTCCACATTTTAACTGCAAATGGGGAAAAAAATAAAATAAAATATCAAATTAGGCCACTAAATGCTTTGTGGACTTGGTGAATGAAGACCGGTGAATGTAATTTACCTTCAGATCTGGGCGTTCTCTAACTTTCTTAGGTTTCTTCTCCGGAGGACCCCTAAGTTTCTCCTTTTCTTGGTTTCTCTTTAGCCTACGGAGCTGTTCCTGGATCCTTCTCCTCTCTTTTCTCATTTCCTCGCGATGTTGTTCATCAAAGAGAGCAAATTTTCGGCTTCAAAGTAAAACAGATCCAGGTTAAGTTACATGTGCTGCAATATCCCCATTAATATGCTTCCCAAGCTGGACTGCCAACAACCTCCCCCTTAAACAAATCTGAAGAATGACTTACATAAACTCGTCATCTTTGGTGCTGCGAATTCGACTATAAGCATCAATAACAGAAGGCTTGCGCACAGTCTCACATCGTACATATTCCTTCCCATCTTCATCTCTAAATGTGCGGTAGATTTTCAGCCTGCGGCCACTTGCAGCAGAATTTAGACTAGTCACTGAAGCAGTGTCATCGTCCCTGTGAGACCCACCTGAAGCTGCGGACCCTGTAGCTATCAAAAACAATTTGTGATTACTGCACAAATCAACCTACACCATAATAACAGCAAAACAGGGTTGTATCTAGAAGGAAATGTTTAGACCAATGTACTGTGAAAAAACTAGGCTATCCCATTACAAATTCTATTACTTCAGAACAAAAAAAAAATAACATGTAATACATAGAATACCAAGATAAGCTATACAACTCACATAATCCCTTTCTATCTTTTTTGTCTTTTCTGTTTCTGTCTTTATCATTTCCACTGTCTTCTCCCATTAGCATTCTTTGTAACTCTTTTCTCTCCTGCTCTTCTCGCTCTCTGGACAGTTGAGAACTGGTTTTCTTGTTCTGTAGCATATTCTCGATGTTCTTTCCCATCTCCTCAAAGTCACTGTCTTCTGCAGAGCTACTGTCTGTGTCTGTAGACAACACTTCAGCGGATTCTAAAACTCTGAAAAATGAAAACATGCGTATTAGAACTGTTGCTTTCAAAGACTAAAAACCCTACAATACAGCAAATGTTCCTACAGGATCGAACATACTTATTCTGAAGATCAAAGATCCTCTGGCATTCCTCTTTATATCTCTCCTGGTGTTCTGCCACAGAAAAGCGAGAGCCTCTGGCAAATTTACTCATTGGACCCTCACCGGACCGTGCCTGCTCTGTGGACATTGTTCGCACAACATCAATCACTTCCCATCTGGACAATTTCTTAATCTAGAAGAAGAATAGAGTAACCCTTTGTCACAGGAGGTAAAAACATCAAAATATAAGGCACAAAGCTAAACATATAAAAAGATGGGCCACTGCTTGGTTAAAACAACAACAACAATAATAATATTATATATATATATATATATATAATAACTAGTATTTATATATCGCCTTTCTCCCAGGGGGACTTAAAGCGCTTTTCAGCGCACGCCCTCTGAATTAACTAAATCAGCAGCTGAATAATATTAGATGTTATTATTACCTAATTGATGGTACTCATTTTATCGACCTCGGAAGGATGAAGGGCTGAGTTGACTCTGCCGGGATTTGAACCTGTGACCTTGTATTTTTATTTATTTTTTTAATTCTTTATTTTGGGGTAAGAACCCATTCAATACAGTGCAGGTAGTGATACAGTAATACAAACAGTTGAAGTATACATTCTGATCGTACATTTAGTGAAATGAGCAGAGGTGAAGTGTATTCAGTGTTACGTTCTTCGGAAGCACCCAGTTTTGTATTGATAAGAGTTTCGGATTGTTGCCTTTCTTTTGTATAATACAGAAAGTTAATTTAGGTATAAAAGGAAACAATCAACTGGTACCGCTAGTCAGATAGTCTATCGTTGTTGCCTTGATTATTATCTACGAGTTATTGTATAATTAGTGTTTACTTGGTTAGGCCATGCTGGAGCTACCGTTGCTTTTGTTTATCTATACAATAGTAGAATCCCGCGCTAAGTAAGGAAGTAAGTAAGGAAGTTACACGGATGATGTGGCCTTGTGGGTAATAATTATGTATTTTGTCGAGTTCGTGAGTGGTAAGAGGGGAGGCTAGAAGTTGGGTATGGGGGTGTGGGTGAACCTTGCATTTTTGAAGGCTTTGTAGTCAGGGGATTTAATCAGATTATGTCAAAAACTATACACAGCTATGAATGTCAATGAAGGTCTAAGTGGGAACTTTTTTGCATATAAACTTTAATTTAAAATATTAATCTTTTTATTAACCTATCATAAGTTCATATTATGGCTTTCATAATATAATTAAGTGGTGACTCTTACCTCTTCCTCTGGTACACCGAATTTGCGTAGCAGTTGTTTGGCATTCTTCAATGAAAGTCTACGAAGATCTGCATCGGTTCCGGTCACAGTTTTCTTCACGGGTTGAGGCTCTTTGTCATCTTGCTGTAATAAAAAAAAAAAAGGTATTTTTTGAGTAAAATAAAAAAACCAGACCATAAGAGTTGCCTTGTTTATACACTAGTTTACTCCTCTGGAGCTTTACTGAATACACATTTCAATTGCCTTTCATAATTAGGTTTTAATTGGATTCTTCTCAGCTTTAGAGAGACACACAATTATGACAGTGTTACAAACTGAATTAAATATTGACAAATTAAATTTTGTTTTACAAAGAATGTTACCCGGTTATAGAAATATTTTGTTATGCGAGAGATATATAATTTAATTTTTCTTTTTGTTGCTTAAGTAGATGTTAAGTAAATACTTACCCTCTTTGCCATGATCCATGCTCCATGTCTGCTATACCACCTTCCAAACCTATGTCCCTCCCTCCTCCAGCACAAAAGCCCCCAACACATAGGCACATTCTACAAGCAGGGGATACTTCCCATTTATTAGAGAGGCTGCAGAAAGGCTCTCCACTCCCAGAAATCTCCTTCATTTTATTTATCTTAAAATTTAAGGCCAGACTAGCCAAAATGTATGCATAGCTGAGTTAGAGGATTTTTCAAGTTCAACTATTTTAACGTTCAATTTGAAATTCACTTTGAATTCTAACTTTAGTAAAAACCCTTCAACTTGTTCTTGTAAGATGATGGGGTTGGCAATATGTAGATAACCTTAAAGGTGCATTATTATAGCATACATGCACCAAGTCTTTATTTTTTGGACCCGACATACCCTGAAGCCTTTTTTTTTTTTTAAATTAAAATTTTTGTTTGTCTTTTTAATTGTTGGATCTGTTGTGTTTTGTAAATCTTGCATAAAGAATGTAATATAAAATCTACTGATATTTCAGAGATTATAATCACAGACAGATTTTATTATGTTATGTTTATATTCATCTCTTCTTGAGTTGAGAGTCCAAGCACTTTCCTTTGGATTTCTATTCCTAGTTTATGCCACCTCAGTTTTTTGTTTTAAATTCTTTTAATTTTTGGCGTGTCGTCACATTGCACTGTGGCTTATAGATATGCATAACTTAGTACATACACTCATACTGTTGAGTACATATTGACAACGTAAAATGCGTCTTACAAAAGTATGTTCGTTATCTCAAGCTTCGGTGTACTGTTGTTGGTGACACATTTTAACCAATAAACAGTGAACGATTAACCGGGCAGGAGAATGGAGACCTTGGTATAATGCTTTGTCTGTTTTGATTGCCCTCCACTCGTGGCATGTGGCATCGTATCACTGCGCCTGGTTTTTGATAATAAAGAATAAAAAGCAAAACAAAATAAAACTCTGACCTTTTGTTGCGTTGGTTTGTTAGGAATCTTGACGTAGGAAAAGCCCTCTCCACATCCGGTTGGATCTGCCACTCCTGTTACTTCAAGTAGACACTTCCCTTTCATAGCAGCGATAAAGGCTCGAGTAGTGTTCCATGGAGCTGTACGTACCTAGGAGAGAAAGCAACCTTGAAAAATATTTGCAAAATGAAAGCTAGTGGCGGGGAGAGTTCTTACTTTCCACTCCTTACCTCATCATCAATCTTCATCTGGAAGTCTTCCTCATTTTCTTCATCAGGAGCAAAAAAAGATTTCTCCCCGTAGCCAGCATCCTAGAACAGAAACAAATTATGGCGTGCTCCCACAGAAAAGCAGACAGTGCAAAGACATGTTTAGTGCGAAGGACACTTGCCTTGAGTCTCTGTTCTGCTGCAATCATGCTGTAATACGCGCAGCACTGCTCTGGAGATACCATCGCACGAATTTCCTCTTCAGTTGGCAATCGGAAATCTGGCTTCAACACCCACCAATTAGAGTCCATTCCTAGGTGACACAGAACCAAAAGAAATGTCAGAAACTATGAGGTGGTAGTTTATTCTATGGTTGTTACCAAAAGTCCTCCTAAAACAGACTTGTGATCCTTGAGTTCTCTTACCTGTTCTTTTAAAATCAGCACAAAGCTTAAGTCTTTTTCTGATGCTACTCTCAGAATGGGATGGGAAGGCCTTCTTGATGTCTTCCATACGTATCCTACGAGGACGGTCTTTACTTTTCCAAAACAGGCGGTATATAAACACCTAAAATAGGTTTAATTTCAGAGATTAATAAAGGCGAGATCTAACTTGCCTAAAACTCCCCAATGATGCAGCAATTTTTGCTAAAATTACTCAGCATTCCATATGTTGACTAGGAAGCTCTGTAGTTTACCTGCAGGAAGTCCCGTATGTGGGTATTTGCACGTTTTGAGTTAGGACCCGGTACTTCAAACAGAGGACACTGCTGCCCGACTACAAAAATGTCTACCAGGTCCCGAATATAATAGCCCTGTCGAGTACGGATAATCAGGAAGTCCGTATCGGGCACTTTGTGCAAGTAGATTGGAGACCTGAAGAGATTGTTTTCGAAGGCCTGTGGAGACAGAAGGCATGTGTGTTAAACAAAACCTGGAAACATGTCCACTTAAATAACTTCCTGAAATTGTATTACAAAATATGGAGCCAGTAACTTTACAGGCGCATTCAGATCCATTTCTGATAATACATAGGTTTTTCCCAGTCATTGTAATGCTAAATTATTCTGCTGAAAGCTATGTGTTTTTGTTGTTTGTTTGCTGTTTTTTACATTTATTTTTTGGCATTTATATAGTGCCAACTTATTCCGCAGCATTTTACAAAATTTGTAAAAGGGGAAAATTAAACAATAAATGTTACAGGAACAATAGGTTGACAAGGACACTGCTCAAACGAGCATACAGTCTAGAGTAGGTGGAGTATAAAAACACAATACTTCAATAGAAATATCTACTGGGAATAAATAAATATAAAATGCTAGTAATTATCTGCTCACCTGCAGTAACTGTCCTGGATGTAGGGATCCCAGGAAGGGAGAGGTGTGACAGTAAACAGTCTCGCCATACTTGCAGTCTGGTGCTCCAGGATCTTTTCCCGGTTTCTAAAAACAAAGCAATGACTTGTTAAACCATTATACAAAAGTGCATTTATTTATTTTTTTCCCCCTGCAGCAGCTCTACCAAATTCCTGGAATTCATAGGACGAAAAGATAGAATTGCTCACCCTTTTGTAATAATTCTTTATCTTGGTTGCCATGCCAACTTGCATCATTAAGGGGGGATTCTCTTCACTGTATTCTGCTAGGATAAGATCACCGTCTTTGCCTGTAAGATCTTGTGAAGTGCGCATAAAAAACATCTCGCCTCCACCAGAGGCCTGACGTTCCTGCTCTCTCATCTAGTTAAAAAACAAAACAAAACGATGCTGAGAAAGTAAAAACGTAGTTCTTGCTGAACATATAAGAAACTGTACCAGAATGATCTTCTGTATTGCAACACCTTGGGATAGTAATAGAAAAGTAAAACTTACCTTTGCCTTCTTTTTGATATGTTTTAAGAGAGGCTGAACAGAGTGAGATCCTGGCTGCGACAGAGCTCCAAACGAATACTTTTTTAAAGGAGGCCGATGGAATTGTCTTAGCTTCATTGGCCCCATGTGAGTTTGGAAGAAAGGCTGTCTGAGCTCCACAGCTGGAATAGAGTGCTGTCAAATGCAAGGATAGAAACTGGTCACAATTCAAACTATCATACCAGACATTTATACACACGATATTAATAAGGTCAAAAAACAACTATCATCATCATCATCAAGCAGCTCATACTGTATAATCTTTTCACACACACTCACAAAAAATAAATAAAAAAACGTGGAAGTTGCTCTGAGCTCTGTGCCTGGTGCCACGTATTGAATAGTGCCACGTGCCGAGCATGAATAGGCATTGCATGTAAAGGGAGGGGGGCTGGGTGGAGGATAAGAAGATAATAAAAAATGTATGTTAACTAGTATCATAGTTGGCACAATAATACAATAAGTGAAGTTTACCTTTAATAAGATTACTTGCTATAAGGAAGGATGTTTGGGTTTAAGCTTTACAATTCAGTTAATCTGAACAGTGTATACCTGAATCCAAATGAAACAGAAATACAAAACACAAAAAAAAAAAAAAAATAACAAACATACACAGTAAGAGAAAGAGACCCTGAAATGCCCAATGGCTAGTGCAAGCTGGAATTTTAGCATACTTTACACATTGAAATTGATGATTAGTAGATCAGACTCATCCCACTTATAAAAGATATAAAACATATTCCAGAACTAAAATCCCAGATTCCAGCCACACAACACTACGTGATTATAATGAGGAAATTATATAGTACATTTCATACGGTAATTACAGGATGCACCATTTTTAGGGCTGGTTACCTGGATGATATTTCCTCCAAACGTTCCTCTCAATCCTTGCTGTTTGGGATAATAAAACTCATCGTTGGATAAATTCCAGGGGTCCTTAACTTCTGGCTGTGACATATTCTAAAAAAAAAAATAAAAAAAATAAAAAAGAAAACCACAATTAATAATAAACAACTATTAAAGGACCACTCTAGGTACCCAGACCACTTCAGCTTAATGAAGTGGTCTGGGTGCCAGGTCCCTCTAGGATTAACCCCTTTTTTAAATAAACATAGCAGTTTCAGAGAAACTGCTATGTTTACAAATGGGTTAATCCAGCCTCCAAATCCTCTAGTGGCTGTCTCATTGACAGCCGCTAGAGGCGCTTGCGTGCTTCTCACTGTGAAAATCACAGTGAGAAGACGCAAGCGTCCATAGGAAAGCATTGTAAATGCTTTCCTATGAGACTGGCTGAATACGCCCGTGGCTCCTGCCGCGCATCCGCATTTAGCCGAAGAGGGGGATCGGAGGCGGAGAGGAGGAGGAGAGCTCCCCACCCGGCGCTGGAATAAAGGTAAGTTTAACCCCTTTCCTCTCCCAGAGCCCGGCGGGAGGGGGCACCCTCAGGGCACTATAGTGCCAGGAAAACGAGTATGTTTTCCTGGCACTATAGTGGTCTTTTAATGAGCAGAACTAAATATATAAAAAAAAAAAGTTTAAATAGCTAAATACAACGTTTATTTAAACTCATTTGTAGAGACAATGTTATGCCTGGTTTAATCCAAAACATAATTTCAAATGACATGCATCATGTAATTAACTTATACATCAATAGCACAACAATCAGATTAAAGGACAAATATACTCACCCAAACCATTTCACCTCAGTGAAGTGGTTTGAGTGCCGTGCCCTGCCATTTTAACCCCGCAGCTGAAAGCATTGCATTTCAGCAGGAATGACAATGTATACAACGCAGGTTTAAAACGTCTCCTGTGGCTGTCACACAAGTGCAGAGTAAATAAAATCAGTCGTTTAGATCCTGCAAAAGCATTTGTGTTTTGGGGATACGGCAATGTTTAACATTGCAGGACTAAGTACACCTTTTGTGATTGTCTTCCTGACAGCCACTAAAGGGTGCATCTGCTCCTACAACAGGAGTCAGACGCTGTTCTGTGACATTCTACATCCTCACACATTGCATGAGGATGTCAGAGTCGTGAAGCACTTGACTGGAAGAGTGCGGTATAGGTTAGGCTACATTCAGATTATTCTGGGTGGCTAATTTTGTTAGTTTTTCTTTTTATATTAAAGCACTGCTTAGAGGAAAAATCTCATCAACAGTACGAAAACGTAGATAGCGCAATCATTTCCTGGCATGGTGAAAGATCACTGCAATTCATTTGCAAGTAGAGCTTTGCAAAAAATCCCAAAACTTTGGAATGATCATTTTTTTGTTATTTGTAAACACAGTGTTCAGGCATACATTTTTATTTTTTTTTATGGTGGGGAAAAAATTGTGATTGAAAACGCCTTCCACCTGAAGTCTGGGGATAGTTAATACAATGCTAAACAGAAATCTGCACACCAGTCAAGCCATAAGACTTGCTTTTCCCACAGAAATCCCAAAACTGCAGCGATGTTACAACCGCAGAGGATTCTGGGTGGGCATATGCAAATTAGTTTAACCAAGAATCCCATTTTTGCCTCATTCCATTTTAAACATGGATTCCTTTTAATCTGTGTTTGCTGTATACAACAGCTTGGAACACAATATAGGAAAAGATGCAAAGCCAGTGAACCACTCATGGACAGCTGTTTTGTTGTTAATGCAACTCTTCAGCATGAGGTTGGTTACTGGTTTGCTTATTGAGGCTTGGTAGTGCTTGGGAAGCAAAATCCAAATAGGTTATGGTGGGGAAAAATTGTGATTTAAAACCCCTTCCACCTAAAGTCTGTGGATAGTTAATATAATGTTAAACAAAAAGCTGTCCATGAGTGGTTCACTGGTTTTGCATCTTTTCCTATATTGTGTTCCAAGCAGTTGTATACAGCAAACACAGATTAAAAGGAATCCATGTTTAAAATGGAATGAGGCAAAAATGTGATTCTTGGTTAAACTAATTTGCATATGCCCACTCAGAATCCTTTGCGGTTGTAACATCGCTGCAGTTTTGGGATTTCTGTGGGAAAAGCAAGTCTTATGACTTGACTGGTGTGCAGATTTTTGTTTAACACTCCTCTTCAATGGCTGTACGAAGTTGCTGGATATTGGCATGACCTGGAACACGCTGTCGTATACGCCGATCCAGAGCATCCCAAACATGCTCAATGGGTGACATGTCCGGTGAGTATGTTGGCCATGCAAGAACTGGGATGTTTTCAGCTTCCAGGTATCGTGTACAGATCCTTGCATCATGGGGCCGTGCATTATCATGCTGCAACATGAGGTGATGGTCGTGGATGAATGGCACAACAATGGGCCTCAGGATCTCGTCACGGTGTCTCTGTGCATTCAAAATGCCATCAATAAAATGCACCTGTGTTCGTTGTCCATAACATACGCCTGCCCATACCATAACTCAACCGCCACCATGGCCCACTCTATCTACAACATTGACATCAGCAAACCGCTCACCCACACAATGCCATACACGATGTCTGTCATCTACCCTGTACAGTGAAAACCGGGATTGATCCATGAAGAGAACACCTCTCCAAAGTGCCAGACACCATCGAATGTGAGCATTTGCCCACTCAAGTCGGTTAACGACGAACTGCAGTCAGGTCGAGACCCCGATGAGGACGACGAGCATGCAGATGAGCTTCCCTGAGATGGTTTCTGACAGTTTATGCAGAAATTCTTTGGTTATGCCAACCGATTGTTGCAGCAGCTGTCCGGGTTGCTGGTCTCAGATGATCTTGGAGGTGAAGATGCTGGACATGGAGGTCCACATGGTCTGCGGTTGTGAGGCCGGTTGGATGTACTGCCAAATTCACTGAAACGCCTTTGAAGACGGCTTATGGTAGAGAAATCAACATTCAATTCACGGGCAACAGCTCTGGTGGACATTCCTGCAGTCACTATGCCAAACTGCACATTACCTCAAAACTTACGACATCTGTGGCATTGTGCTGTGTGATAAAACTGCACATTTTATAGTGGCATTTTATCATGGCCAGCCTAAGGCACACCTGTGCAATAATCATGCTGTCTAATCAGCATCTTGATATGCCACACCTGTGAGATGGATGGATTATCTCGGCAAAGGAGAAGTGCTCACTAACACAGATTTAGACAGATTTGTGAATATTTAAGAGAAATAGGCCTTTTGTGTACATAGAAAAAGCCTTAGATCTTGGAGTTCAGCTCATGAAAAATGGGGGCAAAAACTAACGTGTTTCATTTATAAGTTTGTTCAGTGTATATATTGCGTTAAAAAAAGAATGGGTGGAATTTAGTCTGAAGTGTCCTCTTAATCAATATAAGGGCCTAAGATTTATTTGAAGGCACATTTATGGCATAGAAGCCACATCTCACCTGCTGTGGTTCTTCCTTTATAACGCCAGTTTTTCCTAACAATATACGACTTTTCTTTAATGAGGATTCTTTCTTGCTTTCCTTAGATGGAGAATTTGATGTTGTTTCTTCTTTTTCATCCGGGATCTCTGTTAATAGTACATTAAATTTTGATTAATTTATGATAACTACATCACAACTTCAATGCAGCAGATCTTTATGGTTGGTCCCCTCTAAAACTGTTGCTCATGAATACTATCTGTCAATATCTTCCTAACACTACACCATTTGCTAAATTCAAGGAGAATTTAGCTCACAATTTCATCTGTCCATAACAAAATTTTTTTTTTTCTGCCAAGAGATTTAAAGAGGCAGGAGGTTCCCTTTCATAAATATTACGTACAGTTTCCTAGATTATCCACCTCTGACAGCTACAAGACCCTCCCAAACCAATAAGGGCTGTCTCACTTCGGTCTATGGTCCACGAAACAAGACCAGCAGACATTTATGGGATAAGTAGTAAACATCACAACCAGCAGCAGTTTCCCTTATTACACAGGATGAGAGGAACTGCCCAGGAAACTCATAGTACTGGGTCTGCTATAGATTTACAAACAGCACAGTTCACAGTTTTGTGCATCACAGCTGTGTGCTGTGATTATCAGTTCACAGCTTTGCTCTCTTTCTGGAGAGGAGAGAGAGCTCAGCTAAAGCCACATACATAACTTGGACAAAATTGATAAGTGTGTTCTGGCTGCCTGATTGACAACTCAGGGGGGCTGGGTTACAGAAGCTGCAATTTGAAGCCACTTTCAGAATGGAGAACGGATGAAGGGTACTCTCGGACTGTCACATTTGCTTAGAGTGACCCTTTGACAAGCAAAGCTGGTAGAAGTACATGTATTTTATATGCAACATTGCCATGAAGCATTACAAAGAAGTCCCATTACTGGAGAGTCAGAATGAAGAGAAGTTGTAGAAGAGGAAGTGTAAAAAAAAAAATACACAAACCCAAAATAATGTTTTCATCATTGGGGTCTAGAGTTAACACAGGAGGTTCCAGGATCATATCCATTGCTTGGTCATCCCAGATAATATAATCTTCCCATCGCCCATAGACCAATTCTTCATTATCAATGGGGAAAATGGAAAACCATGGCCGGCCGTCTTCTACAGATGCTGCAACAGAACAGAACATACCACAGGTGTTAAATGTAAAGAAAAATGGCAAGGAACTGAAGATGCAATCTACACGTTTAAATTGGTGCTGTGTTAGAGCAGCTACTAAATGAACAGACCCACAATTCATGATGATTCGCCAGCCAATGAATCTTATGACCTGGCTTGGTTTTCTCGATAAAATCTGAATGGACTTTCGCAGTAGATTAAAAAGAGATGATATGTAGAACTCATACAGGTTAAGAAAAAAATGCAAGAGATAAAAGCACAGGAAAAAGGTGTATCTCCTTTTATGGTCGATCAATGGCGTCCGTGGCCTCTGCTCACTGCCCCCAGTACAGCTGTGAAACCTGCAGATAGAATGTCAAGTTGACACAGAGGTAACTGCTCTACCTCTAAGCCAAGAAGAAGTAATCTAAACAATGGAGAGGGCTAAAAGTGGATTTAAATAAAATGTTTTAAATATAAGTGCTTGACTTCTGGTTTAAGCCTACCCTGCTGCTCTGGAGGGTGTTTTTCTTTCCCTTTAGGGGGGATCAGTACACCCGGCAGATTTGGTTTTTGCACGAGAGGTGTCTGCAGGTTTAACAAAGATCCACTTCGATTCAGCCCTGGCAAGAAAAAATAAAATAAAGTAACACGCGAGCATTGATAAAAGATAGAACTTTTGATAAAAGAAAGAGATACTTCACCAATCAATATTTTAAAAAAAATGTAATGTATAATTGGTGGCTTGCCTTGCTGTGCATTATAAGCGGTGGCATTTCTGGTCATGCTTGAAGGAAGCCATCCAGCTAAACTGGCCCTCTGCGTTTTAGTCACTTTGTGCTTCACATCTTCCCCATTCCAGATGACGTCATCTTCCCATTGCAGCTGTGTCACCATAAGGAAGTGTTCATCCTGAAACTGGTTGTCTACTGCTGGGGTGTCTTCTGCTGTTTCTGTCTTCTGTGTAAAAAGATTGAAAGTAATATTAATGAATAAGCACATCAGGAACACCCACTGGAGTGAGGTGTCAGTCCTGGCATTGGATTGCATGTAACTTTCAAAGTATTTTTAAAGTGATTTCTTTGGGGAGGAGGAAGATCTAGTAATCTAAAATGGTAAAGTGTTTTTTGTATTAAACCTTTAAAAACCTGAAAGGGACAGATGTCAGAAAAAAAAAAAAAAAACTGTTTAGTAGAGATAGCCCAAATGAAAACATGCATTAATTTAATTATACAATTTATCATTGAGGCAGATCTAAAAAAGCTTGGAAAAGCTGCAGATCTCGTGTGCAGCCTTTACAAGACTTATCCTTCTAAGCCAGCCTATGTGGCCGTCCAATCACAGGCTTGGCAATGTAGCTGAATGAGTAGTCGTAGCAAGGCAGGTGCTCTGGGCAATTGCTGCCCCTTGAGTTTAGATCCAATCAGCTAAACAACCAGGAAGTAAAACAACCTATTGTGTGCTTCATTTGACACTTTTTGTAAAACGGAAGAAAAAAAACCACACACTTTTCACACATAAAGAACTTCAGCAAGTTAATGTGGTTTAGGGGTCCATACCAGCTTTAAAAAACTTAAATTTGGTGGCACACTGTGATAGTAAAATATTATCCCACAACAAATCTAGGTGAATGGAGTGGCTTTGGTGTATATGTCATGCCCCTGCAGTCTAACTGCTCAAATATCTGCCATTTAGAAGTTGGCTTACTTTGTTTATGCAGTCCTAGCCACACCAACCCTGCATGTGATCTATAGTAGATACAAAGGTAGCTAGTGTTACATCCGTCTAATAGGTCTGCTTGATTAAGACAGACCTGTTGCATGTTATAAAACCTCAAAAGAGATAACTTTATACACAAGACTAAATGCCAACTTACTTTTTCCTCAATCTCCTCCTCAACCTTCATTTCATCATCATCACCATCATCACCCGTCTCCTTTAGCTTAAATCCATAGTCAAATCCACTTCCATCTTCTGGGACTCCAAGCATATCATACCATAACTGCGCTGGGCCATAGCGCCACTCCGCAACTTTGGGTTTGGTATCTGCCACTTTATCTGTGTCACCATTGGACTGCGAGAATTTGGACTCTACTGGAGCCATCATGGTAATCTGTTAAACACACAAAAAACATTGGAGATTGCAGAAGACATGTGACATGGGACGTGTCCCTGAGCAAAGGAACTGGATCCACACTGAATGCTTTGATTTCTCAGTAGGAACAAAATAAGTTTAAGAATATTGTGAATTCAAACCTCATCATCAGACAGGCACTGCTCTGGGGGAGGTGGAGGAGCGTATTCACTTTCCCAACAAGTTTTTTTTTCCGGCACAGCTTCTGGCTCTTCACCCTCTTTAGCTTGTATGTCCTGCGTCATTTCTCTATGTTTTTTCCTCCGTTTCCTCCGAGCACTGCGCCACACGGACAGGACATTCTTTCCTGGTCCAAAAAGCCGAAGGAATCGCAAGACCTGTGGAAGCAAAAATAACCTGACTGGTCATCTGAAAACGAAGGCGCTGAGCTATGAACAGAAAGGGGCACCTAGAACCACTATCTCTAAACTTTTCATTTCTATACAGGCACTGGCAATGCCTAGATTGATAATCAACCTTCCAGTATATTATAATACTCAAACTGTTGTCTACCATACAATATAAGGCAATGGGGTGTTAAGGACATAATGCATGACGTAGACACAAAGGAGTTGTGAGCATCCTCAAAAGAAGTGATCAGAAATCCTCACATACAGCAAAAGGGACAAATTACCAACTGAGGTCTAGTTCCTTCCTCCCCATACAAGTGAAAAGTGGTGAAGACAAAGCTGCAGTAGACATCAAACAGTTGAATACCTTGCCAGGCCTGAACTCTGGGAAAAGCTGTGTAACGCTGGGCAGTTCTTTGGTGGCGTCCCTCTGCATAATGCCAGCAAGGGGCAGTGTCAACTTTCTCTCCTTTCCCTCATCTTGTCCTCTATCTTGTGGACCTATTTCAGATTCAGAATCTGAGGAACTGCTGAAATCTACCTTATCCATAGCAGCAGATGATGGTGCAATAATGGAAGGGAGAATAATTCCATCTCCTTCCTCTGGAGCTGTAAGAAAGAAAGAAAGTTTCATTATTGTTTCAGAAAAGATGATTAGTATGCGAATCACAGAAATTCAACTATTTATTTCCCATCCACAAAATCTGTGTCTATTTTCCTCCCCTGGGATTGGAATAACATAAACAGCTTTTCCATATTCTATTATAGAAATACATTTTGTAAGAAGTGTGACTTGAACGTGACTGCGTCCAATAAAACGGAACGTGAGCTGGATCGGATTATAACGAACAGAGACACCAATGGAGCATTCTTAAAGTCAGCCACGGTTATCTATAGACCAAGCCCTCGAGCAGATTTTAAAAAGGGATGGGAATCACCGGACTAGAACATTTTACTTACTCAGACTGATTTACGAGTCACAGGATTAAAGAATGGGAAGTGCTTCTGCAGAAATCTGGAGTCATGGATTGCCACACAATACAGAAGAACGGTTATGGGCACTTGTAAAACTGACAGGTTCTCCCCCTTGTTACTTTCAATGGAAAATTTTATAGCTTCAACTGTGTTCTGTTTGTTATCAAACTGGCTTGACGCCCAGCTTCGTAAGTAAAATGTTTAGACTATAGACACCATTTTGTTTTGCTACGCCAGGTCAAGTTCCTCATTATTTTGTTATGACCTTGTCTTTGTGCCAAGAAATCAAGACTTAAGGTTAATTAATTTGTGTGTTGATTGACAGCGGTTTACCCCTAAGTAAACTGCAGTTACTTGTTTTAATGTATTATGTTATTTTTAGTATTTCTATCTAAAATCTATATAAAACACCAATTATTAGTTTGTTGAACACAGAAATGGGAGAGCATGTTTTTGCAGCTGCATTAACACAATAACGAGAGATTAACTTGTAACGATCAGGAGGGTATTTGTTTTGTTACTTGTATTGCAAGAACATATATCTAACTTTAATTCGAAGGGGTAACACCTTATTTTGGTGTAATATATCCAGGAGCTATTTCACCCACAAATGGCTGTTATATATATATATATATATGGTTGTGCCAAATAAGGTACAAACAAGAAGTTCAGATGTTGTTAAAAAAGTGATGTAACAATATGTATGGTGTATACATCTTTAAATTTGCTAGAGGCAGAATAAGCAGGATACGGACGCAGTTTTGAACCGGCAGAAGGAACTCTTTCTCTCTACCGAAAAGCATCCACAATCTGGTGACCGATTGGCCGACAATACCTACCACCCAGAGTGAGGTCTGGGACGCACGCCAACCCCACCGGCAGCCAGCAAGTACAGAAACTAATTCTGATACAAAGTATCCATATCAATCCTAGCCGGTCTTTGTGGTTATTTTGAAAAAAAAGACTACCCTTCTGCTGGCAATTTTCTTGCAAACCGTTCCGGACTTATATTTTTAAAATTTTCAGTATTTTTATAACTTTATAATTGTGAATACATTTCTCATTAGTTTTCAACGATTTCAATTTCTGCTTTTCTTTTTTAAATAGTGGTTTTTCATTTTTTTTTTTTTTTTTTTAAGTTTTTCATATATTTCTTATATGTGTTTAAAGTCACTGTACTATAAAATACAGTACCAAGCAATATATTCTTAACCTGTATGACTAACAGAAGTAGTCTCGGTGCATAACTTAGTCAGTCTGCCTGTAGCAGATTTAAAGAGATATACATTATAGATAGTTGTATCATTCTATTGATTTGTGACATCAACCTAAGTACAATATAGAAAACAGCCCTCTATGCTGTTATTCTATGCCACATAGCTGCTTTCGCTAAGTAGATTATTTGGTGTATACCATACTCAATCTGCCTCTAGCAGATTTAAAGACGTATACACCATACATATTGTTACATCACTTTTTTACAACATCTGAACTACTTGTTTGTACCTTATTTGGCATATATCAGCCATTTGTGGGTGAAATAGCTCCTGGATATATTACACCAAAACAAGGAGTTACCCCTTCGAATTACACTTTTTTAGACAGGTATTGGGTGAATTCCTGTCTTTGTCCAGTTTTTGAGCAACCCTCCACAAGTCAGACTCCCTCAGCTCTGTGTGTTGCATTAGGCATACCTGGATCTACATATTCATACATCTAACTTTATTTACTCTGCCTTAATTATTATGGATTATTAAGATTTTATACACTGTATATATTTATATTAAATCAAATATTTGAAAGACAAAAATATAAATAGAGAAACATAACTATCTATATAAAATTGTTGCTAAGATACTTGTAAGGTCAGTGCTGATAAATTATAAGCAATTAAGAGGTTATAAAAGTAATAGGATACCATTTGAGGTTACAGAACTCATCATTAAACCGTTGAATCATAAGTGGAGGGATGGGAATTTTTAGAGGTATGGAGTAAACCCTTATTAGTTTTTAAAAAGAGCATGTACTGTTACGTTCACCTTGTTTACGAGAATTTTTTTTTCAGATTAACTTGAAATTTGGTCTACAATACTGATAAAGAGACAATAAATCCTGGCAGTCTCGTAATGAGAATAAAGAAAGACTTCAATTTCAGAAAAATTAAACGATTAATTAATAATGTGGGGTTCGAAAAGCCCCAAACAAGCCGTAATTAAGATCTCACTCAGATTTTCACTAAAAATGTGCAGTGAGATAACTGACCAGGGCTTAAGATTTCCACTCATCAACTACTTAATGTATACTTAGACCCGAGTAAGAGTCCCATGGACCAATTCCATTTATATTCTCAGAGACGCGGAATGTAAAATACGTTTTTCTAAGGCACAGTGACAGGGTCATTGTCATGGACACAGCCTAATAAAGAAAACTAGCAGATGTCACAATATGGAGGATAGTGGAATTTTATATAAACCGGAAAGGGCTGAGCTGCCTGCACCAGGGCCACTCTGGGTTTCTGTCACACCGTTCACAAACAGGATGCAGTGTTCATTGTGATAGGAGCTCCCATTTAAATTGGTCCTTAAAGTAGTTGACAGCAGCATGTTTCTCTGCACCATCGCACCGGATTCATATTAAAGCACCACTATAGGCACCCAGACCACTTCAGCTCAATGAAGTGGTCTGGGTGCCAGGTCCCCCAGGTTTTAACCCTGCAGCTGTAAACAAAGCAGTTTCAGAGAAACGGATATGTTTACATAGTAGGGTTAATCCAACCTCTAGTGGCAGTCTTCCTGACAGCCGCTAGTGGCGCTTCCCCAACGCTCAATGCGAAAAATCGCATTGAGCACGCAGAACGTCCATAGGAAAGCATTAAGTAATGCTTTCCTATGGGCGTTTTTAATGCGCGTGCGGCTCTGGATACGCATGTGCACTCGGCTCCACTCGGGAGCTGACGTCGGAGAGGGAGGAGAGGTCACCGGCGCTGGATAAAGGTAAGTGGTTAAAAACCCTGCAGCCCAGCGGGAGGGTTACCCTGAGGGTGGGGGGGTACCTAAGGATTATATAGTGTCAGGAAAACGAGTTTGTTTTCCCGACACTATAGTGGTTCTTTAAGATTTAACAAGGTAAGGTGGGTGCTAAGGCTCTTACACGGGACCAATGTGGAATATACTGCGGTACTAGAACGTACCACTAGAAGAGTTCATTTTGTTGCTTCTTTGTATTTCCATTTTGTTCGGGTTTTAGCACTTATTTTGTGCTCACTGAGAAATGATATTGCTCTGTCAGTTCTAGATTGACTTTGACAGGATTTATTGTGCAGTAATACATAAAGAATAATAAATGGGGTCAGAAGTGGATACAATTTGATTTAAAGAAGATGATTTACCAGTTGAGGAGAAACCAGCAAATGTTCACTAAAAACCGTGAGATTTCAAATTACTTTTGGTTTCTAAATAGTCTTTATCAAAAATGGAAAAAGTCATTATTCATGAGCATGTACTGGGAAACAGAGTTTATAGGGAACAGTGAACCATGGCGTTCTCATGCACACCATTACACAGAGCTTTCTTCTGCGAATTGTTGTGAATGCGAACTGAGCTAAACCCCTTTTTACCGATAGATGTTGCACCTTTGTCTTCATCCTTTTTCCCAGTTACTGGAGGAGGGGGAGGCGGTGGCATCAATTTGGAATCAATATCTTCACAGTCAGCATCATAATCATCGTCATCATCATCATCTACACCAAAAACAAAGGCATGGTGAGCAGCAAGAACCGAGAATAGTATTATTCACTGCCAGCAAGATTGGTGAAAACACTTCCATGTTTTAAACCCAATCCAGCTTCCAAAAAAGGTAAAAAAAAAAGAAGTGGAGAAATATACGAGTAAGTCACGGAATGTGACTATTTTTTGTTTTATCGTCTCAGGAAGTCTGGTGAGGGCTGCCTTTAGATTAATATGTACAATAAAATATCTGGACACAGACCAGGATTTAAATCCCACCTGAATTATTCTGTCTGGAAGCACACAATCAGCCAATCACAAATCAGTTTAAACTTCAAATAGATCAGGTTAATTCCATTAAAAAAAAAAAACACAAACTAAAATACAAACGTAAGTAAACTTAATATAAAAAAATGCTGGGTAGTGTCAGCTTCTCTGTAAAGGTCGATACAAACAGTCTTGCTTTAAGGATGTTTTTCGTTCAATGGTTTATTATATGTACCTGCTCGGCGATTAAGGTGCAATGTCCCCATGGCTTGTTTGTATCTGCGCGACTCATCCTCAGCAACCTCATTAATATCAGAGTAATCAACTGCATCATCGGTACTCTTGACCCAGCCTACATTAGGAGAGAAATAAATCAAATAAGTCATCAGGATACAGTGCTACTATGATGAAAACCTAAAGCACCCGTAGGTTATACTATTTTGTGGGGGGTGGGGGGGTTATAACTGTTCTGGTGGCTTAACCCCTTATGGACCTAGGTTTTTTGCCATGGATTCATTCCACCACAATTTCCCCAGTTATTATTTATGTGCACCCATAAATATTACATATCATTTTTTTTAAAGGAGAAAATGGGCCTTTTTTTCCTGAAACCCTACATGCATCCATAACACAATATTAAATGGGAAGAAAGTATAAAAAAAAAGCACACGGGGAGGGAATAAAAAAAAAAACGTTTTTTTCTCAGTTTTACATACAATCATTTCTACACACCAAGTGTAAGTAAAGAAAAACAGCTGAAAATAAAATCACCAATTAGTCCTGATTGTTAAAATGCCCAATATGTACAAGATTTCAATTCATTTTTAGAAGTTATAAAACAAATACGGCAAGGAGTGAATTATGGTTTTAAAGCTAAAACTTTGCAATATTTGGCATGTTGAGATTACAACTTAAATAGTAGTCACAGAATGCAAAATCGCTACACAAAAGTAAAGATTGGTAGAAACTACATTCCCCAGGCTTTGTCACTAAGACCATTTTGACACTTTTCATTTAACCATTTTATCACAAACCTAGGTCAATTTTGTTTGTGGTTTCTTTTTTTAACATGTTTATTTTTGGAGAATTCAAAGACCATGCATGTTCCACTACTGCAAACACTCCGTATTTATATTCTGCTACTGTTCTCGAATACAATTATACCCCACATGTATACCTTTTCCCCTAAACCTGCCTGTAATCCAACCCTTAATACAATCCCTAATCCAACCCACCCTCTAACCCTATCCATAATCTGACCTATAACCAAACACTAATCCAGCCCATAATTCTACCTATAATCTCAGTTCTAATACCACCTCTCAAGGGATTCCCTCTGCTGATGTCAGGACTGACATCAGCCGAGCGATTTTCTCTCACACTGAACAGAGAGCTCTGTGAGCCACGGCAGTTAAAGGAATTTAAAGAGCTATGAGCAGGGCTCACTTTGAGCACTGCTCATTGTTCTCCTGTCACTCTGTGATAAACCTCTCCTCACCCTATCACTGCTGTCTAAATTAATACAGATAAGGTAGTGAAATTTGTCATGATCTTGGAGGCAGTTGAAGAGCCAAGCTTTGAATGGTTTGACAAAAATTAGGGCTCTCATTTTATGTAGGCATACATCCGTTCTGTTGCATTTCATACCATCCTCATCCAGGCTGACTCCTTCAGTTTCTGCTGCTTCATCTACACTGGATGTGATCTCTGTAATCAGACTGCCAAGTCCTAGGGCACCCAACCCGGCCAGGTGTTTCTTTGATTCCTGACAGACAGAATAATGAAGAATAGTTATCATGAAAAGAAAGAAAAAGATATAAAAAACATTATAATGTGCCATCATTTTCTGTCATAAAAAAGTTTCAAAATGGAATGCCTATAGTGTCCCTTTAATGCCCACTGCAAGCACCATAACACTATAGTTTTTTGCAGTGATTATGGTGCTTACCCCAGCCCGTACGCTGTCCCACCGTAATCTGACAAACCATTTAGCCCAGTAGGACATGTAGCTGCTTGCTGTCTTTTCTAGGAGGAGAAGCCAGATGCTGATATGGGTGTTTGTGTATGAGCTGAGAGCACCAGCTGAGCTCACTGAGACAATGAATGCATACATGTTTGGAACACAGGGACAACCAGCTTCCACGTCTTGAGAAAGCCACAAGCAGCATGGTGCCTGGTGAGACTCAGGTAAGTTTCAAACTGTGCTAAAACAGTTTGACAGATTATGGTGTGATGGTGACAGAGCACTCCTGTAGTGATGATGGTGTTTGGAGTGTTCCTTAAAGGAGGCGCTTAAAGCACTAAAACCACTGCAGCTCATAGTAATGAATTATGAAGCAAGGAGTCTGTGGGTGTCATACCCCAGTTTGTGTCAAACCAGTTTTGAGCAGTTTGGTATCTTGTTCCACTTTAAGTAGCAATGATTGGATGAAAGAGGGTTAACTCTGTTGGAGGGACTAACAGAGCCAATGCAGAAGCTTCTAAAAAGTTTCTGTTAACTCCAATGTATTAAAAAAAACACTATAGTGTCAGGAATACAAAACATGTACTCCTGATGTGGTATTTTAGGTGACCAGCCCCACTGCAATCATGCTAAAAAGGTGATTTTACACAGCTTTTCGCCCACGCCTCGGCTGGCCCTGACTCCATCTTGATAATCTCAACCAATCCAATGCTTTCCTGCACCAATCAGCATCTCCTCATAGAGATGCATTGAATGAATGCATTTCTATTGGAAACATTCAGCGTCTTCATGCAGAGTGTAGAGACACTGAACACCAGTGGTTAACACTGGACTGGAAAGCACCTCTAGTAGACGTCTGACTGACAGCCATTAGAGGTGTTCCTAGGCAGCAATGTCAACAAAGGCAGTGCTTACATTGAAAAGCCTGCAGGGTCAGTCTGGTGATTTTGATGACTATAGTGTCTCTTTGAGCCCTGCCATGTAGACCTGGCTCAATGTCTGAGAGAGTCAGCTGAGTGCTTTTAGCCAATGAACGCCTTTCTGTACCGCTAGTCTTAGAGCAGAAGACCTTTCCAGTGGCAGAAAACACGAAGGTGGACTCCAGATAAGTTGGAAAACTATTCACAATATGTTTGACTACTTACCTTGGGAGGACGCTAAGCCACTACTGGAACCATTACCACTACAGTGGGCTCTAGTGGTTATGGTGGAATAAGTGTTTACCAAATGACCAACTAGTCATTACATAAACTCTTCAATTGTTCTGTGACATCCATCACACTGGCTTTCTCCCTTGTTACCTTTGTCTCAGTAAATATTTCCCTTTACATTGTAAGCACTTTGTATAAAAGTGCTGCAAATGTTAAGACTAAAGTCCACTAACGTTTCTCCACTTCTGTTCAGCCAGTATATATATCCCTCCTCCTGGAACAATACCGGTGAACAACGGTTAATATTCTGTAATGTGCTATACATTCGTGCACTACAAAAAAACTGTTACATAAATTCTTATCTGTATGGTCTGCTGTTATACTATAAAGACCTATGCAGCAGAGGTGTATGGGATAAATAGTTTATACCTCAGCATCCCTTCCACTCATCACATGAGCGAAACTACTCTATTAACTGATAGGAGCTGTGGTATGGTATACACGCAGTCAATTTACACACAGCCTACATCTGCACGTAGTTATTGGCAGCGCTGCAGGCAGGGAGAATAGGGAGCTCAGTCTTACACACACAAAACCTGGACAAAATGTATACTACTGCTCATTGAGAAGCATTGGAAAACCATGATCACAGCAGCTGATTGGCTCAATGAGAAGCCTCTGATTGATCAATTCCCTGGCACAGACTTTCAGGAGGGGAGAGCTTGCAACGATTGCAGACAGTAGGTCTGCAGCTTTTACAAGTGTGTTTTTCCCATATACTCATGTTTTCTTTGGGAGAAATCTACTAAATAGTTACAAAAATATCAATGGCGTCTTCCTTTAATAAATGAGCTCCTACGTTGGTATTGGCTTCTCTTGCTTGAAAAGACCATAAGCAGCTCAAGCACCTGCAGGAAAAAGATATTTGGAAAACTGTGCTCCAATGATTAGACAGATAATGCTGGGACCGCACCATGGCACTCCTGGCACCATAACCACTACAGCGCACTATGGTGGGTATGATGCTTGAAGTGTTCCTTTAATGAATATTGTAGCGTGTTATGGAATATGCTGGCGCTATATAAATACCAGTAATAATAACAACAACAAAATCCTTTTACTTTTCTTGTGGACAGCTCACAGAAAAGTATATGTTCTTATACAATATCAGTATAGAAAAATCTACTTACTTTCCATTTCAAATAATACCGAACCTCTAAATGCATGTAGCATTGTTACAATATGCATACTTCAAACCGATTAACTTGTGTGTCGATTAAAATAAAACACCCTGCCAGATCTTTACTTATTGAATATACTGTGCATAACAGGTTAATTGAAACAGTGGGTTTTGTAGATGAATATGAAAAGCAGAGTTGGCTGCTGGTTGCTTTATTCTTACAGAGGTGGTGGGGGTGGTTTAATCCTTCACATTAATTTATTGCATATCTGCAGCCAGGTTCTATCTACTTGTACTATATCAGTGATGGCTATCATTTAGCATAGCTGTTTAGGACTACAATTCCCATGATGCTTTGCCAGCCAGTTTGGAAACAGTGGATAGCTGTTTAGGACTACAATTCCCTTAGATGCTTTGCCAGCCAGTTTGGAAACAGTGGATAGCTGTTTAGGACTACAATTCCCATGATGCTTTGCCAGCCAGTTTGGAAACAGTGGATATCTGTTTAGGACTACAATTCACATGATGCTTTGCCAGCCAGTTTGGAAACAGTGGATATCTGTTTAGGACTACAATTCGCATGATGATTTGCCAGCCAGTTTGGAAACAGTGGATAGCTGTTTAGGACTACAATTCCCATGATGCTTTGCCAGCCAGTTTGGAAACAGTGGATAGCTGTTTAGGACTACAATTCCTTTGATGCTTTGCCAGCCAGTTTGAAAACAGTGGATAACTGTTTAGGACTACAATTCCCTAGATGCTTTGCCAGCCAGTTTGGAAACAATGGATAGCTGTTTAGGACTACAATTCCCATGATGCTTTTCCAGCCAGTTTGAAAACTATGGCTAGCTGTTTAGGACTACAATTCCCATGATGCTTTTCCAGCCAGTTTGGAAACAATGGATAGCTGTTTAGGACTACAATTCCCACTATGCTTTGACAGCCAGTTTGGAAACAGTGGATAGCTGTTTAGGACTACAATTCCCTAGATGCTTTGCCAGCCAGTTTGGAAACAGTGGATAGCTGTTTAGGACTACAATTCCCATGATGCTTTGCCAGCCAAACTGGATACAGTGGAATGGCAAAGGTCAGCAGTCACATCACTGCACTGCTATTCTGATTATATCACTCCAGCCCCCTCTCCACATATTATAAATATTAAATAATAATAATAATAATAATATACACTCCATGGCTATAGGTCCTGCCCTGTGTCTCCTGCAGAGCCAGCTCCCTAAATGATCCTAGGTTCACCTTATCCAGCACAGAATCATCCTCCAGCTGCCCATCTTCATTGATATTTCCAAACAGGAATCCAGTGAGGGAGAAAGGGCGATCCTCATCACTCTCTGAGTCCGACATGGCGAACCGGAAGTAAACACTGGCACAACCGGAAATGGGGCTAGAGCAAGACGCGAGCTACATGACGTGCAGCTACTTCCGTGCCGGGACGCACGGCGGGCTCTCGCCGCCATCTTGGTGTCCCTGCTTCTGGTTTCATACAGCTTTCTCTTTTAAATTTATGAGTCTAATGAACACAACTGGCCAACAGTGGCCATAAAATCTCCCATGTGCTATTCATTAAATTGACATGGCCAATTTCACATTTAAGGCTAATATAAAAATCTCTAAGTCAACCATGATTTTTGTTTTGGTTGCTCTGCCCTAACATTTGAAATAACCCCTTTCAATTCACTTTAAATTAATTATTTAAAGTAGTACGTGTATACATGGATCAGGTTAACTAACCATTTTATTCACCCCGGTGTACAAGGATTTTAAGGGCCGTTTTAATAAAATTAGAGTATCACAGGCGTCATGACAGCAGAGTTCCCACTTCAGTCATGTCATTCTGGTAATATAAATAAATTTAATGTCCTGTTTGAGGTGCATGATTTGTGCTGCCTCCTTGTATATAGAATTCACGTAACATAAGCCTGTGGAAAAAATATTATTAAATGACTACAGTTCTTTTATTAAAGATTTTGAGAGATTTCAGCAGAGTGCCAAACGCCACGCGTTTCATAAAATTTAAATTTAATTTCCTGTGGACCTAGCTGATCTCTCCAGGAAGCCTTCATGTCAATGTGCCTATTGGAGTCGCGAACAACAACTAAGATGGCATTGATTTTTTTTCGCCAATACTTTGCTATTTAATAGCTTATGTATATATGCAGCACCATAGTGCAGAATTATTAGGCAAATGAGTATTTTGACCACATCATCCTCTTTATGCATGTTGTCTTACTCCAAGCTGTATAGGCTCGAAAGCCTACTACCAATTAAGCATATTAGGCGATGTGCATCTCTGTAATGAGAAGGGGTGTGGTCTAATGACATCAACACCCTATATCAGGTGTGCATAATTATTAGGCAACTTCCTTTCCTTTGGCAAAATGGGTCAAAAGAAGGACTTGACAGGCTCAGAAAAGTCAAAAATAGTGAGATATCTTGCAGAGGGATGCAGCACTCTTAAAATTGCAAAGCTTCTGAAGCGTGATCATCGAACAATCAAGCGTTTCATTCAAAATAGTCAACAGGGTCGCAAGAAGCATGTGGAAAAACCAAGGCGCAAAATAACTGCCCATGAACTGAGAAAAGTCAAGCGTGCAGCTGCCACGATGCCACTTGCCACCAGTTTGGCCATATTTCAGAGCTGCAACATCACTGGAGTGCCCAAAAGCACAAGGTGTGCAATACTCAGAGACATGGCCAAGGTAAGAAAGGCTGAAAGACGACCACCACTGAACAAGACACACAAGCTGAAACGTCAAGACTGGGCCAAGAAATATCTCAAGACTGATTTTTCTAAGGTTTTATGGACTGATGAAATGAGAGTGAGTCTTGATGGGCCAGATGGATGGGCCCGTGGCTGGATTGGTAAAGGACAGAGAGCTCCAGTCTGACTCAGACGCCAGCAAGGTGGAGGTGGAGTACTGGTTTGGGCTGGTATCATCAAAGATGAGCTTGTGGGGCCTTTTCGGGTTGAGGATGGAGTCAAGCTCAACTCCCAGTCCTACTGCCAGTTCCTGGAAGACACCTTCTTCAAGCAGTGGTACAGGAAGAAGTCTGCATCCTTCAAGAAAAACATGATTTTCATGCAGGACAATGCTCCATCACACGCGTCCAAGTACTCCACAGCGTGGCTGGCAAGAAAGGGTATAAAGAAGAAAATCTAATGACATGGCCTCCTTGTTCACCTGATCTGAACCCCATTGAGAACCTGTGGTCCATCATCAAATGTGAGATTTACAAGGAGGGAAAACAGTACACCTCTCTGAACAGTGTCTGGGAGGCTGTGGTTGCTGCTGCACGCAATGTTGATGGTGAACAGATCAAAACACTGACAGAATCCATGGATGGCAGGCTTTTGAGTGTCCTTGCAAAGAAAGGTGGCTATATTGGTCACTGATTTGTTTTTGTTTTGTTTTTGAATGTCAGAAATGTATATTTGTGAATGTTGAGATGTTATATTGGTTTCACTGGTAATAATAAATAATTGAAATGGGTATATATTTGTTTTTTGTTAAGTTGCCTAATAATTATGCACAGTAATAGTCACCTGCACACACAGATATCCCCCTAACATAGCTATAACTAAAAACAAACTAAAAACTACTTCCAAAATATTCAGCTTTGATATTAATGAGTTTTTTGGGTTCATTGAGAACATGGTTGTTGTTCAATAATAAAATTAATCCTCAAAAATACAACTTGCCTAATAATTCTGCACTCCCTGTAATAAAACAGACTTTGATTGGAACAAAACTGTTCTGGAAACCGTAAAAACTGCATTACCATATATGATTTACTAAATGGAGTTGAACAGGTCATCATTAATGGGTCACTCTGTTCCCATTTCAATGTCATCTCAATAAAGTTGTTATGGGGGCTGGAATCCCCAGCGGACATTTTTTTTATTTATTTTTTATTGAGTGATAATTCAAGATTACAACAGTTGTTTTACAGTAGTAAAGTATGGTTTTAGCGAGCATTTGAATATAATACAGTGTTATCAATCATTAGAGTATAGTATGGTTTTAGTATCTGTTTGAACACAGTACAGTCTTAGCAGTTGTTTGGATACATTACAATTTTAGTGATTGTTCGAGTGCTGTATGGTTTTAGCAGTTGTTCAATTACTATACAGCGTTTGTCTTGTAAGTATGCTAAGATCTTATCAACATTTCTAGGGGTGGGGTATTGTTAATAAACAAGAGGAGAATAAAAAGGGGGGTGTTAAAACTTCATGGTAACAATGGTAGGTACAGCCGTAGTGCAGAACATCGTCAGTGTAGTTTGTTGCAACATTACATGTTTGTTTGTTTCCTGGGGTCTGTACAACTTATGAGGGTGCGTACTCATCCCCTAACAAGGGCATGAGCCATGTTCCCTTGTTATCGCACTTTGAGGTGTTGGTGCTTTGTGTGTGTGTAGTGTTTGCCCCTGTGTCACTGTTTGTGGGTATTTGGAGTTTGGAGAAACCTATTATATAATCGTCATTTTATCCTCTGTGGGGAGTTTGCCCAAGAAGGCCTGTTGAGAGTCCAGGTTCTTTGTGCCAAGGCTTGATCCTTTGGGGTGGGAGGGCCATGTCGTAGTTTTTAGGTCTCATTTTTGTATGAATGTTAATCATAGTGCCCATGTGGCCATGTACTCGTCGTATTTGAGCGAAAAGGAGTACGATAGTTCCTCCATTTCTCTGATAGCGTCTACCCTTTCTATCCAGGCTCTGATCGTTGGGGGTGTGGTTTGTTTCCATTTGGTTGGGATGGCGGCATTTGCTGCCGTTAGAAGGTGGTTGGTCAATATGCGTGTGTGTTTGGGTAGGGGGTGGGGATACATAAAAAATAAGAGGACTTTAGGGTCTTGGGGTGGTCTGTGTCCTGTGATAGTGTGTATAATGTCCGTTATCTGGGCCCAGTATTTACTTATTATCGGGCATAGCCACCAGATGTGGCTTGTGGTTCCCTCTGCACTTTTGCACCTCCAATACGTGTTTGGTGCATTGGGGAAGAATCTATTAATGCGGGTTGGTGTGTAGTGCCATCTGGCTATTCGTTTGTAGTTGCTCTCATGTGTGCTGTTGCCTTTAGATGTGTGGAAGATGTTGGTAAATATTCTATGCCACTCTTTGGCTTGTATTTGTATCCCTAGTTCCACTTCCCACTTGGTTGTGTAGGTTGGTAAGTTTTCTTCGGTTCGTCAGCACAATTGTTTGTAGAAGGAGGAGATGTGGCCCCTCCGGATGGTGTGTTGGGCGCATTGGGTCTCGTATAGAGTATGAGTTCTATGTCCTTGTAAGAGTGGTTGATCTGTGTTCAGAAAATGTTTGAGTTGTGAATGTCTCAATTGTGTGGTCATCTAGGACATCTCCCAGAGTCAGTATGTGTGCTTGTTTGGGGAAATTCTGAAAAGCTCTGTGGTCCGTACCTGGGGGGAAGGAGGGGTTTCCTGTTATGGGGTAGAGTGGTGAAGGGTGTGGTGCGAGGTACTTGTCTCTCCTAATGGTTGACCATAGTTTCAATGTGTGTGTGATTGTGGGATGAGATGTCACTGAACGCGTCTTCGGTTCAGTCCTTTTATCAAGCCAGGGTATGGCGTATATTGGTAGCGTGAAGAAGCTGGCCTCAATCCGTACCCATTGGGCTGTGTTTTTTGGGTATGACCATTCATAAATCCTCGTGAGGATGATGGCCTTGTGGTATGTTTCTAGATCCAGTAGGCCAAGTCCTCCTCATTGTTTGCTTTTTATGAGGCATTCATATTGTAGCCTCGGTGGTTTACCTGTCCATATAAAGTTAGTGAATAGTCGCCTAGAGAGGGAGAAGAAGGGCTGTGGGATTTTGATAGGTAAGGTTTGCATTATGTATAAAAACTTGGGGAGAATCATCATCTTTAAGATATGGATTCTGCATAGCCAACCGAATTGTGCTTTGTTCCACGATTTAAGTTCTGTACCTACTTTGTCTAGGAGGGTTGTGTAGTTAAGGGTGTACAGAAGTGACAGCGTGGTTGTGAGTTGGACTCCCAGATATCTAATTGACCCTGTGGGCAGTGGAACGGGTAGGTTGAGCGTAGCGCTGTTTGTGTGTCGATGGACACGTTTAGCGGAAGTATTTCGCTCTTACTCGTGTTTACTTTGTAGTTGGAGACTATATTATATGCATCTATTTCTTGTATTAGGTGTTGTAGTGAAGATTCTGGGTTGGATAGTGTGAACAGTAGGTCATCCGCAAAAGAAGAGACCTTGTATTCCTGCTCTGCTACTTTAAGGTCAGATATGTTTGGGTTATCTCTTATTCCTTGTAGGAATGGCTCCATGGTAAGGATGAATAGGAGTGGGGAGAGGGGACAGCCTTGCCTTGTACCATTGGTTATTTGTA